ATTGTACCTTGGCTGCTGATACTCACGGAGGGGATAACATGTATATAAATATATACAGTAGTTGTCAATCATGTACATTAATATATGTAAAGCCACTTTGCCCGGTGTAACAGTTTCCCTATGTTCTGATGGTTCAGATCTAGCAATCTGATCTGATCCAGTCAAAGATAAGAGCATTGAAAAGATGAAAGCTGCCGAGAAACTGTGATATGCACTTAGAAGTAAGGATGAAAGAGAGTGAATGAAAGAAAGAGGGAAAAAATGTAAATAATATGTCATATTTTATTGAGGTCAAAGCCATATGACAGAAATCCATATGCCCATTTGCTGAGGTGAACTTGACTCTGTCGAACATTAGTGCCAATAGTATCTGTGCCAATAAAATAGAGTTCATTATAACGTACAAAAACAATCATAACAACAACAACAAAATTACATTTGTGTAACACCTTTCACATCGGGAGGACATCCCAAGGCGCATCGCAGTCTTTGGATGCAAGCTGGGGGGCAGGATTGAGGAGGATGGAGGGCAGGGGTGGAAAGCAGGGAGATCGAAAGCACAGTCAAAGAGGAGGGTCTTGAGATGGGTTTTGAAGGAGGCAAGGGAGGGGACAAGGTGGAGGGACTGCAGGATAGAGTTCCAGAGGGTGGGGACAGAGTGGCTGAAGGCCCCCCTGCCAATAGTGGGGTGAGTGAGGCGGGGACGTGAAGCAGGCCAGAGCCCCCTGAGCGGAGGGAGAGGGCAGGATGGTAGGAGGTTAGGAGGTCACAGAGGTAGGGGGGAGCAAGTCCATGGAGGGCTTTGAAGATGAGGACCAGGATCTTGAACTGTATCCTTTGTGTGATGGCAAGTCAGTGGAGTCGCGCGAGGATGGGGGTGATAGGGTCACGGAGCCTGGTATAGGAGAGGACATGGGCTGTAGAGTTCTGGTTGATCTGCAGCCTGTGGAGGGAGACGTTGGGAGGCCGACAAGCAAGAAGTTTCCATAGTCAAGCCTGGATGTAATGAATGGGTATACGAGGGTTTCAGCGGTCTGCGTTAAGACAATAGCAGAGCCGGGTGATGTTGCGGAGATCGAGGAAGGCAGAGCAGGTCATAGCACAGATGTGTGGTGGGAAGGATAGTTGAGGGTCAAACAAGCTGCCAAGGTTCTGGACTGGCTTAGTAAGGTGGAGTGTGCATCCATGGATGGTGATGCTGTCAGCGTCTGAGGTGAGGAGGCGCTGACGGGAGCCAATCAGGAGAGCCTCGGTCTTGTTGACGTTCAACTGAAGAAAGTTAGCTCTCATCCAGGACTTGATGTCTGACAGACATTCTGTCAGGACAGCAGTGGTCCTGGAGTCAAGGGTCGAGGCAGAGATGTACAGTTTGGTGTCATCCGCATACATGTGGAAGTTGACCCCCATGTCTGCGGATGATGTCACCAAGAGGGAACATATAGACATTGAAGAGGAGGGACCAAGGACAGAGCCCTGAGGAACGCCACACAAGATGGCGGGGGCTAGAGGAGAAACCATTTGTGGAGATGAAGTGGAGGCGGTGTGAGAGGTACGATCTGAACCAGTCAAGGACAGAGCCATGAAGGTTGAGGTGAGAGGAGAGGCAGTGGATGAAGATTGAGTGGTCGACTGTGTCGAAGGAAGCAAAGAGGTCAAGGAGGATGAGGAGGCAGAGGGAGCCCTGGTTGCAGATGGACAGAATATCATTTGTCACGTTGGCCAGGGCTGTTTCTGTGCTGTGGGAGACACGGAAACTCGATTGGAGGGATTTGTGAAGGAAGTGGCAGGAGAGGAAGGAGCGAAGCTGGGAAGTAACAACTCATTCCAGGATCTTGGAGAGGAAAGGGAGGTTGGAGATGGGGAGGTAGTTTGAGAGCAGAGATGGGTCCAGGGAGGGTTTTTTAAGCAGTAATGACAGCTGTTTTTAAAGGGGTGGGAACAGCACCAGTCGACAGGGAGAGGTTTATGATGTCTGTGAGTAGAGAGGCAAGGAGGTGGAGCTGGGAGAAAAGGAGAGGGGAAGGGATGGAATAACTATACAGAATCAAGTCATGCAAATATGGACTGATTTCAGATTGACCGCTGGAGTTTAGTTCCTACAGGTTGTCAGGATTCCTTATTGAGAAATCCTTTAACAAATATTGCACATTAGACCCCATTGGCTAACAGTTAAGACATGAAATATGGTGTGAGCTGTCATGTAGTTCAAGCAATAAATGGAGATGGGAGTTGTATTTACAAAGTTGTGGGGTGTGGTTGACAGGGTTCAAAGAAAGATACTACCATAGAAGTAATTGTTCCTTATGTAATTTAATTTGGACTGGAAGACAGGAGCACTAAATGTAACTTCCAAGGCTTTCTTTGAGCAGTTTTTCATTGTTGAACCTGAAAATTCTCTGTATTCTCTCACGAATGTCATGTGAACATAAGGATCATGGTGTATAATGTTGCTCTGTTCCAGGAATCCAATGACTACTCTACCACCGTCTGTTCAGGTGGTGACACTGGCGATGAAAAAGTTAGGGATTCAAAAGAAAAAGCACATGGAATAAACACGAAGAGAAGGTGTTTAAAACAGCAGGTGAATTAATCTTTGCTTTCAATGAGCATTTAGCAAACAAAGATTGTTTCAAACACATTCTCAGACAAAAAGTAATCCTGATCTGTTGATGTGGGATGTATTCATAAATAGCATCTTGATTACAATTTTATATTCTGTGGCCTAGTAATTATTATGTTTCAATTCCCAATTGTTTTCACTCCAATAGGACAACCCTGTTTTAACACAGTGTCACGATCGTGAGTAAAAACAATTAAACACTGTGTTATAACAGGTGTCAGGTCACCACTTAAAACACTTCCTATGCACATGAAAGGCTGTTAACTTTATTTCCTTTGTGAAGTGCTGTCAATAGTGCTTCTTGTAAATAGCATGCATGCACAGTACACAGAAAGTGCCATTAAGCTGTACACACTTGCATACAACATGCAAGAATTGATGTCATGGACTCAGTGAGAGCCTAAAAAGAGTGTGAGCTAGGAGGTGATGGGAGGGAGACAGAGGTAATAGGCTTTAAAAGGTTAATGATGCCTTCAGTTCTACAAATTCATGCAGCCTTTATATAATAATGCCTAAATTTGATATAGCACCTTTCACGTCAGAAGGACATCTCAAAGCCATTCATGGGATTTTCTGTAGAGTATAGTAACTGTTACTTTGTAGTAATACCTTGCACACACATATCCCTTGTCTAATATGTACCTTGTGTTTTTTCCGGTGCCAAGCTCTGCCACTTTTAAGCGCTCCGTGATGCAACCCTGCGTGAAGCAAAGAATATGAGATAAGAAAATGTTTCACACTGATATATTTGTTTTTCAGAAATGCAAAGAAAGTGAATTGTGTATGAGAGATATATTAAGCAACTTTGCAACTTCCCATAATAGCAAGGTAAGCAAACATATTAAAGAAGCAGGACTACATTTTAGTTTTAAAAGGTTTCCCTTTGTTAGTTATTTTCTCCTTTTTTAAAAATCCTTTCACATCCAGAAGTGGGAACTCTACCTGTGCCAAAGTTTAGTAACGAGTTTTGGGAGATGAATCAGCACCACAATTGGTTCGCCTTATATGGGTTTGGTCCCCATTTCCTCCTTGGGATTTATGATCAGCCGATGTCTCCGACACGTGTGAAAACCTATCATCATTCTTAAGAATATCCATACATATATAAAACTCCAAAGTTCCACATGTGCATGCTACCTACACATGTACACATGGAAAATTCCCTCTGTCAGGAATGAAATGTAATACTCTCTTCCTGGAGGGGCACACCCTGCTCACCAAATCCCGGAGAGTGTTAGGTGCAGATTGGCAAAAGCCAAGGCTTGGGGACCCCAGAGTGTACATCATGGTACTGCTGGAGTTTAACCAACTAAAACTCCATAGCTTGAAAGAGCTGTCTAGGAAACTTTCCCATTATTTCTCCAGCTACAACTACCCTGCTACGGAAATGTGCCTTCATTTGCTTGCATCGCAGTGTTTCTGCCTGCAGTATTATGATGCTTTTGCACTTCTTTAAGGGTTTAAGTTAAAGCTGAAAACAATTCTGATCATTGGATTTAGTTGGGTCCCTTAATGAACTTTTGCCCTTTGAAGAATTCAACCTTTAGTTCTCAGAAAAGTTTGGTTTTGATTAATCCCAGCATCTACTTTTTACTTTGTTCCTTCCTGGGTGACTTGCATAATCTGTTGCCCTTGACTGAGGAATTTGTTTGAATTGTCTTTAGATGAATCAGTGCTCCATTCCTCCATTCTCTCGCTTTTCTTTCCCTCCTGTATTCCTGCTCTGCGGTTTTCATGTTCATCTCAATAATAAGTATCATTACAATTCAAACTTCAGAAAGAAACAGTGCAAAAACGTATAGCGAAAAAGAAGGAGACTTGTAAGACAATTGCATCTGAAAATGTGAAACTTCACAAATGTGTGAAAGAGCTAACATGCAAGGTATTAAACTTTTTTTTATTCTTTATTGATCTACTGTTATTAACTATATACAATATTATATATATTTTAAAATTCCCCTGTATTTAGGGTTCCACTTTTTGAGGGATTCACTTTTAGTCCAGTGTAAAAAGGATTTTGATATTCAATATATGAATAATATTGTATTTTTGAATAAAAACATATTCCTGTCTCCATTAACAAATTCATTAAATTCATTAACATTCATGCCGGCACAGACACGATGGGCCAAATGGCCTCCTTCTGTGCTGTATAATTCTATGAACACCCTATTTATTTTGTGTTTTTACACCTAATTGAAACAGAGTAGAATAAATCAAAGGCTGGGGAAGCTATTTTATTTGCACCATTTCATTTTACAGTCCAGCCTCTCTAGAACACAGCAGTTGGGATGGTTAAAATGAGTCCCACGTTATAACAGGACGCCTTGTAGTGCAGCTTCTTATCAACACTTTCAGGGTTGTCAGGCTCACTGATGACATGACTGAGCCCCATTACACCTGCACGTCGTGCCTAGAGAACCATCCAGGCCGTTCGTCCTCACAAGCATTTCCGGGGTTTTTTCTGGGAACTCAGGTGACTTGTAGAAGCCGACTGCCCTTGTGTGCCTTTCAATAATTAAAATAGTTTGTAAGACAAATGAAGAGAGTATCTTGTATAGGTTTGTGTTTTCCAAGTGTGAACCAAACCTCTGCCAGGAACTATTGCTAATGTTTAGCACCACAGAAGAAGTTACAACAGCAGGGATTCTTGAAAATGTGTGCGACATGCAGCAAGTGACATCAACAGCGACCTGTTGACCCAGACCTTGGGCACTGACCATATTATACCGAGGCTCCTGTGTATTGAATGCAGTAGGATTGGAAGGTCCTAATCATGGGTGGCAAAACCCATTAGAGACCAAATTGCTTTGGACCAAATTATTAGTTGAGTTTAGCGGGTGGGTGGCATTAACTCTCAAATCTGTTGATAATTAGACATGTTTGAGACCACACTTATTGACCAGTCAATAATTATCCCTGCAATAATTATGACATTGACTGTTGTGATTTCATCCCAGTAACTTATTGCTATTATGCACTTGTGGATAGAGTGTCAGGAAGTTAATTAAACTCCCCACCTTAACTTCATTCTTTCAACAGGTTGACAATTTCAACAAAATAATTCAGTTTGCTGATCAGAGACTCCAGTTAAATAATTTGCAGATTCTGAGGTAACATATAACACATCTCCGCAGTGATTTGGGTTGGTGGGGTGAGGCAGCGGGTAAGGTAGGCGGGATCTCCTTGCAGCTGAGCTATACTGCCTCCAATGTTACATGTTTGGCAACAGAATGTCGGAATCAAACCAACCATACGTTGTGGTCTCAGCAGTCCATTTCTGAGCCAGGCAGGTCCACAGTACTCCAGGGCACTGCTAATGGCTGATGAAAGATGATTGAGCACATTACTGCTCTTATGACAAAAGATAGTTAATATTTTCTGGAAGACACCCACTGCTTACAGCACATTTTTCTATTTAATGCAACAGGATTTGATGGAATTAATGGCATGATTTCTGTGAGTAATGATCTCCTGGAAATAAACTACAATTAATTGGCAAGTTTATAGCAATAAGCAGTTGATGAATTGTGTGAGACAGTGCATATTAGATGATAATCCTTGCATATAAGATACAGTATGTCGGAAACCAACATTGCAGATATGAGCAGCTGGTTACTCGTAAATTATTTTTTGGTTAAAGGGAGTTGTCTGGTGTCACAAGATTGGTTTGGGTGAAAAACATTTTTAAATGTTGCTGAATATACAAATTGTAATGAATATTTGTTTTATTTTGAAGGTTAGAGAAGAAAAACTCTGCTTTGTTAGCAGCTTTAAACAAGAAACGCACCAAAAAGTTAGCGCATAAAGAGAGGTATTATCCTATTTATTAAGCTGACCATCTCGTCTAAAGCATTTTTGTCACATATTTATGGTTGATGAGATATTTAACAAATCATTTAACAAGACTAGGAATATCTGTAGTTAATTTTGAAGGCTTATGGTATTAATATATTTCTGAGGCTTTTTGTATCATGGTTCTCTCTACAGCTTATCCGTTGATGTAAAAAATGCATAATAAACATTAAGGCAAAATAATTTGCATTGTTATTAAAGCTTTTGTTAAACAAATCTGAACCAACAGATTGCTCCCAATTCTGAAATAGAAGAGTGTGATTAGACTGTAAATGACTGTCTGTAGACTCTGATTGTTAGGCCCATTCTTTGCGAGGCAGTAAGTGCATTGACATCATGGAATCAGTTGTGGGTGTAAGAGACAGCTCCATAATTGAATCCTGTCGTGTAGTGGTTCGAGCACTCGCCTCACAATCGCGAGAATCTGGGTTCAATTTCCCGGGCAGGGCAAGTTTCCTTACTCTACACGCCACTGTTTACCTAGCAGTAAGTAGGAACCCAGTTGTTAGTCGATTGGTGGATCACTTTCTGGGGGTAATAATTCCATTAAAAAAAATTTAAAGAATAATCTTAAAAAAATAATTTAGTCACTATAATTTAGCCTGATTGTTTGTGGGACACTGCTGTGCACGATTGGCTGCAGTGTTTTGCCCACAAAATAAACAGTCAATTTACTTTACAGTATATTCGGTGAAGAGCTTTGAGACGTCTCGAAGACGTGCCCCTCATTTACTATTAGATTCATATTGGCTGGTAGTGTATTTTTGGAAAGTTTTCAGCAGTAATCTGATTTTAAAACAGCATAATTCTTTTATAATAATGGTGCTGAGCTGTGCTAATCCAACCTTGTTCCTGGCTGTGTGATTAAGAGCAGTTAGGGAAAGCAGTGAGGCACAGACCCTTTGGAGCATAACTTCAATGCAATGTCTAGGGGGGATTTTCAGCATTTGTTGTTACAGTAATAATAAACATCTGCAGGTCCAAGATTGCCTTGCTGTCATTAATCAAATATTTAATTTTACATGTAGCAAGTCTTCAGGGTCCTTGAGTGACAGCAGTAGGATGGGTGGAATGTTTTGTGGTTCCATTGCTGAACAAAACAACCACAATGAGGTGAACACTTGCACTGCCAAAGGTGAGACTTTCATAGTAGTGCATTAATGCTGAATTTTCATGCTTGGCACTGTCATAGATATACATTTCTAGAATCTCAGTGGATTTACTTGGTGAGAAGGAAATGGTTAGAAACCTTTCTCAGTAGATTAAATGTCTTGGGTAGAATGCAACATAAAGCAAATCATACATGATCTGTGGATCATATATTGATCTGTGGTTCAGATTGGCTAAATGGATATTCCTCATTGATATTTTCAAATGGCAGAATTTATCTTGTGGATTTAGATTTGAATTCAATTTATTTTTAAACATTTGTGTTCAGACCTTGGTGGACGCACACAAAGGTAGGCTTGGAGTAATAATAAAATGTCGATATTTTGAAGCTCTCCATATTCGTGATATTCTGGAATTCCGCTTGGGCACCGACATTGACTGTTGAGGGAACAGACATTAAAAAGTATAATAGTTTGTGAATAATACTAGGCATGAATTTAATGTTATGTACCCTTCTGTCACCTCAGTCCCTTTACATCTTACAGCCTGACCTTAAGTTTGCTTTCTTTCTCACTTATGTTCAAGCTCTGGACAGTGCAGATTGCCTGTGAAGTGTTAAGTTGTGGGTACCTGAATCTGCAACCAGGATCTGTTTGAAAGCATTTCTCAAAAGGGCTTTATGAATGAAGCTGAGGTTGTGGTCATCTCTTCGTATTCTCAATGTGTTGAGAAAATGATTTAAATAATTGTATTCTATAAGAGTTTCTGATGTGAGCAGGAGCATGGAACTCTATATGTGATTGATAAACAAATTGTAAGGTATCTGAATTTAGCAATAACATACCCAGAGATGAAGCATTGACATTTAGGTTATGTGTTACTATTGTTGTCATTACTAGATTATCTGATCCAAAGTTGATTTCCTTCTTCTCGGTGTGGGGGCAAAGAGTCCTCATGAAGACTAAGACTTTATTTTAGTCAGACTATCAACAAAAGGTTTCTTTCTAACAGATGCAGTTTCTGAAATACTATTTTGCAGGCACTTGTGAACAGTTGAGAGTAGGAAATGAAGAGAGTCAGAAACAAAGCCAGGATATGGATAATTTTGAATCCGAGGAGGGTGCCTGCAGCCTATATCAGCTAGAAAACATTTGTCAGCCGGACATTGGGTCAAATAGCAACACGAGGGATGAAGTAACAGATGAATTTGAAACCATCAACACAGGTTCAGAGATATCACAGGTAATTTCCTTCATGGATTGTCACAAAGGTGGACTTTGGTACCAATAAAATCAAAATGTTTTGATATTTTGAAACTCTCTGTTTTTTGAAAGACTGTGATTCTTAGACGGTGATTTTAGTTTTGATTTCTGACTTTAAAGAGTGAGAGCAGTTACAGAGAGTTGACCATGACTTATCCAGAATTCACTAGTTGCAACTCATTTTAAGACTCCTGCAATCTAGAACCCTTTAGAATGGATCATTGTGCACAATAAAGATCGCACATTGGTTCAATGAAAAAGGCTCTTTAGCCATCGGATCTCATCCCTCCAGAACAATCATCCTAGTCGTGGACTGAGTGACCAAATTACTATTTTATTTATTATTTTTCTTTTTTGAAGGGATTATTACACCCAGAAAGCGATCCACCAATTGACTAACAACTGGGTTCCTACTTACCTACAAGTAAACAGAGACTTGTAGAGTAAGGAAACTTGCCTGGTAGTTGAACCCATGTCCTCTCACTTGTGAGGCGAGTGCTCTAACTATGCTACAGGATTTTTTAAATGAGTTCTGGCCTCAACCATCCTTGCTGCAACTTGGTATAATTCTTAATTATCTTCTGGATAAAGAAAATTTTGAACCATTAGACCAAAATACAGAACATTCGGCTCACCATATCTTGAAACAGCAATCCAATTAATCCCATCTGCCTACCATTTCCCCATAGTCCTGCAAATTGCTTCTTTTTAGATAGTTACCTGATTTTCTCTTGAAATCTGTGGAATCTGCCTCAACCACTGCTCCTGGCAGGGCTTTTCACAAACTAGCAACTCTTAGCAACTGCCCATGCAATGAAGTAGTTCTGTGTACAAAATGACAATTTGTATAAACTAAACAATTTAACAAAAACATTTTCAGTACAACTGTATTTTCTGTAATGCCCTGCTTACCATATTGAGTATTCTTGCTCTGTGGGTGCTCAGTTGGTTTACGTTTGTGTCTAATATTTGTCTCCAGTTGTGAAATAGTTAACAGAGGGAGCTAATACATCAAATCATTGAGTGAGATATCTGCACTGTGAATTAATTTGATTGGTAACAGAATTTTGCAAATTAAGTGGATCCATTTCTCAGTTGGCAAATGGTGGGATCATGGAAATCTCAAGCAGAAGAAAACTAGTGAATGGACAATATTGTGTGCTGTAAAATTTGATGATATTCTGCAGTTTTGTTCTGTTCATTTTGACAAGGACAGAAAGAAACTTGGCAAAACAATTAATTTCCTCAGGACAAATCTTTGTTTCCTTTTAAATTCAGGAAGAAGTAGACAATAAGGATGTCAAAGAAGAAAAGGGGATCACAGATTTCAATGCCAGTAGTTGTGGTAAGGACAGGAATGAAGAATTCATTGAAAGTCAGCACACTGCAGTGTTTCATATTTATATTTGCACAGACAAACACAGACAGAAATACACTTACTGCGATTGATATTGTCATTAGCACCAATATTTAATTTAAGAATCACACAATTGCAGCATAATTTTTATTTTGAGTATTTATGTAGCAGCTAAGGGAGTTGTTAAAATCATTTATTTTTAGTGGCAGTGACTTTGTATGAAGATTTTTTTGCAGGTGCAAAATGCATGTGCGTTTTGTGCACCTGTAACATGACGTTTTGTCACTTAGCTCTAGCTTTATGCTGGACTGTTGAAGTCAGCAGTGTCAGTACACAAATTACAAACTTCTGAAATAATAATCACTGTGCAATCATGAATATCATCAGAAAGAATGCATTGAGAAGATATTTTATGATTGAGGGTGGTTTGATATAGTGGCTTTTCTTGACATGAAAGGCCCTATTACAAATGCAAGGATTACTAATATTATATAACAATCTCAGAAAGTAATGTCATAAAAATAGGATTCTACTGAAATTTAGCATTCATTTATTAGATATGCCAATACAGCAATAGCAAAACTTGTATTTACATAGTGCTTTTAATACTGGAGAGCATCTCGGAGTTCTGGATGGAGATTAGATAGAAATAAACAAGACCCTTTATTGAGCATTGCAACAGGGCTATTCCAAAATATGCACTGATCTTATTGACTTACAAAGCAAATAATGAATGAGCCTTACTTTTTTTTATGATACACATTAAGTTATATATCAATGCATTTAAGAGCAAATTTGATGCATGTATGAGGGAGAAGGGAGTAGAGCATATAGGAGAGAGGAATGGAGGCCTGTGCAGAGTTTGAAGAGCAGCATGGTCTAGTTGGATTGAATGGCTTGTTTCTGTGCTGTATCTTCATTCACCTACAAAGTACATACTCACTGCACTTTACACGATATCCTGTGAAGCACTATAAAATGTCCGCCCAACGAAAGAGGCCCATATCCAATTGAAGGATTACTATATTCTAAGTAATTGTATATAATTTGAGCTTTCACAAAGATGTCTTGTGGAAGGATTTAGGTCTGTGCTAAGATTGTGTACTTTTTAAAGACTAACTGGATCCAATTGATACCAGTATGAAATCTCATGCTGTTGGGAAATCCAGATCACTAAAATGTTCTGATTTTTATTTTCAGATACGGATAGTGAAGAATCTGTACCAAAGCAAGAGAGCCTCGGCCTGGACAAGAAAGTACCTGGTGGTGTTGAAGACAAGGTCAGCTGAAAACATTCTTTCATCAATATTATTTACTTCTATTGGTTCGTCCTATAATATAATTATTTAGATTCAAAATTCCTGTCTAGGATTTGGAGCTGGTGCACTCTGACTTACCTACCGATGGAGGCTCTGAGAAAACAGACTTGGCCAATTCTACCTGTGTCCAGAGGACTTCTCAGCTGCTCTCCAAAGTTGACCTGCTGCTTTCTTCATTGGAAGGAATGATTGAGGGTCAGGTAATTCAAAATGTTCGAATGTGATCAATTTACTATATTCGTGATTTCAGCACAATACTTAAACCTCGATCGAAACAGAATATCATCCAGCATAAGCCATTTGGTGTCTGCCTGCAAAAGCAGGTTAAAGTAGCAGTAGGATAAGAAACAGCAAGCTGGTCCTACTACTGCCCCAGAGAATCTGAGAGCCACCTACATTTCTACAGAAGCTTCTGAAGAGATCTTTCATCTTCAATGACAATGCTGTAAATTTAAGTGTGCATTCAATATTTAGAGCATTGAATATACACAGACGTGCATGTGACAAACACCCACCCACCACCTCACCTCACTTCCAATAGCAAAGTCCATGAGGCTGGGCCTGTGTGATTGGATTTCTGATTTGCAGATCACACAGCCTTCATCTGACAGCAACAAATAAATACATGTAGCAGGAAAGCAGAAAAGAAGCAATGAATGGCAAACCATAATAATAATAATCCTTGCATTTGATATAGCGCTTTTTTACGCCATTGAGATGTTTCAAAAGGCTTCACAGAATATACTGTAAAGTGGAGTGACTGTATTTTGTGGGCAAATCAAAACATAACAAATCATAAAATCATAACAAAAATCATATAGTGCAACCCCAATGCCAAGACCTCAATGTCTCTAAAAAATGTTTCCTACCACATGTGTTCTCTGTGTAGAACAATGTACAACAATGTACAGCCAACCGCACCCAAACTATTCGGAGCCCACATGTTGTATATATATATTATAAAAGGTGCCTTTATAGAAGATTGAGAAAGCAATAAAGATTGAAATTGGCTATGGATGTCTTGTGTGGAGGAACGGCATAATAATTTTACCTATTTCCTCAATTAAAATAAAATGAATAAATCGGTGCCTGTTTTACAGGAGGTGAAAACACAAGAACCAGGCTCCGTGGTAGGTAGTAGACTTACTGAAGATAACCTTCAGATACAAACTGCTAAATTGAGTAAACGAAAACAGGAGCACAGTCACCAGGTAAGAACATACATTAGTGTCAGGCTCACTCTGGGCTTGTTTGCATCTGTGGCATTTGTCCAAAGGATGATTTATGTGTTTCCCAGAGCCTCTTCAGTTCTCCTCTAACAATCCTATTACATTAGGCATAAAATACTTCCTAACACAAACCTGTCATTTAGATATAATCCTGTGATACCAACTGAAAAATAAGCTTTACAGCCATTTTTAGTTGAAGTTGAAGGAAAATAGTTCAATTCTTGCATACAAGTCAGTTTGATTTTTAAAGCAGAATATAAATATATAAATATTCTGTTTTTCGATATCTTGCACTAGCACAGAAGAATAATTAACAAAAACTATTTGCTTTTGCTATTGATTTATTCTATTACCCCATCCTTATTCATCTCTTTTCCTCCCAGCTCCACCTCTTGCCCCTCTACTCACAGACATCATAAATGTCTCCTTGTCCACTGGTACTGTTCCCACCCCATTACAAATGGCCGTTATCACTCCTATCCTTAAAAAACCCTCCCTGGACCCATCTCTACTCTCAAATTACCACCCCATCTCCAACCTCCATTTCCTCTCCAAGGTCCTGGAACGAGTCGTTGCTTCCCAGCTTCGCTCCTTCCTCTCCTGCGACTCCCTTCACAAACCCCTCCAATCAGATTTCTGTGCCGCCCACAGCACAGAAACAGCCCTGGTCAAAGTGACAAATGACGTTCTGTGCATCTGCAACCAGGGCTCCCTCTGCCTCCTCAACCTCTCTGCTGCCTTCGACACCGTCAACCAATCTATCCTCAGTCACTGCCTCTCCTCTCACCAGAACCTTCACAGCTCTGTCCTTGACTGGTTCAGTTCGTACCTCTCACACCGCTTCCACTTCATCTCCACACACGGTTTCTCCTCTAGCCTCCGCCATCTCGTGCAGCGCTCCTCAGGGCTCTGTCCTTGGTCCCCTCCTCTTCAATATCTACATGCTCCCTCTTGGTGACATCATCCGAAGACATGAGGTCAGCTTCCACATGTATGCGGATGACACCCAACTCTACCTCTCTGCCTCCACCCTTGACTCCAGGACCACTGCTATCCTGACAGAATGTTTGTCAGACATCAAGATCTGAATAAGAGCTAACTTTCTACAGCTGAATATCAACAAGACCAAGGCCCTCCTGATCGGCTCCTGTAAGCGCCTCCTCCACTCAGGCGCTGACAGCATCACCATCCATGGATGCACACTCCACCTTGCTAAGCCAGTCCAGAACCTGGGGTCTTGTTTGACCCTGAACTATCCTTTCTACCCCACATCTGTGAGATGACCCACTCTGCCTTCCCCACCTCTGCAACATCGGCCATTGTCTCACTCCACAGGCTGCCAAAACCCTCATAAACGTTTTCATTACATCGAGGTTTAACTATGCAAACTCTTTGATTATCAGCCTCCCCAACTCCTCCCTCCATAGGCTACAGATCATCCAGAACTCTGCAGTCGGTGTCCTCTCTCGCACAAGACTCCCTGACCCTATCACCCCCATCCTCGCCCAACTCCACTGACTTCCCATCACTCAGAAGATATAGTTCAAGATCCCGGTCCTCATCTTCAAATCCATCCATGATCTTGCGCCCTCCTACCGGTCCCACCTGCTAATTCCCCTACCATCCTGCTCGCTCCCTACACTCAGCAGGCCCCAGCCTGTTTCATGTCCCCCGCCACGCTCGCCCCACTGTTGGGATGTCAGGAGAAACATTCCTTTTCTTTTTGAATGGAGCACTAATCTTTAATATTGAACTCAAAAGACCAGAGTCTCATCCAAAAAACAATATCTTCAACAATGCCGTTGGTACTCAACGAATGCAGTCAGCCTAGACTGTAGCCTTTGAGTATAGATTGTATGGTTTGAAGTCCCCGCAACCTTCTGACTAGAGTCAAGAGTGGACTGAGTTCACATTTAAATCCCTCCATGGTCTCCTTCCATCCAACTTCTGTGACCTCCTGCAACTCGACTTACCTGGTCACTCGCCTAGCTCAGCTAACGTAGGCCTGCTTCATGCCCCTACCAGATCTGCCTCACCATCAGTGGACAGACTATCAGCCATTTTGTGCCCGCTCTCTGGAACTCCATCCCAGAGTCCCTCCACCACAACCCACCCCCTCCCTCCTTATGAAGCCCACCTTAAGACCCATCTCTTTCTGCGCTTTCAGTCATCTTCCTTTCCCTCTCCCCATCCCTGCCATCCCGTCATCTTCAGCTCTCCCAAATCAGATGCACAATCAGCTGTATGAAGCATGGCCTTCTGAGATGGCCTCCCACATAAAGATGCTATATAAAGTGTTGTTGTAAATTGTTGCTATTTATTATATATTATATATAATATATATAATAAAGCAGGGAATTCTATTCAATTTAAAGGCAGACACAGTGAAGAAATCTCAGGAGTTTAAGTTGCTTACAGCAGAAAATGTAGAGCTTCATGAACATTTGGATGAATTCAAAAACAAGGTATGTAGCACATTACACCCTGTCAGAGTGCCTCTGAGTATTGCACAGCCAGGTGCTTCCAGCTTCCCACCCGGAAACCTGCTGACTTCCAGGTTATCAGATCAGTGCTCACTTCCTATGTATTGCACCGAGGAAGCACCTCTGATGTCATTTCCGTTGCATTAAAACCCCGCTGAAGGAACTGACAACAGCAGTGGATTACTATTGTTTACAGTATATTTACTGGCCTTTTGGCATGTGTATTTAAGATATAATAGGATTTCTCATTATAACTGCTTACCGTCAATAGTCAGTAAGTTTACTGAAGGGAAAATGTACATGAACAGTTCCCTCAATGAGTTTTCATGGAAGTCTCCTCCCCTTCCACATTTCCATCTGGCAAATCTCTACAGCAGAACACTGACCAAATGTGAAATGATTGCTGTGGACTCAGATACCTCTAAGGTATGGATGAAGAAAGCAAGCTGCTGCAACAAAAACATGAAATTAACATCCTAACTATTATAATAGTTAGTTCTCCTTCATTTGTCTTCAAGAAAACTGACTCAACAATGGTCATCTTTTCCAGCTGCAAAACCGGTTGGGGTTTTCCTTGTTCAACAAATTATGTTGTTCTCTATCTACCAAGTACTGTAGCACACATATTTTCCCAGAGTATTTTCTACTGTTTATAGGTCACCTGTCAAAGTGATTTATTCTCCTCTCTCTCTGCTTTTAAAAAAGAACAGTAGCAAATAATCCGAGGTACAGTACATTTCAGAAGAGGGTCACATTCAGACATGAAGCATCATTAAGGGTTGAATTACTCTCCATGCACCTTAGACAACCCAAGACTAAATGCAAAGATAACTTTAGATAGATGACTGGATGTTCATACGAGACAAATTGCAGTTTTCCATCCTTAGAACCATAACAATAACTTGCATTTATATATCGCTCTTCACGAGAGGTAGCTTCCCAGAGCGCCTTGCCTAGAACCATGGACGTCTATCACACAGTAGAAGCCAATTTCCCCCATTATATTAGTGTCTATTTGCTTTTCCAACAAAGTTCCTAGTTCCAATTACCTGCTGTTTCCGTTACCCTCTAGTACCCTCAATAGTTGAGAAACTATTTCCACTGGCAGGTGAGTCAGTAACCTGAGGACACCGATTTCAAATAGTTGTTAAAAGGGGGGAGGTGAGGAGAAATTTTTTCACACAGAGAGTTGTTTAGATCTGAAATGCATTGCTTAAAAGGGTGGTGGAAACTGATTCAATAACAACTTTTATTGGGACGCCTTGGGATGTGAAATGCGCTCTATAAATGGAATCTTGTTGTTTAAGAGAAGTAGATAAAGAAGTAGATAATTATTTGGGGAGGACAAGTTTGCAGGGCTATGGGGGGAGAGTCAGGGGAGTGGGATTGATTTGGATAGCTCTTTTCAAAGAGCCGGCGCAGACAGAATGGGCTGAATGGCCTCCTTCTGTGCTGTATGATTCTTGTACTCTTCTTCTCTACTTGCTTATCTCATTCCCTTTTAAAGGAGGAGAATTTTGTTGAGCTATCTAATACCTGTTCATTGATAAATGTGCTTTTGTTTTTAAACAGATTGATGGGTTGAATAAAATAATCCAGTTTGCTGACCAGAGACTCGAGATGTTTCATTTGCAGATTATGAGGTAACCGTAATACTATGCTTAACAAAAGAAATAAAGAAAAATAGAAGTTATTCTGTTCAGGCTTGATATTAACATAGCAATGACATCCCCCAATGTATTCCACAGAGCGATCCTGGACTTTAAAAAGTTGGGACAAACTGAATTTAATAGTCAGAACTCAAGGAATTTTAAAAAGGGGAAATCAGAACTTATTACTTAATTTTCAAATACTGCGGAGCACTCTTATAATAGTCCATAAAATCCCAATCAATACCGTAATCTGGTGCAATTGCTGGTCGGTGCCTCCGAATTCACTGCACGTGCATGCAGAAAGACAGCCGGCTCCATCAGAGCTTCAAAATGCCCACCAGGTTCCAGGTCATCAGGTTGACATTACCATTACTGTGCAATGACCTGAAATTTGGCCTTTTTTAGTGTTTGGGAGCAGTGAAATTGCCCATCCATATCAGCTCTGAACAACATTTGCTGCTTATCACTCTGAAATGCAGTATAGCGTGCAATCCAAGCAGAGTTTATTCTATTGACTGAATGAGCAGCTAACCAAGTCAAAATTAAGACTGATTTATGAAGGGCTCAGGATTAGGAAAACAACAGTTTGCATTTTATAGTACCTTTCACATACAGGAATACCTCAGATTACTTACGAGTGCTTTGATTGAAAAAGTGACTGAAAAATGTAAAGTTTAATAAAATATCCATTTGTTTCAACTGAAGGTTAGAGACAAAGAACTCTGCATTGATAGCTGCTTTAAATAAGAAATCCCGAAAGAAGAATAAGGCGACACAGAGGTACCTTGCTTTGCTTTACATTTGTAAACATATCTCACATTTAACACTTCCTATTAACAATTTTAAAAAAGTGATTTATTATATTAAACATAATCAGAGGGACTCAAATCCCTGTTTTAAAAGAGCAAAAAAGCCCCTGGAAATCTAGGTTTGGACAGGGAGTGTGTTAAATGCCATGTTATGCCAACAGAGGGCAAGGTTGACTTAAATGTTTCAATTCACCACAAGCACCAGGCAAGGTGGTCAACACAAAATAAATCCACATGGCTCATATACAGCCTAGTAGTAAAGCATCAACCCAAAGCATTTTAAAAATAATTAGTAATAACAGTAGTCATAATCTGACCCAATATTTTTCCCTTAGGTTCATCAGTACAAGCGTGAAATTCCACCTGGGATTTACTCTGTTTATTTAGCATTCCACAGCATGGAATGTTGGATTGGCTAATGATTGAATTTAGTGTTATTAATCAAGTTTTCTGCAGAATTTACAAAAAACAATTTAAAAATTAAGATGGTATTTAAGAATTTACCAAATTCTGGGTGTTCTGAAATGTATCAATGCAAAACTGTAGAATGACAACCAGAATGGCACACAGTACTTCAAATGTGGTCTAACCAAGGTTTTCATTTACATTAAACATTATACTTTCTTACTTTCACACTACTGTTCTGGACATAAAGCCTATGACTTCATTTGCAACCTTCATGGCCTATTTGCCTGTGTTAGAGCAACATTTAGAGTCTTGTGAAATCTGAATTCACAGATCTTTTTGCTTCCCTATCTCTCTTTGGCTCTACTTACTTTCTCAGCTCTTAGCAATAAAACCAGCGGATGGTTGAGTTAAGCTTCTTTATCACAGGTATAAATTGTTCCTGGATCCCCAAGGCTAGTATGTCCTTCCGAAAGTTGGGCTCTCAAAATTGAACACAATACTTCCCTGTCCATTCTTGAAGTTTGAATCATATTGATTGGCACTGAGCTTTTTTNAAAAATAAATCTACATTTGATATGAGTCAAGAATGTATAGATGCTGTGAGGTGATTTTTCATAGTGCTTGTGTTGATGGCCAGGTTTGATGATGAGGTGGCTATCAAATAACTTCTCTCAACTCTGCACAATTTATCTTCTGTTTGCAGACAAGACATCAACGACCACAGGGCAACAGAGGAATGTCAACATTGCATAACTGCAAAACCCGCAAAGCAAAGGCTGCTAGCGGACTGATTGAATCACAGTGCGAAGGGAAAGAGCAAATATCTGAGGGAGTTGCTGAGAAAATGCTTTTTGCAAGAATTTAATTTCTCCGTTTAAACCTTAGAGTATATTAATGTAATGAGTTAATCTAGAAATAAAATTGTTTACTGAACTTTGTATTATGTGGTATATTGTATTAATATGTGAGCTCTAAATTACTCATCTGTATCTAACCACACAAGGCTGTTTTCCATATGCCCCAAATCCTCACTTCTCAAGTAAAGATAGCCAATTTCACAATTCCCCACCACAAGCAGGTTAAACAACAATTTGCACTAATTTAGCACCTTTCAAGTAGAGAGAGTATCTCAAAGAGTTTTACAAAAACAGAATGGGAGCCAGATTGGGCGAGAGGGGGAGATGGTCCAAGCTGCTTTCAAAAATATAGGGCTTTAGATGGGTTATGGAAAATGAGCGGGAATGGGGGGGTGGAATTCGGAAGAATACTCCAGTGCATTGGGGAAAAAGATCAATTGCCGATAAGATATATGTCAGTCTGGCTCAGTTGGTAGCACTCTCACCTGAGTCTAAAGATTATGGATTCAAGCCCCACATGGAGACTTGGAATCATATAGTCTAAGCTGACACTCTAATAGTCACGCGGGGGGTGCATTGTTGGAGGTCCCGTCCTTCAGATGAGATGTTAAATCAAGTCCCCATTTGCCTGTTCGGATGGATGTTAAAGATTCCCTGGCACTATTTGAAAATAAAGACTTTCTCCTGATCAAGAATCCCACAAATAAAGTTGGTCACTCACTTCATGGCTGTTTGTGGGATATTGCTGCGTGCAAATTGCTGCCGAATCCGCCCACAAAATACAGTAGCTGGCACTTTACCTTGTATTCTGTGAAGCACTTTGGGACATCCTCTGATGTGTGAGGCACTATACCAAATGTAAAATTAAGGATAGAATGTGTCACAAAGTGCTTTATGCTAACTGACTTGGAGACCTGCAGAGCTGAGTTGGGGAAAAGTGGTCAGAAGCGCAGATAAAGAGCAGACCTATGGCAAGTTTGGAACATAACATAACATGTAGGAGCAGGAATAGGCCATTTAGCCCTTCGAGCCTGCCCCGCTATTCAATCATGGCTGATCTTCTAGTCTAACTCCAGCTAATAACCTGACACTACCTTATCCCCATATCCCTTAATTCCTTTTGCAATAAGAAATCTATCTATCTCAGTCTTGAATATGTCGAAGGACTGAGCCAACAGCCCTTTGGGGTAGCGAGTTCCATACATTCACCACCCTTTGAGTGAAGAAGTTCGTCCTCAACTCAGTGTGAAAGGGCTGGTCTCTGATTTTAAGGTTGTGACCCCTGGTTTTAGTTTCTCCAACCAGGGGAAACAATCTCCCACTATCTACTCTATCATGCCCTTTGATGATCTTATAGGTTTCTGTAAGATCCTCTCTAATTCTTCTATATTCCAGAGAATATAGGCGCAAATTGGTCAGCCTATCCTCGTAACTCATCCCCTTCATCCCTGGTACTATCCTAGTAAATCTACGCTGCACCCCCTCCAAGGCAAGTACATCCTTCCTTAAATAAGGAGATCAAAACTGCACAGTATTCCAGGTGTGGTCTCATCCGGGGCCCTATACAGTTGCAGCAAGACTTCCCTACTCTTATACTCTAAAAGTGGAAGGTAGGAGGGAGCGAAGTGGGTGTATTTCCAAAGACCAGGAGCAGAATTGCTGATTCACAGACTCAGTGATGGGGCGGAGTGTTTGGGGGATGTGAAGCAAACTAGTGTTCAGGCAGGTGATGGTTCACAGGAGATTGTAGAGGCATGAGGTCCCAAATGGTCATGAGATGAATGAACAATAATATGAAGGATTGTTGTCCAGATAAAAGTACTTGGTTCAATTCGATCTAATCATGCCAGCCTTTCCAGAATAAAACAGGAGAAAGTAAAAGTAGAATATTTTCAGATACTCGAGGCAGCATGTTTAAAGTTTTGACGGGCATATTTAGGATTGGAATTACTAAAATGGAAGGGTGACTGAATCAAGAGTTATTTGGAAACAGCATTTTGCTGTATTAAAAAAAGGCAGTAGGGTTGGCATTCTGGAAGGATGAGATTATATCAACTCAAAGGCATCACCTGAACCTCTCCTATACTCCTTAGAAAGTTACATCATGGAAAAATTCTATCTCTTTCTAAATAGGGTCATGGGATCTTTAACACCCCCCTGAACAGATAGATTAGTTTCACATTTCATCTGAAAATAGCACAACACTAACTTGATGTGAGTTTCTCCTGGTGTTCTGCCCAACCATTCTCCAGAAACATGCAGAAACACATCACCATGCTTAAGAATATCCTCCCTGGAAGGATGCATCCCGTTTATCAAATTCTGGAAAGTATTAGGCACACGTTGGCAAGAGCCAAGGTTTGGATTTTTTTTGCAAGCTTTCCCATTGCTTATCCAGCTAAGACCATCCTACAAGTTAGGGCTTTGGCTTGCAGGGTTAATAGAAGCTGAGTGGGAAGAGTCACTGCTCCCAGTGACTTGTCAGCCCTTCCAAGTCCCGCCAATGAGCTAGGCTGGCTGTGCTGTCATCAGCAGTGGCCTGGAATACTGCGGACCCATTTGGCTCAGGAACTGGACTACTGAGATTGCAGAGGGCCGGCTCAATTCTGACATTCCATTGCCAAACATGTCACCCTGGCGCCAGTTCAGCACCAAGGAGACCCTAACTGTCCCCTCCCTACCCCCCAGGAGGATAGTCACCAGTTGGTCATTTAACATTTGACAAGTGGGGTTTGAACCCTCACTAGGTGGATGGCAGGTACCAGGAACACCCTGAGACCATTGCCACCATCTTCCTGCCCACAGCTCTGACACACACCCCTTCCCACTGAATGATGCTTCCACCAGTTGGAGGTACGGAGCTTAAGCAGCAGCTTCTTACCTCTCTGCAGGGCAATTAAGGTGGATTCCAAGTGTTGGATTGCTGCTGCCTTGGCTGAGATCAAATAACTCAGTAGATCAAGGATTCAAACTTTACAGCTTAGTACCATTACCCACTAGACCATCAGGGAGCCAGAGAATATTTTCATACAATAATTCTGATTATCATGCAACCTCATCTTGAGAATTACTGGAATGTATTTTATATTCTGCATATGTTGCAGTCATTGTGGTAGGGAAAGTGTTACTGACAGTGATCAAGGATTGCCAAACATTTCACAGTTTTAAAAGTGTACCAGTTACAAATTTCTCACTTGTTAAAACTTAATTGATTATCTTTGGCATTTTATTTACTATTAGTGAATAAAGGTGAAGGTTTTGATGAATCTCATCAATGTGATTTCTATTTCACTGGCTAAAGAAAATCGCAATAAATTGTTTTATCCATTTTGATGGCCATAACTGAATATAACTGAATAACATTCAAAATCTGCAGTCAGAAAGTGATGTAAATTTTCTCTCAATACAAAAGAGGCATTAACAGGCAGAGTTAGTGTACCTGGGGCCTGGAAGGTTCAGCATGTCCTTTAGTACGATATTTACCATAACACAAAGAGGCAATATTTGCTTTCTCTTTAGTACAATATCTACCATAGCAACACAAAGAGGCAATATTTACTTTCTCTATCCTTAATGCCTTCAGTTATCTGAAGCACCATGAATAAAAAGATTACCAAGGCAACACTTTCCTCATCTCAAAAACACATTTAAAAATGGTGAAGATAAATGTAGAGGTTTGTTGAACTGCAAACACAAATAAAAACTGACACAGCTATAGTACATTCTGTTCTTCACTGGGAGGTTTTGGTAATCAATGTATTCTTTCTACAATGCATAGTCTTAAAATACTTGCACATTGTATTTCAAACAAAGCATTAAAATAAATAATTTTAAATAATTCCAATAAAACACAAAATACTGCAGATGCTGGAAATCTGAAACAAAAACAGAAGTCGCTGGGAACACTCAGCAGGTCAGGCAGCATTATTGAGAAAGAAAAGTCAGTCTACGTTTCGGGTCCACGACCCTTCGTCAGAACACCACTTTCACCTGTTCTGATAAAAGATTGCGGATCTGAAACGTTGACTCACTTTCTTTTCTCCATAGATGCTGCCTGACCTGATCAGTGTGTCCCATTACTTTTCTAACTTTCTCCCCATTGGCACTAGGCTTTTTTCTTGTGGGCTGGCCTCCTCTTGTTGGGGTGGGGTTTCACAGGTGCTGGTTGCTCTCCAATCCCCTACTCAAGTGACTATTGTTGATGTTAAACATTGGCAGTGAGTCAGTTCGAGGCCCCCTCCCCTTTAGGCCTAGTTCCTTTAACAAAGACTTGTTACTTCCAGTTCTACACAAAAGATGGATAAAGTAGTGATTTCATAAGAAAAAAAACTTCAAAACTCTACACATCTCCAAATTGGGGAATAGTTTATTGAGTTCTATAAAAGGGACAGTTTTGTGAGCTAGAGGGAATTTGAGCCCAACAAATTCACAACAGTTTATAGTGCCCATCGACTTGTTCCTGAAAACATATTCTCTATGTGGTCTCAAGAATTGAGCTGCAGGACAAATTGTGATCACTCAATCCCACTGTACAGGCATTTCTGTGATGAAAAGAGCAGTGATTCACCTTGCGTAGTTTGGAGGCCTATCGATGGATGAGTCTTGATTTCAATATCCTGAGAATGCAGTGAGGAGGAGAAAACTCCTGTTGGAAATTAGCACAGCTCATAGGAGCTCTATATACAATTCCACCTCACCACTTTCACCAAGACTCCACATTAACAATTCAAGATTAAATAATGTTATCAAACCATAATGTTCAAAATGATTGAATTTGATGTTGTATTAATTTATTTAACTTTTTAAATGCAAAAGCTGCCCAGAGTACATTGTAAAAGTCCCATAGTATAAAAATGTTAATAAAGTATTAACAGTCATCCACATTTGTTTACATGTCATTACACTGATGCAATGTGATAATGTATCAGTTTTCAAACATTTTCTATATTTTACTGCAATATTTACACAAAAAAGAGGGGAAAACAGGCTGTAATGTTGTACTATCCCAAAAGTAAATGTTTTTCTAGATCGTCTGCTTCCCACATGATATGATAAACACAAAGTAATGTTTGACACAAGGATTGATATTGATAGGACCCAATTTCTGTACTGTTGGTCCTCTGCTGCTTTCTCTAGACCCTAGCTCTGTAAACCCAGGGACTAGGTGAGCTTAATGTAGGCCAGAGTTACAAGTACATAAACAATACAGTCTCTTCCAGAAACGACTGACTTAAAAATGAAGGAAACTACATTTTCTCATAGTTTGGCTTCTATCTATACAACGAAAATGTAATTATGGGAGTTACATCTTTCAAATGACAGAATCAAAAATATTACAATATCAAATACATTCGTCCTTTCCATTATACTTTACTCGGTGTAACTGATTCTTCACTTTCTTTTCCATGTCTTCTGAAAATAGATAGTAGGTATATGTAAATTAGGAACAAAGTTAATCCAAAATCAGCTCAAGGAATACTATGTTATGGTAACATCAAAGGGAACCCTAAGGTATTTTATAAGCATATAAAGAATAAAAGGTTACTCAAAGGTGGGGTGGGGCCAAAGAGGAAATCTTCTTGTGGAAGCAGAGGGCATGGCTGACATACTGAATGAGTACTTTGCATTTGTCTTCACAAAAGAGGATGCAGTCATTCCCACAGTATCCGAGGAGAGGGTAGAGAAATTAAATAAAAATAAACCAAGAGGAGGTATTAAAAAGGTTTCCGGTGCTCAAGGTAGATAAGTCACCCAGTTCGGACGGGATGCATCCTAGGTTACTGAGGGAAGGGTGCAAATAACGGAGGCTCGGGCCACAATCTTTCAAACCTTCTTGGACATCGGGGTGGTGCCAGAAGACTGGAGGGTTGCAAATGTTTCTCCCTACATGGAAAGGGGCAGAAGGATAAATCTGGGAACTACAGGCCAGTCAGCTTAACCTCAGTAGTGGGAAAATTTCTGGAGACTATAATCCTGGTCAAAGTAAATTTTCACTTAGAAAAATATGGGTTAATAAATGACAGCCAACATGGATTTGTTACAGGCAAATCATGTCTAACAAACCTGACAGAGATTTTTGATGAAGTAACGGAGAGGATGGATGAAGGTAGTGCAGTTGATGTAGTTTATATGGATTTTCAAAAGGCGTTTGATAAATTGCCACGTAAGAGACTTGTAAGTAAAATAGAAGCCCACGGTATTAAAGGGACAGTGGCAGCATGGATACAGAACTGACTGGGGGACAGAAAGCAGAAAGTGGTGGTGAACGGTTGTTTTTCTGACTGGAGGGAAGTGTGCAGTGCTGTTTCCAGGAGTGAGTATTGGGACCTCGGTTTTTGATCTATATAAATGACCTGGACTTGGGTACAGGGAGTACATTTTTCACGTTTGCAGATGATACTAAGCTGGAAAAGTAGTAAACAGTGAGGAGGATAGTAGCAGACTGCAAATGCACATAGACAGACTGATAAAATGCGGAGAAATACAAAGTGATGCATTTTGGGAGGAAGAATGAGAGACAATATAAGCTGATGGTACAATCTTAAAGGGGCGAAGGAACAGAGAGACCTGGGGGTTCATATAAATAAATCTTTGAAGGTGGCAGGACCGGTAGATAAACCGGTTAAAAAATGACACGGGATATTAGGCTTTATAAATAGGGGCATAGAATACAAAAGTCAGGAAGTTATGATGAACCTTTACAAAACACTGGTTCGGCCTCAGCTGGAGTACTGTGTTCAGTTGTGGGCACCACACTTTAGGAAGGATGTCAAAGCATTGGAGAGGGTGCAAAGGAGATTTACCAGGATGGTACCAGGAATGAGGGACTTCAGTTTTCAAGAGAGGCTAGAGAAGCTAGGATTATTCTCCTTGGAGCAGAGAAGGTTAAGAGGAGACTTGATAGAAGTTTTCAAAATTATGAGAGGATTCAATAGGGTAAACTGTTTCTACTGGCGGGTGGGTCAGTAAACGAGGACATCGATTTAAGATAGTTGTTAAAAGAAACAAAGGAGAAGTGAGGAGACGTTTTTTAATATTTTTTTTACAAACAGCTAATTGTTTGGATCTGGAATGTAATGCCTGAAAGGGTGGTGGAAGCCGATTCGATAACAATTTTTAAGAGAGTAGATAATTATTTGGGGATGAGTTTGCAGGGCTATGGGGAGAGAGCGGGGGGGTGGGAATAAATTCGATAGCGCTTTTCAACGAGCCGGCACAGATACGATGGGCTGAATGGTCTCCTTCTGGGCTGTATACAACAACAAGATTGCATTTATAGAGCGCCTTTCACGTCGGGAGGACGTCCCAAGGCGCTGGACAGTTGGGTCGGGACCCGAGCAGGGGGGAAATGGTCAGGGGGAGGGAAGGGAAGGGAGGTGTCGAGGAGGGGTTAGAGAGTTGAGAGGGGAGCTGAAGGCACGGTCAAAGAGAAAGGTCTTGAGACCGGCCTTGAAGGAGGAAAGGGAGGAAGCAAGGCGAAGGCACTGGGGGATAGAGTTCCAGAGCCTAGGGGCTGGGAGGCTGAAGGCCCGGCACCGATGGTAGGGCGGTTGGGGCGGGGGATGTGGAGCAGACCGGAGCCGGAGGAATGGAGGGTACAGGCAGATAAGTAGGGGGATAGTAGGTCGGAGAGGTAGGAGGGAGCAAGGCCGTGAATGGCCTTGTAGGTGAGGATGAGGATCTTGAATTCGATCCTCTGGGGGATGGGGAGCCAGTGGAGGCGAGCGAGGGTGGGAGTGATGTGGTCGCGAAGCCTGGTTCGGGACAGTACACGAGCTGCAGAGTTCTGAATGACCTGCAGCTTGTGGAGGGAGGTGGCGGGAAGGCCGGCGAGGAGAGGGTTCCCATAGTCCAGCCTTGAGCTGATAAAGGCGTGGACCAGAGTTTCAGCAGCGTGAGGGGTGAGGTAGTGCCATAGTCTGGCGATGTTCCGGAGGTGGTGGAAGGCGGTGCCAGTTGTGGCGCAGATGTGGGGGAGAAAGGACAGCTCAGGACAGCTATAATTCTATGATGTTACCCATGATGCGGAGTATTAAATTGCCCACTGTTCTTTATTTTTGTTAAATGGTCATTTTTATCCAATGTTATGGTTGACAAAAATCATACAATATTTCTCATATTGATATGTTAAACTTGAAAAATTCACGATACAGAAGCCAGAAGTTGCTGCGCTAATAGAAAATGTTTCCAATTTAAAATCGGAAAGTGTTCCACTGGACTCGGCTGTAACTTTGTAACCAAAGATCTGACTCAGTAAACACAGATTAGATGAAGCTTCAGACATGAAGATGGAGGCCTGTGGCAGCTGGGATCAGTACAGCAAGTTGTGCCTGAATAAGCAATCACTTAATGAAAATGTAAACATAAGTAATGAAATTTCAGGATCTTGTGTGAAAGCGCTATATAAATGTAATTTGTTGTTGTGAAATGTCGCATACTTTACCCATTATATTCTTGCAACGGAAACATCACTTACCTTTGACTCAATCTACTCGTTACAGAGTCAAGGAACGAGAACACACGTGAATTGAAATTAACAGTTTCAGTTGTTTCGTCTGAAATGGTGTAATCTGGAATATATTTGGTCACATTCATTGTTTTTGTAATAATAATAATCCTTGCATTTGGTATATAGCACCTTATCAAGTCGAAAGGATGTCTCAAAAGCACTTCACAGGAATTACTATAAAATGGAGTGACTGTATTTGTAGGCAAACACGGCAGTACAATTGCACACAGCAATGTTCCAGAAACAGCCATAATAATACCTACATTTGGTTTAGTGCCTTATCACGTCTTTAAGACGTCTCAAAGTGATTCACGGAATATACTGTAAGGTGAATTGACTGTATATTTTTGGGGGCAAAACGCAGCAGCCAATTGTGCGCATGAAACAAATGACCAATTTTTTTTTATTTGGGGTTTATTGGGAAGGCACCAGGAGAACCACCTTCTCTTTTTCGAACAGTGTCATGGGAACGTCTACCTGAACAGGCAGACAGGATCTCGAATTAACATATCATTCGAAAGAGTGGTAAAAAAAAATTCCCCATGTATTTCTCTTTCCTTTAAAATTGCCAATGCTGTGTAGTTTTATCATGGGTATAGGTAGACCTCTTCTTCTCAAATTTCTGTTAGTGTTGTGCAACTTGTTGCACATAGAAGTGCAAGAGAGTAATGGGTTAATCCATCTTTCGATTTTGACCTGCTCCCTCAGGACTTCCCGCATTGGTAGATACAAAATTATAAACTGGAGAGGAATAAATTTACACATGTACTATACAACACAAGAATTTTAAACACCAATCCACTGTACACCTTGATAATATAGCTTCTTAAATCACAAGGCAATAATTAATTTTGTGATTATGATTAAATTATGTTTTATTACACTAGAAGTTTATTGATGTTTTTAAACCCAAAGTTAAAACATTTAAAACATTTTTTAGTACCTTTCTTAGAATCAGAATGTAATTCCTTTTCCAATAATGTATTCAGCATCTTGATGGTATTCTTTAGATGATTATAACTGTGATTCTGTTGTCTGTGCAGCATTGTAACAACTTTCTGTAAATTTCCCACATCTTTACGAATTGACGCCATCATTTCCATACTGAAAGAACACCAATAAATTACATTTGTATAGCACCTTTCACATTGGGAGAACATTCCAAGGTGCTGGATAGTCAGGGATTTGAACCTGAGCTGGGAGTTGGGATCAGGAGTGGTGGAGAGCAGGGAAATAGGAGGGTGACCGAAGGTACTGTCAAAGAAGAGGGTCTTGAGATGAGCCTTGAAGGAGGCAAGGGAGAGAGCGAGGTGAATGGACTGTGGGATGCAGTTCCAAAGGGTTAGGGCAGAGAGGCTGAAGGACCGACCACTGATGGTGGGGTAGGCTGGGCAGGGGACGTGGAGCAGGCTGGAGCCCACTGAGCAGAGAGGTCTATATGGAGTTAGAAAGTCACATAGATAGGGAGGAGCAAGGCCTTGGAGGGCCTTGAAAGTGAGAACTTTGAATTCTATCCTCTAGGGGATGGGGAGCTAGTAGAGCCGAGTGAGGATGGAGGTGATAGGGTCACGGAGCTTGGTGCGGGAGAAGACACGAGTTGCAGAGTTCTGGATGATCTGCAACTTGTGGAGGGAAGAGTTGGGAAGGCCGACAAGCAGGGAGTTGGCATAGTTGAGCCTAGATGTAACGAATGCATGGACGAGAGTTTCAGCGGTCTGAGGGAAGAAGCAGTGGTGATGTTGCAGAGGTGGGGGAAGGCAGAACGAGTCATGACATGGATGTTAATTACCATATAATTGGCAAAAGGATTTCTACATTCTCACATCACTTGAGCAGAGAGCCCGGCAGCGTGAGGAGGAACTGAGTGACGTGGAACAGATTGATAATTCTATTAAGGAATTTGGTGAGAGTGGGGATTCTTCAGCAAGAAGATACCAGAGAGATACCAGAGAGCAAGAGAGATGCCAGAGAGCAAGAGAGATGCCAGAGAGCAAGAGAGATACCAGAGAGCAAGAGAGATGCCAGAGAGCAAGAGAGATGCCAGAGAGCAAGAGAGATGCCAGAGAGCAAGAGAGATGCCAGAGAGCAAGAGAGATGCCAGAGAGCAAGAGAGATGCCAGAGAGCAAGAGAGATGCCAGAGAGCAAGAGAGATACCAGAGAGCAAGAGAGAACTCTTTCATTCAGCAGAAGAGTGGGAAATCTACTTTGAGTTAGAGGCAACCTTATATGTAAGCAGGCAAAGTCAATTAGCAGTTAATCATAGGCAGATGATGGGGATTAAAAAAATCTGTTGACCAGTCAAAACTGGGTGTTTTTGTTTTGAGTCCTACATAAAGAAGAGTGCCTCACTTTAGCAGAGAGCCTAGTAGTGTGAGAATTCTGTTAAGGATTTTAGTGAGAAAGAGTTGCAGAATTTGTAAAAAAAAAAGTATTTATATTATATTAAAATAATATAAAACATGTCTGGGAATATGGCAGGGCAGCTGAGACTGGTTGCATGCACAATGTGTGGCATGTGGGAACTCCAGGATGTTTTGCGTGCCCTGGACAGACAAGTGCCTCTGTCTGCTTGAGCTTAAAGTTTCTGAGCTCGAGGAGAGGCTGGTGTCACTACATAGCATATGGGAGGCTGAAGAGTTCACGGATTGAATGTTTCAGGAGGTGGTCACCCCACAGCAACAGAGGGTCCAGAAGGAGAGTGAGTGGGTGACCACCTGCAATGGTAGGAAGAGGGGATGGGCAGCGCAGAAATCCCCTGAGAGTGTGGCACTCACAAACTGGTTCTCTGCACTGAATACCGGTCCGGGTGATGACACCTCTGGGGAGGGGAGTCAAAAGCAAATGGATGCACAGGGGGACACAGCGAACAGTGTCAATACAATTGTCATTGGGGACACAATGGTGAAGGAGTAGACAGGTGTTTCTGCAACCAAGGACATGACTCTTGCATATTATGTTGCCTCCCTGGAGCCAGGGTTGAAGACATCATGGAATGGGTGCAAAATGTTCTACAGGGGGAAGGGAAACATCTAGAAGTCGTGGTCCATGTTGGAATCCATGACATGGAGGAAAGAAAGGGCTGAGATCCTACAGGGAGAGTATAGAAAACTAGGGAAAAAGCTAAAGAGCTTTTGATACTCACTTGCACGAGACACTGGGAGTAATCCAGAGATTGGATTACTCCCAGTGTCTCGTGCAAGTGAGTATCAAAACAGCAGAATCAAACACATGAATGCATGGCTGGAGAAATGGTGCAGAAAGGAGGGCTTCAGGTTCCTGGATCATTGGGACCAGTTCTGGGGCAGGTGGAACCTCTACTTTGAGACGTCAAGAAGACGTGAAAAGAGCTATATCAAATGCAAGTATTATTATTATTACAAGGTGGATGGGTTACACCTAATCGGGGCTGGGAACAATGTCCTCACAGGGAGATTAACTAGTGGGAAGGTTTTAAACTGATTGTGAGGGGAAAGGGAATCAGCCATGTAGCAGTAGAGAGGATAAACACGTTACATAGAGAGCTGGTAGAGACAAATAGCAATGTAATCAGGAGTAGTTCAGAAAAGGGAGGGATTAGATGGGTGAGAAATGCAGAACAGACTAAGTCGGCATTGGAGTACACGTCTGTAAATGCACAGAGTGTGACAAATGAGATTGGTGAGCTGCAGGCTCAAGTTACCACTAGGGGTTATGATGTAGTGGTAATAATGGAGACCTGGCTCAAACAAGGGCAGGAATGGGAGCTGAATATTCCTGGCTACAATGTACTTAGGAGGGATAGGGAAGGAATAATAAAGGAGAGTTAGTAGCAATATTGATTAAAGACATGGTTACGGCCCTGGAAAGGGACAATGTGCTAGAAGGTCCAAAAACAGAATCTATTTGGTTAGAGTTAAGGAGCAGAAAAGGAGCTGTTCCTCTCTTAGGTGTATGTTATAGACCACCAAATAGTAGAAAGGAGATAGTTGAGCAAATCTGCAAGCAGATTTCAGAAAGATGCAAAGCCAATAGAGGAGTGATACGGGGGACTTCAATTATCCTAACATAGACTGGCAAAATAACCAGTGTAAAGGGCAAGGAGGGGGAAGGATTCCTGAAATGTGTGCAGGATAACTTTCTGGATCAGTATGTTTTCAGCCCAACGGAAGGAAGCAGTGCTGGATCTAGTTCTGGAGAATGAAGTGGGCCAAGTGCAGCAGGTTTCAGTAGGAGAGCATCTGGACAACAGTGACCACAACATCATTAGGTTTAGGGTACTTATGGAAAGGGACCAGGAGCAATCAAAGGTGAAGATACGCAATTGGAAGAGGGCTAATTTCAGTGAGTTAAAAAGGCATCTAGCCAAGGTAGACTGGAAAGAAAGATTGGTAGGTAAAACAGGTAACAAGGAATGGAAAGCCTTCAAGGAGAAGATAGTTCGGGGACAGAACAAATACATTCCCACAAAAGGGAAAGGTAGGGCATCAAACCTCCCTGGATGACTGAGGAAATTGGGATTAAAATAAAACAGAAAAAGGAGGTTTATGATAAATGTCAGGTCCAAAATACAGAAGTTAATCAAATAGAATATAGAAAGTACAGAGAACTGAAAAACAAAATAAAAGGGACAAAGAGATTGTATGAGAAAAGATTAGTGGGTGACATAAATGGGAACCCTAATATATTTTGTAAGCATATAAAGAATAAAAGGTTACTCAAAGGTAGGGTGGGTCCAAAGAGGAAATCTTCTTGTGGAAGCAGAGGGCATGGCTGACATACTGAATGAGTACTTTGCATCCCAGGTTACTGAGGGAAGTAAGGATGCAAATAACGGATGCTCTGGCAACAATCTTGAAATCATCCTTGGACACCGGGGTGGTGCCAGAGGACTAGAGGGTTGCAAATGTACAAAAGGGGCAGAAGAATAAACTTGGGAACTACAGGCCAGTCAGCCTAACGTCAGTAGTGGGGAAATTTCTGCAGACTATAATCCAGGCCAAAATAAATTTTCACTTAGAAAAATATTTTTTGATGAAGTAACATAGAGATGAAGGTAATGCAGTTGATGTAGTTTATATGGATTTTCAAAAAAATTTGATAAATTTGCCACATAAGAGAATTGAAAGTAAAATAGCAGCCCATGGTGTTAAAGGGACAGTGGCAGCATGGATACAGAACTGGCTGGGAGACAGAAAGTCGTTTTTCTGACTGGATAGAGTTTTTGATCGATATAAATGATCTGGACTTGGTACAGGGAGTACAATTTCCAAGTTTGCAGATGATACTAAGCTGGAAAAGTAGTAAACAGTGAGGAGGATAGTAGCAGACTGCAAATGCACATAGACAGACTGGTAAAATGGGCAGACACGTGGCAGATGAAATTTAATGCGGAGGAATGCAAAGTGATGCATTTTGGGAGGAAGAATGCGAGACAATATAAGCTGATGGTACAATCTTAAAGGGAGTGAAGGAACAGAGACCTGGGGGTTCATTTAAGTAAATCTTTGAAGGTGGCAGCACAGGTAGATAAAGCTGTTTTTTTTAAATAAAGTTTTGAGGCGATTCGATAGGGTGAACAAGGAGAAACTATTTCCACTGGCGGGTGGGTTGGTAACCCCAGGACACCGATTTAAAATAGTTGTTAAAAGAAACAGAGGGGAGGTGCGGAGAAATTTTTTTATATACACACAGCGAGTTGTTCGGATCTGGAATGCATTACCTGAAAGTGTTGGGAAGCCAATTCAATAACAGCTTTTAAAAGAGAAGCAGATAAATATTTGGGGAGGACAAGTCTGCAGGGCCATGGGGAGAGAGTGGGGGAGTGGGATTGATTTGGATAGCTCTTTTCAACGAGCCGGCACAGACACGATGGGCCAAATGGCCTATTTCTGTGCTGTATAATTCTATGATCACACAATTTAACATAAATTAATTTTTCAGTGGCCCTTTAACAGCTCAGTACAGTTTCTACATACACTGGATTCAGAAAAATACTCAAAAATATGAAACTGTCATCCTAAGCAGACAAGACTACTGTTACTGTTAAAAAATGGTAGGTAGGGTCAATAAAATACCAACTTGAATTACAACAGGGCACGAATGTCAGCCAGCACTTTTGCATGCAGTCCATATGATAAATTTATATAGAAGAGAGCATGAGAGAGAGGGGAAGAGAGAGAAACAAACAGAGAGAGAAAAGGGAAGAGAGAGAAATAAGCAGAGAGAGAGAGAAGTGAGGGCAGTGTTTGGTGGCTCACTGTCTGGATAGACGATCAGAGCCTCCCTTGGCTGTTGTGGGGTCCTCTACGTCCTTCATTTACCCCCCCCCCCCCCCACTCTCGACCCAGCTGTTCCCTTTGCCAAGCAAACACCAGCTTATTTCATGTCCCTCCAGTCCATCTGCACCACCATCGCCATTTTGCACCTGCTCTCTGAAACTCCATTCCTCTGACTCACTCCCTCTCTTTCCTCTTTCAATGCACATCAAGACCTAACTATTTGACCAAGCTTTCAGTCATCTTTTCTCCCATTCCCACTTCCCTCGGCTCCCACCACCAGCTCAGGTGCCCAGCTGGCAATGTTGTTCATTTTGAGACGACCTTCTGATGTTTACAAAAAAAGGCGTAAGGTAAATATTATGTTTCTGGAAGGGAAACACAAAAATATCGCTTATGGCGCCTGCAGACATTTTTCAAATAGGGCATCTGGCCCTTGGCAGACAAAAGGTTGGATCAGCTTGGTTGAGAGTTTTCAGTGACAAGAGAAAATGAAAGAGGATCTTAACTGTCCAATGCTTTGTTCTCATATTTCTCCACCTCTGTCCCATTGCCAACCTCCACTCATTTCACACCAAATGCCACTAAAACCTTCATTCACACTTTTGTTACCTTCTGCCTAGACTTTTCAAATGCACTCCTCACCAATCTCCATAGTTCTACCATCCATGAGCTCTGATTAATTCAACATTACCTCATCGCTGTTGATCTTTTTCCTATTACTTCCTCCTCTCCAAACTGCACTTCCACCTTTTGTAGAAATATGCTATGTTCATCATTTTGGATTTTCTGTAAAAATTCTTCCAATGTGGTCTAGAATATGAAATACAATGAAATATGCTATTCGTAATCAGAATATATTCAATGTCCTTCCCTCAGGAAAAATAATTTGTTTTGCTAGGAGAATGTTAGACATGTTGTAGATAAAATGTTCTGTGGGTAGATGACAATTGTGCTTAACTTGGAACGTGTTCTTATTCATCAAATGCCACATTGATTGACACAAGAAAAATCACAAAGAAGAATTTTGAAGATAGTTGTGATGCTACAAGCTCAAGTTTTTACCCATGTAATTCTTCCTTCCTTCTTTTACTATACACATAGTACATTCTCTGTGCCAGTTCTTTTCCCATGAGTAAGAATTATAATACAATTTAAATACTTGAACTTAAATACTTAATCATAAGACTATAATGCCTCACTTTGCGAAAATAATGCCACCAAATTTTGGTTTGCAAGTTTTAGATAATGGTAAATTACCATTGGTTTCAGTCTTGAGACATCTCAGAGAGGGCCTTATTATGTATGTATAATATTTTAAATGTGATTGAGACAGCAAAGTAGTTGAGGCCTGGACACTGGTCTCGTTAACATTTATTAAAAAAAACATCTTGATGCTATGATTCAAAGATAGAAGGTTGGGCAATCTAATGGATGAGATCAAATAAAATGAAGGGCCTTCTTAATTTGAACCAATCTTATGATTCTTCCCCAGTTTTTGTTCAACTTACACATTTAAATAATATTCCTTCATTTTACAGCCCTGCTTTAAGATAGATTTTCAGTTTTGTTTTTTGTTTGGAACAGTGAAACCTACGTGAAGCAGGCCAGTGTCCACCAAGCAGAGAGAGCAAGTGGATTGGCAGGGTTTGAGGAGATCGCAGATGTGGGGTGCGGCTTTGTATGTGAATTTTGAACTTCAATAAAATAATGTGGAAAACTCCATATCAATTTCCTGTCCATTGTTGTGGCCTTTTTTAAATGTAGAGACTAGCTTTGTGGACCCAAGCCACCATTTTATAATGGAGACTCCTGCTGGAATGTTTTGTTGGTACATTGTAGTGTATTTCATCCAGTAACCTGTTATGCAGTGTTTTAATATCTGCAATAGTCAGTCCCAATTAATGCTGGGTCCTCCTGATGTGAAAGACGCGATACAAATGTAATTTGTTTTGTTGTTATTGGGTTCCACATTGTACTCACTTTTATTTCAAATATAGCATTCTTTATATCATCTTGCTGTTCCAGTATCCCAGTATCAGTGTTAAAAGGTTCTACAAACGGGCCAGGCATTTGATGAATACTTTGCAACGTTTCAGCCTTTCCAGCAAAAAATGGTAGTTTCTTTAGCTGAAGCAGGACAATTGCCCTTTGCATATATAAAGTCTCTGTTAAGTCACCTGCAGAGCTGGAAAAAAACATTACGTATTACAATAATTTATGGCAGGTTAGCATCTTATTATCTATGGATGCACACTCCATCTCACTGAGCCAGTCTGGAACCTTGGCGTCTTATTTGACTCTCAACGTGGAGTCCTGTAGCTCAGTAGTTAGAGCACTCGCTTTGCAAGCGAGAGACCCGAGTTCAATTCCAGGCAGGGCGAAACCTTGGGCAAGTTTCCTTACTCCACACGCCTAATAATAATCCCTCCAAAACCAAAAACAATAATAAATTGGTCATTTTCAATCTACGACTGTTTGTGGGACATTGCTGTGCGCAATTGGCTGCCGCATTCGCCCACAAATATACAGTCAATTCACTTTACAGTGTGTTCTGTGAAGCGCTTTGGGACGTCCTCCCAACGTGAAAAGCGCTATATCAAATGCAAGGATTATTATTATAACTGTCTTTTCTATTCCATGTCTGTGTCATGACCTATTCAGCCTTCCCCAACCTCCGCAACATCGCCTGGCTCTGCCACTGCCTCAACCCTCAGGCTACCAAAACCCTCATCTACGCATTCATCACATCTAGGCTCAACTAGATAGTCACCTCTTCAAATAACTTCATTGGATTCATGGTTCCAAATCCATCAATGATCAATCCAAATCCATCAGAGGAGGGGGTAATCCTGAGGCCTCAAGGACAAATCTTATGCTCCCAGATGATTTTTACCCAATAGTATGACAATTTATACGTGTATAGAAAGGCAGAACAAATTATTATTCCACCTTAGTAACCGTATATTAGATAAGGAGTTGAACAGTTAATTTAACTTACCCTGAAAATGCATCATTCAACATGGCTATAAGGAGATTTATAGCAACAATTGATTCTAGTCCAACGAATGTTCCTACAAGTATATACGTCATCAATGGATTCATCCCATAGAAACTATCAACTTTGTAGTCACGGAAAACCCACATACGAAACATAGTGATTAGAGTATCTGATACGGTCTTCATTTCAGGTACATTGTCTGTTCCTTCAAAGTAATACAATTTTTCTAATATTAGGATTCTTAATGACACAAAAGTATAAGAAAAAGGTAACAGATCGTTATAAACTTTCAACAGTGAACATACATTTGGATCGGTTTAGTGATACATTTGATACTTATCACATTGAATGTGATAAATATCAAGCAGCCAAGGAGCCATACTCCTTGGCTCCCGTCAACACCTTCACTCCTGTGGATCTAAACTCCTCAACCTCCCTGGGCTCTCCCTCAGACTCACCGAATCTGTGAGCAACCAAGGCATCCAGTTTGAACCCCAGCTGTTCATCCTCCCCCAATATCCGGTCCCTGACCAGGACTGCCTTCTCCCACCTCCACCACATTGCCTGCCTCCAAACCGTACCTTACCCCAAATGCAGCCGAAACCCTTGTGCATGCGTTTGTCACCTCCCACTTGGATTACTCCAACACACTTCTCGCCAGTCTCCCCACTCACAAGATCCACCTTCTTTCAAAACTCTGCCGCCCGCATACTGACCCGGACCAAACTCCGTACCCACATCTCACCAGTTCTGGCCAGGCTCCACTGGCTCCCCATGACTGAATGGATCGAATTCAAAATCCTCACACTCATGTTCAAATCCATTCACTCTCTGGCATCTCCCTACCTCTCCGGCCTCCTCACTCCCCAATCCACCATCCGGTGCCTCCACTCCACTGGCACCGGCCTCCTGTTCATTCCTCGGACCCTCCACCCCACTATCGAAGGTCGCGCTTTCAGCTACTATACCCCAAAACTCTGGAATATTCTTCCTCAATCCCTCCGCCTTGCCCCCCACCCCCTCTTTCAAGTCTCACCTGAAAACTTTCCTCTTCAACCGTGCTTACAGCCATCTCCCCACTCTCCCAGGCTCAGAGTCAGGCTCCACTACTGTTAAGCGCTCTGCGTGGAGGGCACTATATAACTCCAAGTTGTTGTTGTTCTTGTTGAATGTTCCCTGGATGTATTTAGAGGTACACTTTCCCTGTACTGTTTGTAATGGTAATCTACATAAAGACTGGACCTTCACGGCTGCTCTTTAATGTGACACTGGCTACTTTGAGTTATTTTATTTAGAAAAAAGGCCAGTATCCCACCAACTGGCAGTAATCCACAAGTCCAGCTTCACAGCAGTTACAACTGAGAACAATGTGGTGTGGGAGGCCAAAATAATCCACCACCACGACATCCATGAAACATTTGGCATTTTGATTGCCTTGTTAGTGTTCCAATTTAATTTGTCCTTGCCAAATTCACAAAGGCAAATGGAAAACAATGCATAATCCCCAGGGTTTCAGATTATACACGTTGTGTTCTTCAGGAACTCATCATCTAATCCTAACATTAGAGTCTGCAATGCAACATTATGTAATATAACAACTCCTTTAGACAGATAATATTAAATATTTCAGAAAGTTAGCTATATGTTGTACCTCCAAAGATCAGATAGAAGGAAAATCCAAATGGTATAAAGAATTGAATACAGATGAATATGAATTTAAAGAAGATTGGGATAACATTGCCAATTAGGACTATAAATGGTCCAATAGTCCTGTAGGGAGAAAGAATGAAATCTTTGTGAAATTATTCAATAGGTTTTGAATTACTGAGATTATAAATTAGACAATAAAGAACATTTGTTGTAGGGCATCTGTAGCTCAGATCGATTAAACCAGCAAATAACAATATTTGATCCTAAATTTTGTTGTAAAATACATTCTGTGTACATAATCAGGCAAGAACCATTAAGCCAAGAGCAATTTTTGTTATCACAATTGTTTTAGACTACTCTTCCTTTGCCCTGCTGCTGAATGTTTAAGACTACCAGCTGTATTTCTCAATACATCTAAAAGCTATTCAATTTGGGAGCTACATTCATGTCCAACTCTGGTGTTCCAATTTTATACACAATGAAATAGATGTACATTCAAATAAATAGATGCTATATCACATGTAAGGATTATTATTATAATTCTGTAGTAATACTACTCACCTGAAAGGCCTGAAATTTTTGATGTTCCAAAACCAAAGAACAGGAAGTGTAATTGCTACAACCTGGAGATGAAGTCGCGAGAACACCCTATTGCTCCCTGCTATTATATCTGCAAAGTGTGCAGCTGTGACCACCAGGAGCAGAATAATAATCAGGCAGGCATAGATGAACCTAAAAAATATTAAAACTGAAATATAATCGCTTTACTATTCAAATGGGTTAATAAAGTCTAAGGACATTGATCCATTTATATAAAAGACAGATAGTTTAACCAATAATTTCTTAATTTGGCAATAACTATAGGGATTGAAGACATTTTACTCACCAATAATCTGTGTAATACTGTGGTTTCATATTTTTCAAATCACTCAGTTCCTTTTCCACAAAAGCTGCCTCCTAGTATAAGAATATGTTATTATGTAAATAGATATTTATTTTGTGGATTTGATGTTACATATGCGGAACAGTCATAAAATCAAATATAAAGCTAAATATAGAGATCACAATGCTGAATTCTGAGTATTCACAAAATGTTTTATAAATTAATTACAATGCAATGATTATTAAACAAATGTATTCCATTCCCTATGTCTCCACTTGAAAGAGTCCCTCTTGTGCTAACCTTTCATCCTTCCAGATCATCTTCAGTCATTTTCAGGAGGAATGTAATGTTACAAACCAAACATTTTCCAACCTTTTGAATCCAGTCCAACTGTTAAATCATACCGTGATGAAATACAGCATGGATTAAATTTAGGGTGAAAGTAATCCTGCACCACCCTAACAAACCCTGCTACTTCTCCCTGACTCCACATGCACTGATTTTAGCCACGAGTCTCTAATGCAGCACTTCATCAAAAGCCTTCCCGGAAGTCCATATACACCACATCCACTGCATTTCTTTTATCTACTTAATCTGGCTCTTCTACAAAAAAAATGATAAAACTAAGCAATTTTGATCTTCCATTCATAAATCCATGTTGGCTGCTTTTAATTATACTTTCCTTTTCGAGATGCTTAGCTATTTTATCCTTTATTATACACTCCAAAATACCTTTCCCACCACAAACGTTAAGCTAAAAAGCCAGTAGTTTCCTGAATTGGCTCAATCTTCTTTCTTAAAAATGGGAATTACATTTGCCACATTCTACTTCCCTGGCACAATTTGTTCCTATTTTATATATTTATGCATATAAATAGTCTGAGCTATTTCCCTAGTTTCTTTAATAATAATCCTTGAATTTGATATAGCTCCTTATCACGTCTTCAAGACGCCTTAAAGCACTTTACAGAATATACTGTAAAGTGAATTGACTGTATATTTTGTGGGTGAAACGTGGCCGCCAATTGCGCACAGCAGTGTCGCACAAACAGTCATGGATTGAGTGATCAAAGTATTATTATTTTTGGGAGGGAGTATTACTCTCAGAAAAGTGATCCGTCAATTGACTATCAACCGGGTTCCTACTTACTGCTAGGTAAACAGACGTGTGGAGTAAGGAAACTTGGCTAAGTTTTCGCCCTGCCTAGGAATTGAACCCAGGTCCTTTCGCTTGTGAGGCGAGTGCTCTAACCACTAAATTACAGGACTCCTTGGGGGCGGTCCACCTGGACCTGGTGCTTTGTTCTCTTTATTCTTCACACATACTAAACTCTGCATCATTCCAGTTCTTGCCAGGCTCTACTGGCTCCGATTTCAAGATCTTCACACTCACATCCAAATCACTTCATGCCCTGGCATCTCTCTACCTCTCCGACCCTCTTACACCTCACTCCTCTACCTCCCCCCTTCTCTCAGCGAGCTCCAGTCTTCTGCATGTGCCTTGATCCCTCCGCTCCATTGGGGCTGTGCTTTCAGTCACTATGTCTTGAATTCCATCTTGCTATCCTAATCGTCATTTTAACCTCTTTCCTCAATCCCCTGCATAAACTGCCATTTTCTTTTTTATTTTACAACAACCACAACAACAACAGAATTACATTTGTATGGCGCCTTTCACGTTGGGAGCACCTCCCAAGGCGCTGGACAGACAGAGTTATGGACCCAAACTGGGGGTCGGAGTAGGGGAGAGTGGAGGGCGGGGGGAGAAGCAGGGAAATCGAAAGCACGGTTGAAGAGGAGGGTCTTGAGATAGGTCTCGAAGGTGGCAAGGGAGGGGGCGAGGCAGAGGGACTACGGGGTAGAGTTCCAGAGGGTGGGGCAGAGTGGCGGAAGGCCCGCCTGTCAATAGTGGGGCGCGCGAGGCAGGGGACATGAAGCAGGCCGGAGCCCACTGAGCGGAGGGAGCGAGCAGGATGGTAGAGGGTTGGGAGGTCTCAGAGGTACGGGGGAGCAAGACCGTAATATTTTAATATCAGTTTTGTCATTTTCATACTTGTTTTCCTTTAGATTCAATTTGATCTTCAACTTTTACATCCATGGCATCTTATAAAATAAATTAATTTATTTCTAATACAATGAATTTCTCACATTTCTTTTCCATAACAGAATTTGAGTTTGCACCTTTGATTTTTCATACAGGAAATTCTTAGTTTGGATCACGCATTTGAAGGAAACAAGAAGGGAACAAAATTTAAATACCCATATTGCACTCACCCATGCTTTAGCATTGACAATGCGCTTAAGTAGAATTCTGGTGTTACACCTTTCAACTGTGTATTCGTACAAAATCTGTAACACTTTGAAAAAGATGCCTGTTGTGTTTTGGAGTGTGCTGCAGAGTTGAGCAGTAATACAATGCAGGATCTTATTGGTGCCATCTCACACAGTAAATTCCCATTCTTATCCATCCCATCAGATCGTTGTCACACACAGGAAAGAAGGACAAGTTGGAAGGCAGTCACAAAATAATAAATCAATGCCTTAAATGGGTGTGGAACTGCCCCATTTTCCAAACTTGAATTATTATAGATCCAACAGAAACAATTCTTACCATAGGCCAAGAAGGATGACAGTATGTTTTATCCTTAAGAATTTTCTTTTTTTCATTCTTCTTCCATACCTTATGTTTTGTTTTTACATTAATGAGATTTACAAATTCAGCTTCAACAAATAGAAGGAGTTGAACAATGCAAAGAACGATGAGTAGAACTCTCCACCAGTCCTAAATATCAAGACAAACAATTGCTACATTTATACTCACATAAAGGGTCCAATCAACTACATCCCAATCATTTTTTGCGAATCAATTTTCTAAGAAAGATATCTATACGCATTCAGTTAAGGCCAGAGTGAAGCTCTGATAACTTGTCACCCCAAGGGAAATAGATCAAATGACTACTTTTCAGAGTTGACTAACTATCCAAAGTACAGTATCTCAAAAGTATTTGAATAGCCAGGACATTGAGTAAGTGACTAGTTACATGAGGTTGACGACCTATCCCAGGGTCGAATTATCAGAGTTTAACTGTAGTATCATGATCTAAGGTGGGAGGCATAAATTGGGTACTTGTATGCATGTCATACACTGCATGAGACTTGCTACATTAAAGAATTATTTTCACTGATTTTCTACTGGCAGATATTTTATTTCCACAAAGGCATAGCTGCAGCCAGCCATGCAACCAGAAAAGTGGGACCAGAAAGTTTGGATTAGGATTTGGGGAACAAGTAGTATCTCTCTATTCTACGAGGTCATGATAATATCTAAGGTGGAGTCTGGTTCCTGTGCATATAATTGAAAGGAATAGTGAGAGGGAAGGCCAGCTTGGGAGAAAGGAGCAGTAAAGAGAGGGAGGATTATCAGCTGATCTAAAGGAAAATGGACAGAGAATAATGGAAAAAAACACCAAAGTAGGTATGGATGAACAGTAACCTCATACTCAACGAATTTATCAAGATTATTGAATTTTAAAATTGTTATTATTATTAAGTAAAGTCAATATATTAAATAATTGCCCAAAAGATCAACTTTTTAATTTCCACGCAAGAATTTAATTATCTAAGGCAGTTAGTATTTATCGAGGCAAGATTACAAATTTGTAATGTTTGGAATAAATAGCTGGTGATGTGTTTCTATTCGATGATGCAACCGGTGTCAAAACATTAAAGTGGAATCATCTGTCATGATTTTTTTCCTGAGGAGAACAATACTATAAGAATTATAGTACTATATCCACAGAATGCCAAAAATGAAGATTGCTTCACATATTTATATGATCCTATTTTTCCAATTCAGATGTGACAATATTTCATCACATTTTCTAAATAGATTTGTAGCCTTCACCATACGACCAGTTCATTTTTCTGGAATGTTCAATCAGATTTGCCACTTTTAAATATTAGTTTCATTCTAATTACGTTGGTAAAGCACTCACCAACTGTGACTTATAGCACTGGTGGAGTAATCATTTAACGGTTCCAATATACAGAGCGATGTGAAGCCATTGAACCCCCTTACATTCCCAATTAATTGACTCAATTGATGGTTTGTTCAATGATATTACCATGTTAAGCATATAATACTCTTTGAGAATCCAAGCAAACTGGTGATTTCGTAATAATCAAATGCATTTGATATTTGATATAGCACCTTATAGTCTTCGAGATGTCTCAGTGGGCTTAACAATAATATTAATCCTTGCATTTGATATCACACTTTATCATGTCTTCGCAACGTCTCAGAGTTTCACAAAATATACTGTAAAGTAGATAGACAGTGCATGTTGTTTAGTGGGCGAAACGCTGCAGTCAATTGTGCACAGTAGTGTCCCACAAACTGTCGGGGATTGGTTGACCAAATTACTATTTTTAAAAAAATATTTTTTGAAAGGATTATTACTAAACAGTATCAACTTTAAATAGACCCATAAGACAAGAATTAAAGTTTAAGCATTTTCTACCTGAAGAGCTGAATGTGTAAAAAAAACTTGAGTCAAACTCTCTTGAGCAGCACTCAAAAATTGGGTAAAACCCAACATTGACTAACGAGAGTAAAAGTTTCTTGTGAAAACAGTCAACTCAAAATCCAATGTGAAAACCATCAAGGAGAGACTTATCCACAGGCTAATACATGATATAATGCAGTGCTTGCGTGCTGAGCAGGAGACCCGTTAAAACGATCTCTTCCCCAGGACTGAATGCAAATAAGTCGTCTGCACTTGTATTTTACCTGAGGGAAGTTGTAAATATATTTCTTGTCCCAATCTATTATTGTCATAAAGATAGTCCAAGGGATGATGAAGAAAACTTTGAGCAGCAATAGTATACATGCTCCAAAGCTGAAAATGAATTGAAAAGTACAAGTAAAATATTGAAGTTTCTCTGTGCCATATGTCATCAATTTACAATTGTCTGGTATATTCCAATCAAATGACCTCAGTAGCCTCTTTCCCAGTGACAATAAATCTCAGCTGCATCCAGCTTCGCTCCTCTGACCTTACTGTCTGATTACTTAGGTGTAAACGATTAAGCACAGACTAATGCAGTCTGACAATAAACCACCAGGAAATTGTTCTTCAGTCTCAACAGAATAAGGATGGAAATATATCAGCAATCACATCAGCTCCTTTTCCAATTTAAAATAAGCTTTTAATTCTAAATGCTATATGAGCCTTGTAAATTTAGATTTGTAAATATGTACATTCACAGACTTTAAAAGTATTAAGTAAAAGCTTTAAACAAACACTCAATTTGACTCCATTCCAACGTTGCCAAACACATTGCACTTTGCAGCCCGAAGTCTGAGTGTGCAAAAAACAGACCCCCCCCCACCCCACCCCCTGCTGACTTACACAAATGGTTCACTCCTATTCAAGCACTGAAAAAAAAGGATTTTGGATATCGGGGAAGCCACAGTAACATTGTCTTTAAATCCTGGAGCCAGCATTTAAGCATTGTTCCCATATAACAAAATTGTAGGTCTCCAGATTTTAGGTTAAGAGGCAATCCCTCCCCATTTACAAACTTCAAAGATATGAAAATGAAACCATTTATGAGGATATAAAGGTTACAATATCCTAAATTTACTTAACATATAATCTATGTATATATAATGAAAGAAACAAGATCAACACAAAGAAATACTGTATATACTTACAATCCATATTTGTTCCACTTGACATCTATCAACCGTTGAACTACAGGATGTTGTAACATGCTAAACATTCGGTAATATACTATCAGCTCAAGCTATTGAAACAATAAATTTAATTATTCTATAATTTTCACAAGAATTCGTGGAAACAAAAATACAAAGATATGAAAAAATTGTGGTAACAGATTTTGTAGCTACATAGATTTAACAATTGTTGGTGCACCTTTTGATGCATTACTCATCATTGAAAGCTGTTAACTTCACTAATTGACCCCAACATGGAGCTGAAAACAATATAGATATTAGGACATCACAGAGAAGATACAATAATAAAGTTCTAACCAAAAAATGTCATCGGCAGTCATGATGTCATTATAGTATTGTACATACAGTGGCTCTATTTGTTTCTCACAAATCTTCCCATCCAATGCCAGCCTATTGTTCACTGATTTCCCTAACCCTACATGTACATGCGTCGGATCTTTCCCTCAACATATCCCCAAAATCTAGCAAACATAAGTACTGAACAGAGAATTGTTTTTTGTCAGCCGGGTGTCTGACAAGAGAACCCATCCCCATGCTTAAGGATTTCTGCATGTACCAAGCACCCAGCTGACCCCCCCCAAAAAATCTGTTCAGTACTTTTTGGAATAATATTTAAACTACAGCAATGAATTTGCTACCTGAAGCACATGAAACAGAATAAGCTCCAGTGATCACAAACTTGGATCTGAAAAGCAGGTAAGTATTCTAAGATCTATATGGGGTGAACCACAATAATTTCTTGAAGTATTGTAAAATGCATCTTTTCCATTTCTGGAAAATCCTACCGAAAGACCAGAGATCCCAAAAGTGCTGAAGAGGAGGGACATGGCATGTTCAGGACAAAGATTTTTTATATATACAACCACCATGGGAAGGGGGGGGGGGGTGGGTGGCGGGGAGAGAAATATGGGCATTTTAAGGTGGCATTCCTGATTTCACAATTTACGGCCACAGGTGGTTAATGATTTCAGAACCCTCAGAACCCAGGAATAGGTAGCAGCCTTGGAATAATGAAATGTTCCTGGACACTATTTCATTTATTTAATACTATTTAATTACAGATACATTTGTGATTATTTGCCCCTTCCCTCCCCACTTTTGAATCCTGCCTAAAGACCTTCCTCTTTGATCGTGCTTATGGTCACCTCCCAACTCCCTCTATCCCTGGCTCGGGTCAGACTCCACCACTGACAAGCGCTCCAGGATGCTATCCCATATGAAGGATGCTATATAAATGCAAGTTGTTGTTGTGAGAATGCACCTTTAACTATGTACATCACTGAAAAGTTTTTCCAAAAAAGTGACATGCTTAAAACATAAGAGTATATTTTCAAATACTTACCACGGTCTTTGACGAGCCCTTTGCCTCTGTAGGTAAAAATGAAAGTATTAAATATCAGTGTATATACTTAATGAATTGTGTTCAGTTCATTAGTATTTGTGCAAAATATTTGTTATGTAGTGCAATCCCCTCCCCACCAGCTATTTGCCCATTGACTTGTCAAAGACACCTCTTGGTCTGTGACTACTTGACCCCTCCACAGACTTCAACACTGTTGACCAGTCCATCCTTCTCCAGTCTTTCCACCATCCTCCACCTTCAGTGCATTTTTTTGATTCCACCTGTATTACCACCATCACTTTGTGCTTCTTTTTATGTCTGCTTGTGACTACTAACTTCACCAGGTATACTCAATCCAGCTCAAGGACCCCTACCTCACGCCCCCTAACACAGCTTACTTTCATTCACACCTTCTTCATCTCCAGATATTTTTCTCCAATGCTTTCACCACCAAACTTCCCAGCTCATCCAGAACTATGTAGCCTATATCCATTCCCACTAGACTCTGAAAAGCCATCGTCCTCGTCTGCACAACGTTATGCTGCCTCCCTATTTCCCACCGGATCAATTTCCAGATCTTCATTTTAACTTTTAGAGTCCCGTTGCATAAAGGTTAGCACTTGCCTCGCAAACGAGAGGAGCCAGGTACAATTCCCAGAAGGGGCAAAACATTAGGCAAGTTTACTACACAAGCCTGTTTACCTAGCAGTAAGTAGGAACCTGGTTATTAGTAAATTGGGGGATCGCTTTCTGGGAGTAATAATACCTTAAAAAAANGTGATCACTCAATCCACAATTGTTTGTGGGATACTGCTATGTGCAATTAGCTGCCGCATATCACCCACAAGATACAGTCAATCCACTGTACAATAAATTCTGTGAAGGGCTTTAAGACGTCTCAACAATGTGATAAGGCACTATAACAAATCCAAGGATTATTACTTCAAATGCCTCCACACTTGTGCTTCACCTTACCTCTGGTATCTACTCCAACACAGGACTTATAACTCAGTGCTATTGCAAATGCATCATCCATTCTACACCACTTTACAGTATATCCCGTGAAGCGTTTTGCAACATCCTCCTGATGTGAAAGGCACTATACTAAGTGTAAGGATTATTACTTGTTTATCAGAAATTAATTACAGATTATGACTTGAGCAGGAGCCTAAATAAGGCAGTTCAAACTCAGAGACCAATTACCAGCAAATATTTATCTAACATTACATCTAGGAGAGTCCTAAACATAATGGAAATTCCCCCTTCAAAACAGTAGTTTCCCCATTACACCAAATGTTCCTTCCGTGTGTGTACCCATCCTATGGACTCAGCAAACCAGAGGAGCCAAACAACCTCCAGAACGAAACCAACTACTCTGATAGATCTGCCTTCGATAATAAGTGAGGATTAAATTCCTTCATATTCAACTCGACTGCACAAACTGGCAAGATTAGGGTTAATAAAAACAGCTGATCAGGCCGTTACAAAAAAGTGCACCTGACACCTTCCTTAGAAGGTGCACCAAGCATTTTTAGAATAATTTTTTTCTGAATCGTCACACCTACTGTGGAAAGCTGTAATATATGGTCTGTAACCATTTCACATCACAACCAACTCATTTTATTGCCCCAAATAGTGGTGCCTTAATCCTACACATCTTGGAAATTCAGTTTCCTTCTTCCAACACATGCAACTTGGAGGCCCCAAGATAAGTCAGAACAAAACCTTAAACTGACAGTGAGTCAAATAGCATTCTGAAAACTATCAAAACAGACTTCATGAACCCTCAATTACTTCATATTTGTCAAGCAATATACAGGCTGCAGATTCTGAGAGAAAAATAATCGTGATGGAAGTCCAGCTATCTCCACAGCGTAAATGACAGGGCATAAATTAGCCTCTGATACAGGTTAAAGGCAAAAATAACAAAAAAAACCTCACACACATAACTCTGAGTGTTGAATATTTATTATGAACTATGAAGGTATTAGGCAAACAGGGTACAAATGGGTACAAAATCTGCAGGCATGATACTTCACTGTGGTGCCATTTTCATCGCGACTTCAACAATAACCGATCCCACGTGTCCTGAGGCTCAAGACTCGAATTGGCCCTGAACTGTCCCACACAGGTATGTCTCGGACACCCTCAAGGCCATCTCCAATTCTCTTTCAAGAAACTAAAATACTAATTTCTCCCATGAGCCAAATGCAAGGTTGTTTTGTTATTGTATTGTCAAATACTATCTCTTCTAAGGTACATAAACAAAATTCAGTTTGATGTCAGTTTGAAAAGAAAATGAACACAGCATTGCTCAGTTTCTTTTGATTTTTCTTAGATATCATTGGTTAGTTGTTAATGATATAATTCCAGGAATCTGTTATTGTCATTTATGAAATGTATGTAAACATTTCTAAATAATTGTAAAGCTAAATTTAACTGCAGCAATACTAAGATGTATGTTTTGTTTGAATGAGGCAGAACTAAATATGTTCCTTACATGCTGCAATAGTATGGATCACTCAGAGTAAGAGGCGCTGGAAAATAGTTGTCCAAAAGATAGCAGTCTCAGCTTACTAGCATTTTCATTTTCTTATTTCCAATCAATTTTGGTTAGAGAAACTAATAGCTCGAAATTATCTTTGCTTCACAGAAAGCTTCAGAAACAGATGGAAAAGCTATGGAACAAGCCACAAATAAAAGAACTTAGAATATTGTACAATATGCTGGGTCTTATTGAACATATTCATAAAGTAAATTCTATTTAAAATGAAACCCACCTTGAGTCACAAAAGGCTCCAAATGTTTCAGATAATATAAGTGCATTCTGTTTGTATCATCAGTAGCATGAAACTGATTTAGAGCCTCAAATCCCTGAAGAGTGACATTTAAAAATATTAACATATAGATTAAACACGCCTTTCAAAAAAAAGTTAATGCAAATCATCAAAATGTTACGGCAATTATAATGATCACAATTTCAGACTTTGTATATTACACGATAGTTAGAATGTTTTAAAAAAAACGTTTCCGTTTATTTATGTTTGAATACAAATTCAAAATTCAAAAGCATGTCATCTTAAGGCCTGTTCAGCTCCAAGGTGACATGCTTGGTAACAATGTCAAAATCAAATGAATCAATCATCTGTGGCGGTTTTGGTAGCTTGGTTTGAGCCAGGCGGGTCCGCAGCACTCCAAGGCACTGCTGATGATATTCAACAACAACAAATTACATTTATATAGCGCCTTTTCTTTACTAGTGTTTTCAAGGGTTTGTTTGGGATTGGAATCAAGAGGGATGGAGGGCAAGAGGGATGGGGTTGGAAGATGACCAAAGGCACGGTCAAAAAGGAAGGTCTTGAGACAGGCCTTGAAGGCGATGAGGTGAAGGGACTCTGGGATGAAATTCTAAGGGTGGGAGCAGAAAGTCTGAAAACCCAACAGCCCATGGTGGGGTGGGCAGGGTGGGGAACATGGAGCAGGCCAGTATCTACCAAGTGGAGGGAGCGAGCAGGTTGGTATGGTTTTAGTAGGTCGCAGAAGTAGGAGCAAGACAGTGGAAGGCTTTAAAAGTGAGGACGGGGGTCTTAAACTCGATCCTCTGGGAATGGAAAGGAGTGGAGCCAGCTAAGGATGGAGGTGATCATCTGAAGTCAAGCCTGGTGCAGAAGAGGGCACAAGCTTCACAGTTCTAAATAAGCTGCAGCTTGTGGAGGGAAGAGTCTACAAATCCCTACACGCCCTGGCACTTCCCAACCTTTACAACCTGCTTACTGCCCCACTCCTCCACAAGCTGTTTCTGATTGGCTGGCTCCGGCCTCCTGTTTTTTCTTTGTCTCTTCCACTCCATTATCGACGGCCATGCTTTCAGCCACTACATCCCCGAAACTTTGGAACTCTACCCCTCAATCGCTCTGTCTTCCCTCCTCCTTCCCCTTTTCAGATCACTCCTGAAGACTTTCCTCTTCAACTGTTCTTACTGGCAGCTCCTCCGTCTCTACAGCTCGGCATCAGGTTCTGCCACTGTTAAGCCCTCCAAGACGCTACCCTGCGTGAAGGGTGCTATATAAATGCAACTCATTGTTATGAAGTTCAGCGAGTAGGGAGTTAGTGTAGTCAAGCCTGGACGTGATGAAAACATGAATAAGGGTCTTGCAGCATGGGGGAGAAGTAGTGGCTGAGGTAGCCAATGTTGTAGAGATGGGGGAAGACTGAACAAGTTATGGCACAGATGTGGAGTTTAAGGGACAGTTGAGGGTTGAACAAGACACCAAAGTTCCGTACTGGTGGAGAGTGAATCCATGAATAGTGATGCTGTCAGTACCTGAGGTGAGTAGTTGCTGATGGGAGCTAAGAAGGAGGGACTCATCCAGGACTTGATGACTGACAGGCAGTCTGTCAGGACAGCAATGGTCCTGGAGTCAAGGGTGGAGGAAGAGAGATAGAGTTGGGTGTCATCCGCGTACCATATGGAAGTTAAGCCCATTCCTGTGGATGATATCACCGAGTGGGAGCAAATAAATATTAAAGAGGAGAGGACCAAGTACAGAGCCTTGAAGAGTGCCGCATTTGATGGTGGAAGGAAAGCCGTTAGTGGATACAAAGTGGAGATGATAAGAAAAGTAAGAGTGAAACCAGGCAAGGATAAAAGCTGAGAGGAGCAGCACTGGAGAAGAATAAAGTGGTTAACAGTGTTGAAGGCTGCAGAGAGATCGAGAAGAACACAGAGGCAGAGAACCTTTGTCACAGATGGACAGAATGTCATTTGTGGTTTCCACTAAGGCCGTCTCTATACTGTGGGCAGCACAGAAACCAGATTGGAGTGATTCATACAGGGAGTGGTGGGAGAGAAAATAGTGAGCTGGGAAGCAACAACTTGTTCCAGGACCTTGGATAGGAAGGTTGGAGATGTTAGAGAACAGATGGGTCAAGGGAAACCTTTTTGATGGTTAGGGTTAGGCTTTTTAAGGGGGTGTGAATGCTGCAATGGACAAAGAGGGGTTAATGATTTCTATTGTTAGTGGGGCAAAGTGTGAAGGGAGAGATAGGTGGAGGCCAGGGTGGGGAGCAGGGAGAAGGTAACTGTAGGCAGAGACAACAGTAGTGAGCCTGGCTCAACAGTAGGACTTGGGACAGGCAGACCGGTCGGACACTGAGGGCAGGGATTCTTCCCACTCAGCTCCTGTTAACCCTGGAAACCAAAACCCAAATGGGTAGAGTGGTTCTAGCTGAAAAAGCAGTGAGAAGCTTGCCAGAAAGTGCTTTTAACACCTTGTCTATGTTCACATAAACATCTGGATGAAGCAACAAGCATTCATTGGTATTATTCATTTAATGAAACTGTCCATTTTGGACAAGCCCAGGTTGCTAGACAATACATTCAATGACAAGCTATGTAGTTTTAGCTGATTAGACTCCAGCAATGCATCAATTCAAACCCTATGGTCTCCAAGCTTTGAGCCTTGCCAACCTATGCCTAATACTCTCCAGGATTAGGTAAGCAGGGCACATCCAGAGAGAGAGCGTGCATTCCAATACATAAATGGAAATGTCTGTATACATGTGTAGGTGTCATACATGAAACTTTTTGCCTGATTTGGATGCTGTTAGGATGATGATGGGTTTCCGCATGTGTCAGACACCCAGATGACCAGAAAAATACAAATACGAGGAAAAGGCAGATAAATGGGACTGAAATGATTGCTCTTTAAATGAATCTGCACAGATACGATGGACTAAATGGCTTTCTTCTGTCCTATAAATTTCTATGGTTCTAAATTGCAACATAAAATGTAGATTACATCTTCTTAAAAATGTACTTGAAAATGAAAATACGACATCCATCTTAAACATACCTACATCTTAAAATAGAGCATTATTGAACCTAGAGATGGCAGTATTACTGTAGCTTATCTTTCCCTCTATGTTCCATTCTTCCTACAGTGCCCTTAGAGTTTTGTTTCGAAGAATTTATTCATATAGTTCCATAATAAATGCACTTCTAAGGAACTGGCGCTAAAATGAACAACGGAGAAAGATAAGAGTGAAAAAAAAGATTGGAGGGTCCCATATTTTTAAGAGGTTCATAACTGTTAGGGAGGGTGATTAGGGCCAAAACAGTTTGGGTACTATACAACTTCTTTCATCCATCTTAAATGATTTAAATAATCTCCAGAAAGCTATGTATTTTAAACTTGCACTGCTCAGAAATAAAATTGTTAAGATTGTCGCAATTTAGAGCAATTCTTACTTGCTTACAGTTTAAGATAATCTAGCATGATCAAAGACATTAAAGATGAAACAAAGGAAAATTGTCAGAATTGAAAGGAAATTGTTAGAAACCTAATTTGTGTTTGTTGAAGCCACTGGGAGTGGTACAAATCTCTTACTCATCTCCAGAAAACAAATTAATGGTTCAAATTAATGTACCAAGTAGAATTCTAAATTTTTAAAAGATTTTCAGTTAATCTAAAGAGTTTTAGTAAATATCTCACCACAGGAGGTATCCTGGACACCAACATATTCAAGCAACTTTCACCAGTACCATCTGTTACAGCAGCTCGACAACCAAGTTGTAATAGTAGCCTTGCTGCTTCACTTCGACCTAAAGCAAACATGCAAGATTTCAAAAAACTATTTTGAGATCAAAAAGGTATGTTATTTTGAAATATTCCTTAACCAGTCAACATATATCACATCTGGTAATGATAGTTTTAGTGGTGAAAAGCATATTGTGCTTGTACTGTTTGCTAGAACAAGATTACCTAACCAGTAAAGAGTTCTTTTTTTAAATCAAAACATTCTTCACATATTCTAGCAGCAAATCTTATTTTCATGTCTGATTGATATCCTGACATGGTCACCATAGTTTTTCATCTTGCTGTGTCATTTAAAGGAAACCTCAGCAGATTCTTTGGTCATTTTACTCAGAGGATGAAAAACAATGCACAAAAGGAACAATTAAAGTGACCGGAAATCTAACAAACTTCCAGCAGACTAAAGATTAGAATAAGCACTTTCATTTCCTGCAGTGCAGTGGATTTCTCCACTAAAATAGTGGAAACTTTGGAAAGCTGGCTTCCTCTCTTCTCAAAAAGAATTCCAGAAAAAGGCTGTCAAATTAAGATCAAAACTGCAAATGTCAGTTTTTGTTTTGCTAGCCTTATATTGATACACTGACATGCTGATAATAATAATGATCCTTGCATTTGATACAGCGCTTTTCGCGTCTTCTAGATGGCTCAAAGTCTTCACAGAATATACTGTAAAGTGAATTGACTGTATATTTGTGGGCAAAACGCAACAGCCAAATTGCGCACAGCAGTGTCCCACAGTCGTGGATTGAGTGACCAATTTATTATTATTTTTTGAACGAATTATTACCCCTGAAAAAGCGATCAGCCAATCGACTAAAAACTGGATTCCTTCTTACTGCTCGGTAAACAGAGGCGTATGGAATAAGGAAACTTGCCTTGCCAGGAATCGAACCCAGATCTCGCTTGCGAGTCGAGTGCTGTAACCACTGAGCTACAGGACTCCTGATAGATACTATAATCACATTCTCTCAGTTTTTTTTCCATTGCAGTTCTATATCTGACTGATGTGAATTGTGCTAAACTCACCCTTGAAATTTACCTCTGACAATATCATATCAGCATTTAGGGAATTTCATCTCGACACCTACCATAAAGTGCTGCCAAATGCAAAGGAGTTCTCTTTCTGTAATCTTCAACCTGAATGTTCGCACCATGTTTATATAAACAGTGAAGAGACCTCAATGCATCATACCTAGCTGCATAATGGAATGGGGTTTGCTCTTCTTCATTAGTCTTTGCCTCAATATTTGCTAAAAATAAACGAATGTAGACAGGAACCATGTGAGTGTAGCCTTTCCACAACAACCACCACCAAAAATTGCATTTGAATAGCATCTTTCACATTGGGAGGATAATATATCTAAACCAATTACACAATATTATCACTAGAAGTCATGTTGCTCATAACTATTACTCAAAGATGGTGCTCCATTCAATTTCAAACATTGCAAAGGCATAAAATAATATAGTAGACTTGCAGGGCCTTTTTAATATTTTAAGCAAAAAGTAGCTTGATGCACTTATTCATTCAAGTCCACAATAGCAACATAAAGAATCAAGGAATCTGTGGTAGCTCCTTAAAGGTATTCTGAGGATTGATAATTATAATCTTTGCATTTGATATGGTGTCTGTAACACTGAACATGTCTCAATGTACTTTACAAAATTTCTATAAACGGTATATTCCTACATTGTATTTGCAAAACTTATTCCATCATAGACTTGACTCCACATGCTTTCCCCTAAAGACAAGTTCCATATAATAATAATAATAATAATCCTTGCATTTGATATAGCGCTTTTCACGTTGGGAGGACGTCCCAAAGCGCTTCACAGAACACACTGTAAAGTGAATTGACTGTATATTTGTGGGTGAACGCGGCAGCCAATTGTGCACAGCAATGTCCCACAAACAGTCGTGGATTGAAAATGACCAATTTATTATTGTTTTTGGTTTTGGAGGGATTATTATTAGGCGTGTGGAGTAAGGAAACTTGCCCAAGGTTTCGCCCTGCCTGAAATTGAACTAAGGTCTCTCGCTTGCAAAGCGAGTGCTCTAACCACTGAGCTGCAGGACTCCACAGAATAAAAATATAATATAATATAAAAGAGTACTTAAATACAAAGATATTTTTTAAAAATCCTTTCATTGATATAGCATCTTTCAAACTAGGAGGGCATCTCAAATGATATAATGTAAATGGTAGCAACTGTATTTTGTAGACCAAAACAGCAGCCAACTTGCACATAGCAATGTTTCACAAATATTCCTGACCTTTTTTTTATTTGGCCATGACACTGTGAGAAAGTTTTCTTCTATTTTCAAATAGTACCATTGGATCTTTGCCGTCCACTTGAACAGGCAGGACCTTGGTTTAACATCTCATCCAAAGGACAGCGCCTCCAAAATGCACCACCCCCCACCCCAGAACTACATTGAAGTGTCAGCCTAGACGATGTGAGTTCAAAGCCCCCAAATTGGGCTTAAACCCACAATCTTCTGACCCAGAGGTGAGAGTGCTACCAAGTGAGCCAGGCTCTAAGATTGTTCTGGATCATCTGAATTTCCCACTTATACCACCACTGGTGATACAGCAGACCTCTGCCACAGATTTTTATGCTAATGACAGTGTACATGCCTCAAACAGAATCTTATTCAGCATTCAATTCACTTGCCACCTGAAAACTAGGTCCATCTCCAAGCCTACCCGTTCCCCCTGGGACAACAGTCATCTGCGCTCCTCAAATCCCAAACCCGGTTACTCGAGCGTAGGTGGCACAAAACCGGCCTTATAGTTCACCGGCAACTGTGGCTCGAGCATCTTCACATCTTGCCCCACTCTGAGTCTCAAGCCAAAACCATTTTGCTCTTTTGTACAACAACCACTGCCAACAAATTACATTTAAATAGCAAAATAAACTTTTCTCCCAGTGTCATCGGCGGCCGGGTTTTCAGCCTCTGCCCCCACTCTTTGGAACTCCGTCCCACAATCCCTTCACCTTGCTCCCTCTCTTGCCTCCTTCAAGGCATGACTCAAGACCCTCCTTTTTGACCGTGCCTTTAGCTGCTCTCAAACCCATTCTGCCTTCCCTCATCCCAACCCTGCCCACCACGCTTGGGTCCTGATCCCCGACTGTTCAGCACCTTGGGCCGCCCTCCTGACGTGAAAGGCGCTTTACAAATGTAACTTTGTTGTTGTTTTGTCATTCCCAAAATTTCTCATTTTCGAATGATCGTTCTCATTCGAATGGTCATTCTCAAGGTCAAAAACAACGCCAAAATCCTGTTCTCCACTATCCAATGCCTTCTCCACGTTGCCTCGCAAGTACCCTCGAACCTCACTTCTGGTGCTAAGTCCGAAGAGGTCCTGGACTTCTTAATCACCAAGATAGATAACATCCGCCTGGCTGCCTCCACCCCCTCCATTACTCCTTCATCACCCTCTCCTCCTACCACGGCTCCTATCATGACCCCAACCTTAACACTCCTTTGCCCACATCTCTTCCTCCTCTCTTTCCCCTGCCATCACTTATATGAAACACACCACCTGCTGCCTCAACCCACTCCCCAACCAGCTTCTGGTCATTCAACTCCCCCTTCTCTGCCCACTGCTGGCTGACACAATCAACCAGTCCCTCTCCTCAGGCTCTGTCCCACTCCCCCTCAAAAACACTGTCATCATGCCTTAAATAAACCTACCCTCCATCTCTCCAACCTCACAAACTTCAGACTCGTCTCAAACCTGCCCTTCCTGGCTAAAGTTTTGGAACGTATCATTGCAAATCAACTTCGCTCCCACCCCTCCTCCACTCACAACTTGATCCCCTCCAGTCATGTTTTCACCCTGCCCACAGCCCAGAGACAGTACTCATCAAAGTAACAAATGACATATTCTCTCTCTGTGACCAGGGCTCCCTCTGCCTCCTCGTTCTCTGGGACCTTTCTGCCGCATTCAACACAGTCGATCGCACCATCCTTCTCCATCGCCTCTCCACCCTCATCCACCTTTGTGGGACCACATTCGCATGGTTCGAGTCCTACTTAACAAACCGCCAACGATACGTATCAGGAAATGGTTTTTTCTCCCACCCCCGCCTGGTCACCTGCGGGATACAAGAAGGCTCCAACTTCCACATGTTTGCAGGTGATACCCAAATCTACTTCTACTCCTCCAGCTCTGACTCCCAGTCCGCTCATGTCCTGTTTGCTTGTTTAATGGACATCAGGGCCTGGATGTGTGCAAATTTCTTGCAGCTGAATGTCGACAAGATGGAAGCCATACTTCTTGGCTTCCATCAACGTCTTCTCTCCTCCAAGTCTGAACTCCTCAACTGGCCTCCCCGTGCTCTCCCTCAGACTCACCAAACCAGTCGCAACTTAGGCACCAGGTTCAATCACCAGTTTTCTTTTCTACCCCACATCCGTTCCCTGACGAAGACCACATTTTTTCACCTCCGTCACATTGCCCGCCTCCATCCATATCTCACAACCAACACAGCCGAAACCCTTGTCCATGCCTTCGTCACTTCCCGGCTGGACGACTCCAATGCCCTTCTCGCTGGTCTCCTCAGATCCACCATACACAAAATGGAATTAATCCAAAACTCCTCCACTCGGATACTCACCCGCAAAAAACTTCCTACCCCCATCGCACCTGCCCTTGCCAGGCTCCACTGGCTCCCAATTACCAAACTGATCGATTTCAAAATCTTCTCACTCATTTTCACATTCCTCCATGCCCTGGCACCTTCCAACCTACTTAACCCACACTCCGCCACCGGCTGCGTCTGCTCAGCTGGCTCCAGCGTTCCATTCATCCCTCATCTTCGCCGCTCCACCATTGGAGGTCATGCCTTCGGCCACTAAGCCCCAACTCTGGAACTCTCTCCCTTGATCCCTCCGCCTTGCCCCCTCCCTCCCACATTCAGATCCTCTCTAAAGACCTTCCTTTTTGATCATGTTTATGGTCATCTCCTCCTCTCCTCTCCCACTGGCTCGGTGTCGGGCTCTGCCACTCTCAAACGCTCTGGAACTCTACCCCGCGTGAAGGCCACTATATAAATGCAAGCTGTTTTTCTTAAAAATCAGCCCCTAGATTAAATGGTGGCTCCTGGCATTGATCTATAAGACCTTTGTCATTCCCTATGCAGAGTTCATTTTCTCCCAATGAAATGGTTTATTAAAGCCTTTGATCTGTTCAGGACTCCTCTCCACGTTAAGAAATCTCTATTTCAGCATCTTGGGACAGACATCAATGCAGCACAATGAACCCTACTCACCCCTAGGATGCCTTCATAGGTCTGTTATAGAGCACCAGACATGTCCAATATTGACACCAGCCCAGACGGGTAATTCTTTAGTCTTAAGTCTAGATAACTTACCCTATTAACTATTTGCCTTTGCAAATATTGGTCTCAAATTGAATAATAGACAATGAATTCCAATTCAACATATGCTCACACTTTGGAGACATGTGGCTCCGTTTTGTACCCCAAATGGCAAAAGATTCAAGAATATGAGGTAGCAAATTATTGGCTTACATGGTGTTTAATAATTTAGCGTGTCAATATTTTTGTGCTACTACAGCATAAATTCACGTCTAATGTATATTTCTGCCTTTGTTATAGAGCAAATAAACAGTAAACCGCCAGTTTATCAGACTTCAGGTATCTGGAATTCGTACCAAGCGGTACTGGGTCCACGGGCCCATGCACATGTTGACTCCCGTCCACTCTCCTAGTGGCCAGGGATATCAACTTTGACTCAGTTTTAATCCTGTGAGAAGAGGGTAGCTTTTCACTATCTTCTGCTCGCGGGATTCAAACAATTGCAATTCCGGTGCTGGCATTTTCTGGAATTTTTTAAATCACTGAACAAAACCAGAGCTGAAAAAAGCTGGTACCAACATTGTAAATACACTTAGTCGTAAATTTCACCTCCAGACTCCTCTACTCACATTATTCCAGCTAGCCGGGTTTCAGTCTAATGTAAAATTTGTATTGTAATCACTCATTAATAAGCTGTCAAACATCTTTACCATTATTATTTAACAGAACTTCAATGAATTCAGTGTAGTTCAAGATTGCAGCAACATGCAGTGGAGTTCGACCATATGTATCCGCATGATTTACGTCAGCTCCTTGTTTTATTAAAAAGCTTGCCACATCAACATGCCAAATCCGTGCAGCCTGTAAAGTATATGAAACACAAATAAAGTATTGATTAGATTACATGGCTAAAATTCATCCCGTTTGAGACATTCCAAGTGTATTTACTACTTATAGCAGTATAATTCATTTGGTGGAAATGCCACTTTTAGCACAATTACCAATAGTTTTCTGCACTGAATTACATTCAAATGTAATAGCACCCAAAGCCTACGATACCAAATTATTAGGAACTGGGGTTTACTTAACTAAGCCTCATTACTATTTTTGACATTAAATTAATTTATCCTCCAGATACTCTTGTAAATCATAATAGAAATACGTTTAAAACCTCCTGGTACAAACTTACATTTAACAACATTACTGAGTTGATCTTATTGCTGAGCAGTGCATCTAACTTGCTCGAGAGAGGTCTGTACAGTAGATGCACTCAGCACTTGTGGAATTAAAATGTATCATTGTCCACAATTTAGAGATACTTTTTGCATCATTGTTCCCAAGAGGTATGGGTGAACAAGGATCTTCAATCCATTTGATTACATCCTTCCTCAGAATACCCATCCTACCTCTTCCCTTTATAGGATCAGGGCATTTCTCAAATGTTTCCAGGATTCTGTCCTCAACCACCCTCCCAGCCATTAATTACCCAATGTATAAATAAGTACTTTCTGATATATATTATGAAATTGCCCTTTACAAATCTAAACTTATGCTCTTTTCTGTTGTTTTGATATTGTTCTGGCTTTACATTCTCAATCATATTTGGCATTTTATAAACCTCTATTAAATCTCCCCTGAGATGACACTTTTCAAGCTGAATTGCTGAATAGAAATTATGCATTATAGGCTATATAAAACATGTAGTTTGCCCAGCTGCACCTTATAGTGTATCCCTGACAGTGGAGATTATCCTCTCTACTATCCTCTGTACTGCCTCTAGGACTCAAATAGTGACCCTTTGTCGCAGTGACAAAATCTGTATGTAGTCTTTTAGTGTGGTCCACAAAACACAGTCAATGCACTTTACAGAATATCTTGTGAAGCACTTTAGGATGTCTTCCCAATGTGAAAGGCATTATACCAAATGTAAAGACTATTATTATTTTATTCATGGAACCAGTGCCTCACCAAAAGATTTTCTGTTCATTGAGCCTAAGATTATACAAACATATGTGGCTGAATGGAGGAAAGAGAAAACCTACAATAGTGTGCACAGAGATATTACATAACAAATTACTCACTGTGATTTCATGAACAGATGAGAGGATTGAGTCAAATTTGCTAGATACAAATGTCTAGCATTCAGGCACAGATGTGTTCGAAGTATCTTCTTTCTCTCTGGGTATGAAACTCCAGAGAATGCACATTCTTCAGCACCAAGGAATGGATTTAAAGCGGACAACTTAATTTACCGCATCTTCCCAGTAATTTTTTTTAATGAATCATACCTCATGTAGCAATGTCTGTCCAAGGCCATCTCTCATGTTGATTTGGGCTCCCTTTTTTAATAAAGTATCTACTAGTTCCAGATTTACCTACAAAAACATTATTGAATCAAATAGACAAATTACAAAATGTATTACCATCACTGACAAAGAGAAATAGAATTCAGTAGAAAAGGAACTAGAGTAAGATTAGTATTGAGTCTCTTACAAAAGTTGCCTGGTGGAATTCAGGCTACTCTTGAAGGGATAATCTCTCGATACTTAGAGGTGGAAGGTGGATTGGGAGAGGAGAATTCTTTTCGGAACGAACTGGATGGCATCTGGGCCATTTTCTGCTCTTTCCTTTCTAAACATTTAGGGTTTGCTACACATTATCAGGCCTAAAATAGGGATAGTAGACAGAGTATTAGAAGCATTTGTGAGAAAAATGGGTGGGCGTGGCAGGACAGATGGGCGGGAGGGTTGTAAGTGAATCATGTTGAAAAATATTAGCTTGATGAGTTTACAGATTATTTTTATGCTGTAACATTCTTTGATTCTACTGAATAGAAATTATGCATTATAGGCTATATAAAACATTTGCCTCTAGAGGGTGCATTTAGGGAGCAACTGCAAAGCATAAAGCATGGAAACAAAAGCATATTTAGAGCATTGATATGAATATCTTTATAGATAATATTTAAAATCATTACAGTAAAAAAGTGTTCTTAAATTGAAGTGTTAATAGAATCTATGATGAATATTTTTAATTCGACAACTGATTACCAATTAAGCAACTATCATAACTAATTTTGTTTTTTTATTTATCATACCTGTCCTTTTTGACGATCAAGACTTGAAACGCTAAGAAAATGCTTTGCTAAGGCTTCATTGAGTAAAGCCACCTCTTCATCCCGTTCAGTTAATTGGTCTACATCAAAGTTTTGCGTATCACCAATTGTACTCCATTGAAATCCTAAATATATTACAGATATAGATTCAGGAGCTGTAGGAAAAATAAGTTAGAATATCAATGTAAACTAGTATTGTATTATATTGAAGAGTTGCAAGACTCAAGCCATACACACTACCATTTAAACATGGTGAACAATTTCAGTCCTGATTGTTGTTATTGCTTGATAATTGGCATAACTATGTTGTTTTGCATGCAAGAAACATCCGTGCCATGTTTCGTTCTGCCTTCAGCCTTTCCGCCCCTACAGTTTGGAACTCCATCCTGGAGCCCCCAGCTCGCCTCCTTCAAGACCCCTCTCAAGACCCTCCTCTTTGACCATGCCTTCAAGACCCTTCCCCCTCCAACTCCCAGCTTGGGTGCGAACCATCACTGTACAGTGCCTTGGAACATCCCCCGACGTGAAACACACTATACAAATGCAATTTGTTGTTGTTGTTATTAATGTATCCTGCATTTTGAAAATATACTTGAATATGTTGAAGCTAGAATAGGAGATTCCAGGATCTCATGCCTTAATCTCTTCTGCCTTCTCTACAGATGAATAAATCTGCTGCAGGTGGGTTGCAGCAACCAAGGTGTCCTTAGAGAAGGGTGACTTGGTAGGCTTATATGGTCATTTATTTTAAAATCAGATTTCTCCCTGGACCACAAAATTAAAAAATCAAAAAACATACGTGCATATTTTAGTACTGGTGAAGTGGCCCATCCAAAACAGGCTATAGGGAAGAGTGGGATCTACTTAGGACCATCCTACCTGTTAGGACTTTGGCTTACAGAGTTAACAGGAGCTGAGAGGAAAGAATCCCTATCTCCAATAACTGATCTTCCCTTCCAAGTCCTACAGATGAGCCAGGCTGGCTGATCTGTTATCAGTAGGGCCCTGGTGTATTGCGAATCCGCCTGACTCAGGAATCGGACTACCATAACCACCACAGAGGGATGGCTTGATTCTAACATTCCATTGCCAAATTGGAGCCAGTTCAGCTCCAGGTAGACCCCATGTACCTCAGTCCCAAGGAGAAGAGACTATGCTCCAAAGGTGATTGAATCAGAGCACAGTTGACACAAGTTAATATGATATACTTCTGATTTCCTTATTAAAGAATCATATTCAATATCTCTCAGTCAATTCCATATAAAGGAATCCAGTTAAAAACCTCAATATAGATACATTTACACATCTGAAACTAAAAATAATTCATTTTTTTCAGACACATTCTGGAAAACTGAGAAAGATATGAACTACATAATTCACTGGTAATTGAATTATTAGCAGTTGATGGTCACTCAACTCCCTCTTCTCTCCCCACTGCTGGCTGACACAGTCAACCATTCTCTCTCCTCAAGCTCTGTTCCACTCCCACTGAAAACTGCTGTCATCACACCCCTCCTCAAAAAACCCACCCTCGATCCCTCTAATCTCGCACACTACCGTCCCATCTCCAGCCTACCCTTCCTTGCCAAAGTCCTGAAACGCATTGTTGCAAATCAACTTCGGGACACACCTCTCCCTCCACTCTCTCCTTGAACCCCTGCAGTCTGGTTTTCGCCCTGCCCACAGCACAGAGACAGCACTTGTCAAAGTCACAAACAACATTCTCTCTACCTGTGACCAGGGCTCCCTCTGCCTCCTCATCCTCCTGGATCTCTCTGCTGCGTTCGACACAGTCTACCAAACCATCCTCCTCCATCGGCCCTCCTCCCTCATCTGTCTTAGTGGGACCGCACTCGCATGGTTCAACTCCTACATAACTTGATCTAAACTCCTCAACCTCCCTGGGCTCCCCATCAGACTCACAAAACTAGTGTGCAACCTAAGCATCCAGTTCGACCCCCAACTGTCCTTCCTCCCCCATATCCGGTCCCTGACTAGGATCGCTTTCCTCCACCTCCATCATATTGCCCGCCTCCGACCATACCTTACCCCAAATGCAGCCGAAACCCTCGCACATACGTTTGTTACCTCTCGCTAGGATTACGTCAACGCACTCCTCGCTAGTCTCCCCAGCTCCACCATTCACAAGATCCAGCTCATTCAAAACTCTGCCGCCCGCATACTGACTAAACTAAACTCTATATCCACATCTCACCAATTCTGACCAGGCTCCACTTGTTCTCCATCACCAAACGGACTTTAATATCCTCACACATGTTCAAATCCATTCACTTCCTGGCACCTCCTTACCTCTCCAACCTCCTCACTCCCCAATCCACCACCCGGCGCTCCGCTCGACTGGCACTGGCCTCCTGCTTGTCCCTCGCACCCTCCGCTCCACCCTCCAGGGTCGTGCTTTCAGTCACTACACCCCAAAACTCCGGAACACTATCCTTCAATCCCTTCACCTTGCCCCCTCTCTCCCCTCTTTCAAGTTCCGCCTAAAGACCTTTCTGTTCAACCATACTTAAGGCCATCTCCCCCCTCACCCCGCCACTGTTAAGCATTCTGAGACATTATCCAGCATGGAGGGCGCTATATAAGCGCAAGTTGTTGTTGCAATTAGATAACTACTCTAAAGAGTAAGAATCTGTTCTCATTGGAGTTTTACTTACGTATTATAATGCTGTCTGTATGTCTCTCTAACTTCTGCATACTTTCATAAGACAATCTTGCTTGATTGGGTAGTTTCTTAGAGAGAAAGGATTCATTTTGCACTCTTTTTGGAAAAGCATCCTTTAAAAACAAGATTTCAAATTTTAAAGTGATCTAGTAGGTGTTCCTGCAAAAATATAAATGACCATATTCCTGCATAACATACTTCACAACCTACTCTGATCTGCATCATTTTCCTTTTGCTATTGTATTATTTTCCATAAAGAAGAAACTGCAGGATACACGACAATAAAACTTGCACAAGTCTTATCTTTATAAATTGTATAATCGCCTAAGTCATATATTCACCCAAGTCCCGTTGAGTTTCCTATCAAAACCAATTAGATCTTAAGTAATACAAGTAGTATGAAGAAATCTAACTTGTAACGCTGCTCCCCTAACCTCCATTAGTCCCACGCTTACTGGAGGCCTTGAAACATGTCATGGAAATTAAGTCCTTACCCATTGATGCGCCCTTACCACCGATTGCATTGGATCTTGTGAAAAGTAGTCTTAACCCGTCACTGCATACTTACATACTGGCTGTATTAAATCACACATCCGCATTGTAGATTATTGATTAAATCGGATTTTCTATGACTTCTATAGTTTGCCTGCAACTCGGACTTCACATAAGACATATTAAATGTTATGGTCCTGACCGATTGTACGTTATGCACCAGCATTCCAGATAAACTTTTACCTTTCTAACCCCCAAAATATACACATGAAGCCATGGCCAGTGGGACATTAAAAGACTGATAATGCTTCCACAATTTTAGTCGAGGTATCAGCCTGGCTCAGTTGATACCACTTTCGTCTCTGCATCAGAAGGTTTTGTATTCAACGTGAAGACGTTGGGCTCATAGTCTGGGGTGTTATTCAAGTGCAGTGGTGGGAGAGCGCTGCATTGTCTATGGCCATCTTTTGGATAAGATGTTAAATCTGCCCGTTTAGGTGCAATCAAAGATTTTTTATTTGAAAACTGAAGGGAGTTCCTTCCGGTGTCCTGGCCAATAATCCCCGAGATAGAATTGGTCATTCACTTCAGGGCTATTTGTACAACATTGCTCTGCACAAATTGGCTGCCACATATGCCTACAAATACATAACTACAACTCTTTACAGTAAATCTGGTGAAGCACTCTAACACATTTTGACAATCTGAAAAGAGTCTGTATCAAATGCAAGGAATTTTTATTATATTAGTATTTTAATAACATTCATCTTATTTAGGTAGTTTATACACAGTATAGTTATATAATAAATCAATTATATTAAATAAAAGGATTATAAAGGGATTTGAGGTTACTTATGACAATATAATGCTACTTTTAATGTTTATATGCTGGCAGCTTGCTTGGATCTATTGGGAAACTGAATCATTGAGCTTCACTGGGGAAATCTAGAAGGTAGGCCAAGTACTGTAGAAGTAGGTAGAACTGGCCATTGTGCAGCCTTATAGGATATTGGCAGGGCAAATGCTAGTGAATGCCAAGATGAGAAAGTCTAGTTTATCTGCAGCTGACCAACACCACGTTCTTTGATTTAGGCTCTGGAGTGAGTTTGGTTAGGAATTGTCAAGTGTGTAAATGCACTATCATTATAAAATACAATTTACATTTTTATTGCGCCTTTCATGTCGGGAGGACATCTCAAAGTTCAACAATGCTGGTTGGGCACCTGAGCTAGGGGTGAGAATCGAAGGGGTGGAGAGCAGAAAGATGACTGAAAACACAGTCAAAAAAGTATGTTTTGAGACAGACCTTAATAATCTGATATGACCTTGTCAAGACGTCTCAAAGTGCTTCACAAGATATACTGGATTCACTATGTACTTAGTGGACCAAACGTGGTAGATAATTTGCACATAGCAGTGTCCCACAAACAGCCATGGAGTAAGTGACCAATTTTATTTGGGGGATTTGGGAAACCCCCCACTTCTCTTTTTGAATAGTGCCATGGGATCATTAATGTCTACCTGAACAGGCAGACTGGTTCTCGGTTTAACGTCTCACCTGAAGGATGGCATCACCAATAATACAACACACACCAGGAATGCATTCCTAGATCCTCCTCTTCGACAACCTTGCTCCTCCCTACCTCTGTGAACTTCCTAACCCCCTACCAACCTATCCCCTCCCTCGCTCAGCAGGCTCCGTCCTGCTTCACGGTCCCCAACTTGCCCATCCCACCCTTAGCCTTCAGCCTCTCTGCTCCGACCCTCTGGAACTCCATCCCACAGATCCTCTGCCTCGCCCCCTCCCTTGCCTCATTTAAGACCCATCTCAAGACCCTCCTCTTCGACCATGCCTTCAGTCACCCTTCTACCCCTACCCTCCCCACCCCTCCTGATCTCAGGTGCATATTCCCGACTATCCAGCGCCTTGGGCCGTCCTCCTGACATGAAAGGCACTATACAAATGTAATTAGTTGTTGTTGTTGCATTGGAATGTCAGCTTGTGGGTCATTCCAAGTCCCAATGTGGGGCTCAAACCCACAGCCTTATGACTCTGACTCAAACTGCACACTGAATCAGGCTGTGAAGATTTCACATTTATCTTCAACTAGAGAATTCACCCATCAGAGATGAAGCACTGGAAATCTTACCATGATCAGTGAAGATAGCTTTTTGTCAACAGATTTAGGTTTCTCAAATTATTTTAAACCTGGGGCAACCCTACATGATGCAGTGATTTGTTTCCATAAACTCAGACAGCAAAGTATGTCTAGAAAATGACCACTTTCCAAGTCATCAGGTCAGCACTGATGTAACTTCCTGCACATTGTCCAAATCCACAGAAAGAGTTGCTAATATCAAGAGTTGCTGGAGTCCTGTAGCTCAGTGGTTAAAGCACTTGCCTCGCAAGCGAGAGACCTGAGTTCAAATCCCGGCAGGGCAAAACCTTGGACAAGTTTCGTTACTCCACACGCCTGATAATAATCTCTCAAGAAAAAAAAAAGAAAAAAAAGAATAATTTGGTCACTCAATCCACGACTGTTTGTGGGACACTGCTGTGCGCAAATGGCTGCTGCGTTTCGCCCACAAATACGTCAATTCACTTTACAGTATATTCTGTGAAGCGCTTTGAGATGTCTCAAGCACTATATCAAAGTCAAAGATTATTTATAGTATTATTATCACTTCCTTTGTGAAGTGACTTCAGCAGTGCTTTCTGCATGCATGGAAGCTATGTTCGTGGGGTTTCCTGTGTAAAGTTCAACGTACAGAAAGAGATGTCAGAGGTGAGCTCTGACCTGTTGACCCAGAAGGTGGCCCTTTTTTAGCCCAGGAATCCAGCGAATCATCGCCTGAAGAACCAGGCTTCCGGTATACCAAAAGTCCACATTTCTGCAAGTGGACCTGTACTTAACTGAGGTTTAGCGACGTAATAACACCCTCAATTGAGTTCTTGCCAATACTTTGCTCTCCTAAAGTCATACTTTTTGTTTGAAGTCGTCAACACCATTTCAAGGCCAACTCTAAAATGGTCAATGCTGCCTAAGTGTGCACCCACATTGAGGTCATACAATTAATCCAGTTGGCTTGGATACTGACAAATTTGAAAGTAGTGAGGTTTATTCCCTCTCCTCCAACCTACTGCACTCCATGTTGCCCCAAAATGACCCAATCTTGCATAAAGCCATCCATAAATCCAAACATGTTCAAGACTCCACATAGTTGACATCTTAAATCTCGTTGGGATGAACCTGCAAAAAAGGGGGTTGATGCCTTTCCTTTAAATAATAATCCTTGCATTTGATATCGCATTATCAACATGTTGGGAAAGCACCTCACAGGATTTTACTGTAGTCAAGCAGTGGCGGCCAACCTTTTTGGTTGGCCTACAAAATAATCAAAGAAATAACAAAACCAGCAATAGATTTACACTGTGAATCAAGAAATATTCAATCCAGAAACATTATATCTTGTCGGCCAACCAAAGTGGTTGGGCACCACTGCTGCAGAGCGTAATGGCGGCCAACATGGCAGCCAATACACACACAAAAGAAAACTCACCCACAGAGCCACCGCACTTCAACGGCGGTTCCCGTGAAGCACTCCGAGACATCCTCCCGACGTGAAAGGCGCTACATCAAGTAATAATAATAATCCTTGTATTTGATGCAGCGCCATATTCATGTTGTTGAGGCGTCTCAAAGCATTTCACTGCAAAGTGGAGTGACTGTGTATTTTGTCGGCGAAAGGATGTGGGGATTATCATTTACCATAAGGATGGTCCTTTGGTACAGAACCCCCCACAAGGCGCGGCAGCTTCACCTGAGACTATATCAGCGCATAGTCCCAGCCTGAGGCTTGAACCCACAACCTTTTGACTCGCGTGACAATATTTTTTAAAACAAAAAAACCCTCCCCGTGCACATCCACCAAACCTCACCTTGACCGGCATGGCGGAGAGGCCGTGCCCGCGGGCCGGTGTCCCTGCGCGTTATCAGCCACCGAGACACGAGGCTGGCGCGCGAGGCCGCCCCGCCCATAACGGTCAGATTCAAACCCGGCGCCGCGTTCCGAGGGGGCGGTGGGAAAGGGGGCGGGACGAATGAGTGAGCGGCACCGGTCTAGACCAATGGGCGGTGGAGGCTGGTGAGCGCGCGCCGCATCCGGCAGATACGTCAGGACTCGCCCCGACCGTCGGCAAACCGTCGAGGCTTTGGTTGAATCAACGAAGCTGTTGCCGAGCAACAGACTACAACCAAACACTGCAGTCAACTATAAAGCACAACCGCGCTGCCCCCCCCACTCACCCCAAACCTACACTGCTGTGCTGCTCCACACTCACTAACATGACCCTCTTGGCCGCACTTGTCGCTATCACATGTCTAGGACAAGGTAAGAAAAAGTATAAAGAAAAAAAAATCAGATTTTTAAAAAAAAATTATTGGTAGCCGAAGGGTTACTCAACTGAGGCGGCAGGTTGGTTGGAGAGGGATGCGCTGTGTACTGAAGATTTAAGATAAGCGTCTGTGAGGCAACAGGAAAATAGTTTTACGTATTTTTGGTTCTTAAGCGGTTATGGAGTAAAGGCGGATAAGTGGAGTTGAGGTACAGATCAGTCAATATCTAATAGAATGGAGGTTCAGGCTCGAGGGGCTGAACAGCCTTCTGTTCCCTATAATAATCATAATAACATTTATAATCTATGTAACATTTCTAAGTGGCTTTCAGACCACTTGACTTCTAGGTCCTCAACCTTATATAAATCCTTGTCATGCCCTCACATCTCCCTATTTCTATTACAGTACCTTCTCATATCCCATTCTCCTGCGCATCCCTTCTACTCAATTAAAACTGCCCTGATATACACATGCCCACCACTGAGCCTTCAGTCACTACACCCCTAACCTCTGTAACTCCCCACCTCTATCCCACCGTCTTAGCCTCTCTCTATCTGTCTTAAAACTTACCTCTTCAACCGCATCTCTGGTCACTTCCCTGTTCCCTTCTCCCTTGCTCTCTGTCTAACCCCACTACCATGAAACACTCCAAGAGGTGAATATGAAGGGTGCCAAATAAATGCCTGGTGTTTTGTTGACTCCCTCCCTTACTTCGCTGAAGGATTGAGTGACATCAATGATCCATTAATTCATTCTAATATTACTAGCAATGTTTAGTAGAATTTTATTTAATTTTTTTTAACTTAGGATGACTTTAAAAGATACATAAGCAAAAAAGGAGAGTAATCAGCCCGGAGGATACCAGTCATCTATGAAATAGTTAATTGAGTTATAGAGAGAATTAAATGCCACTAATTTTGTTATTTACTAGTTGAATGTTTTTAACCCATTCCTTTTTTATACTTGGTTAACTATGATTTTATTGGCCCTATTTCTCTTAAGGAAAACACCAATTTGGGGGCAAAATGTTTTTTTCCCACAGGCTTTGCTGTGTATTAATAAACACTGATTTAGTTCTATCATTGCATCTCTACCCAAAAAAAGGTCAATATTGGAAAGCACTTTGTTTATTTTGAAGTGTGCGTTTAATTGTAATAGGTTAGTGTTAATGTGAAATTAGTGCAGCTATCTGAATGTTTTGAGTAGCTTTAATATGGTAATATATTTTTTTCAGTAGTTGTATTGAAAATTCCAAATTAAATGAGTGACCCTCACTGACTAGCCAGAATTAACGAAAAAGTTAAAATCAATTGTTTTAATACTTCTATCAGACACTGCTTTACGTCACCTTTGCCACATTCCCCTCACCTCACACCCAACTCTGCTGAAACCCTCATCCATGTTTTTGTCACCTTGGACTCCTCACTGGTCTCCTCAGCTCTACCATTCACAAAGTCCAAGTGATTCAAAACAATATCCTCACCTGCACTTTGATCGGTTAGCTTGGGCCTTCTGCACATCTCTTTGCTTTCAGCTATTATACCCAACCCTCTGAAACTCCCCCTCCTCAATCTCTTTGCCTTGCCTTTGCCTATCTTCAGATCACCCCTAAAGACTTTCCTCTTTAACTGTGTCTGTGATCACCTCCTCTTTCTCCTCGGCTCGGCATCAAACTCCACCATTGTAAGCGCTCCTAGATGCAACCGTGGAGACCTGTAGCTCAGTGCTTAGAGTACTCGCTTTGCAAAGGAGACACCTGAGTTCAATTCCAGGGAGAGGGCGAAACCTTGGGCAAGTTTCCTTACTCCACACGCCTAATGATAATCCCTCCAAAACAAAACAATAACAAATTGGTCATTTTCAATCCATGACTGTTTGTGGGACACTGCCGCGTTTCGCCCACAAATATATGGTCGATTCACTTTACAGCATGTTCTGTGAAGCGCTTTGAGATGTCTTATTATTACTACACCACAGAACAATGAAGGAAAGTTACTTTTAGCATGAAAATGTTTTTATCTATTTATAGTCTCTTCGTTGACTTGCTATGAATGCTTTGGACAGTCAGATAATAAAGACTGCCTCAAGACTATCTCATGTTCTTCTTTTCAAAAACAGTGTCAGGCAACAATTGTTACTGCTAGTTTTGGTAAGTTAATTCTATTTAATTTTAAATGCGACCTTCAAACCATCATTGCAATATTTGAGTGTGTATCTGTTATTATATTCCTTTCTATGTTTGTCATATGCATTTGAAATGACTAAAAATTGAAAAGCTCCATTGTTAACCTTTTGGATTCTAATGGGCATGAATATTTTATTTTCTCCTCAGTTACTCTTTATTTCTCAATTGTACTTGTTTCCCTCCCAGTCAAGGAGACAGCTTCAAAGTGCTCCAAGACACTAAACGTACGAAAGGCACTATATAAATGCAAGTTGTTGTTGTTCACTTCTCATCTCCACTCAGAAGCTTTGTTGTTGAGCATCAAGAACTGGGAGAATTAAGACTTCATCCAACCATTCCTTGGTGGTATGAAATTAGTCCTGCTCATTGTCTAGTACTATCACTCACTCTGATTATTTAAGGTTGCTTGGTAGCAACAAAGTTGCTTTCAGCTTTGTTGCTTTGTGTCTGTTTGTTTCTAGTTTATAAACCTTGAACATGATCTTACAACATTCATTAAAGGTTCACATTTGCAATTCCTTACTCCATTTCCCATTTCAAATGGGTTGGCCAGAGCAGTTGCCAAGTGGAAGCGAATGGTTGAGTGTCCAAAATGAGCAAGAGATTAGATTAGATAGCTCAGATGGAGAAAAACACCAGCACAAACTTGATGGGATGTAACAATCTTTGATTCTATTCGATGAGAGTAGTTACCCTTAGCCACTATTGCACACTTTTTTTTAGTATTGTGTCATTGCAACTGTAATAAGGCCATCTGATTGAAGTATCTTCTTCTATCTATCTTCTTCTATCTTCTTCCATTACTAATAAAATAACCATCTGTCTGTGTCACCCAAGATCTCAATACCCGATTGACGTAGAAACATGATTTATACCTCATCTGAAAGGCCTTGCATTTGGGAGTGTCATTGGCATATTTTAGACACACGTATGGCAGTTTTGAGTTGGGCGCTGCAATTACACCTGGTGGCGGCACCGACTCCCAGTGGTGCTGTGGCATCGTGCATCACAGAGCACGAACGTGCACACAACATGCATGCACTTAAACTAAGCTAAGCGGCAGGAATAAGATAAAGATGCCTAAGCGAACATCAAGCCTTTCAAGTACAAATAAAAAATACCAGACAAAAGAAAGAAGGACGATTAAATGAAACTAAAGAACAAGGAGTAGCCCAGCTGGATTGCAATAACTTGAGGACCTGCCAGATCACACACTAAACTCCTTCAGTTAGCATAACTTTGATAAAATCTTGTATCGTTCATGAGCTATGACCCTTTGATAGGATCTTCTATCTTTCATGAGCTGTGACCCGAACAAGCTCATTGCACATGTATGGCAGTTTTGCTTAAAGTGTACAGATAGTGTTTATGGCTTGTTAAAAGGTTTGTGAGTGGTATCACTGAAATCTACATTCAATATTGGATCTTTTGGTTGCGAGCGTAGCTGGAATGGATACAGCTAGTTTCAAATAATGAAGGAAGCTGACAAGCTAGATAGTGCATGACTCTTCCATCTGGTAGCGGGATGCAAACTAAATAGGCATGATCCTAGAATTAGATTAAATTGGTTAGAGGTGCGATCAAGAAACCTTTCTTCACACATACACCTTGTGAAATTGTGTACTACACTATCCCCAAAAGATCACAGATGTAGAATTAATTGGAATGCTTACAAGGGAGAATAATAGATACTTGGGAAGTAAAGGTATTAAGAAATCTGGGAAACATGGGAAAGTTCTGCTATGATTTAATTAAACAAGTGGAATAAGCTTGAGGGCTGAATTGCCTCATTTTTCTATAATTTTATGAGTCTCATAGATGAGATCCTAAATGTTCTGCAAGCATGGAGAAATTGTATTACGGTACCTACAGATTTCTCACAGCCTGATGCATGTTCTATTAACCTTAAATTAATTGGATTTTGTGTATGGTTGAGCTGGGGAGATGAGCGAGGAGGGCATTGGAATAGTCCAGCCGGGAACTGACAAAGGTGTGGACGAGCGTTTCAGCTGTGTTGGTTGTGAGATATGGACGGAGGCCAGCAATGTGTCGAAGAAATACTTTCAATATTTCATTGTATATTATATCCCTATGAAATCCATACCTGTGATAATGCACTAATTAATCAATTTCTTCTTTCTCATGGTTAGGATTGATCCATATCTTCACAAGTATAAGCAAGTCATGTACAGGAATGTGTGAAAACTCCAAAACAAACTTTGGATTAACGCGGATGTTAACATACTGCTGTTCCACAGATCTTTGTAATGTCAACAATTCCACAACTATTGGGAGTAACCATTTGGTAATTCTCTGCTTGGCAGCTCTGGTCTGCTTCTTGCACTTGAGCGAGGAAGTTTAATGCAAAAAAGATACGCGCTACTCCCTTATAAATTAGAGTCCTGTAGCTCAGTGGTTAGAGCACTCGCTTTGCAAGTGAGAGACCTGAGTTCAATTCCAGGCAGAGCGAAACCTTGGGCAAGTTTCCTTACTCCACACGCCTAATAATAATCCCTCCAAAAAACAATAATAAATTGGTCATTTTCAATCTATGACTGTTTGTAGGACATTGCTGTGCGCAATTGGCTGCCGCGTTCGCCCACAAAAAATATACAGTCAATTCACTTTACAGTGTGTTCTGTGAAGCGCTTTGGGACGTCCTCCCGACGTGAAAAGCGCTATATCAAATGCAAGGATTATTATTATTATTATTATTATTATTATAAATGGCGAGTCCTCCGAACTCCTGGCCCTCTGCCTGCCTTGATCTTACCTCTTCTGTCAACCCATTGCACAACACCCATGTTGCCAAACTCAATATTTTTGCTCCACTCGCATTTCGAATTGAATCTTATCCCTGCAGGTCCCCTGGTACAACAACCACCTCTGCTCCCTGAATTCAAAGTTACTGAATGCACGTGGCTCAAATCTGGCCTCACAGTCCATCGCCAGATCTAGCTGCACCAAGTCAAAGTCTACCATTGCATCTTCACATTAGCGAAATCAACCTTCTGCTCCAAAATTATCCGGGAAGCCAAAGACATCCCAAGGCTTTTCTTTGCTACCACTAACCACATCCCCTGTCCACCCTTCATCCTCACCTCAAACTCTATATGTGAGGAGGTGATGGAATTCCCCAAAATCAACTGGAATTGTTCAGCTGCCTCTCCTTCCAGCCTTTTCATGTAATCCACTGCTGTATTCCGGTAGTTCTGAGCAGGCTTTCAGCCATTCTCCCCCACTCTCTGGAACTTCTTCCCAAAGTCCCTCTACATTGCCTTTCCCTCAGTTTATCATCCCCTAATTTCCTCTCTTCAATTACACTTTTGGCCACCATTCACCCTCACCCCACCCTGCATTTTTTCCTTCAGTTATGTGAAGTGCTTTGAAACTTCTTTCCAACATGAAAGGCCTTATTGTGATGCACATTTTTGGCTTCAAAAGAGAACTATATAATTCAATCTAGAGTTCGCCTTCCATTTCTCAAACAAGCATTACATTCAAGCTATAGCACACACTATACAGGATCCGAAAATTGGGATATTTGAAGAAAGGGTCATATGGGTAAATAATTCAGAATGTCAGTTTATTTTTCTAATAACAGGTTCACTATTTTTTGTTGGTGTGAAGACTATTGTTAAAGAACAAATACTAAATAAGTAATTAAAGAATTGTATAGTTAACTCAATTATGAAATCTTCAGTAAGTATGTGAGATCTTTATTATTTCAACTGTAGTTAAGCATAAATGTAATTACAATTTATTTAAACCTTTATTGCATTTAAAATAAACTCAACTTTTTGATGATAATTTTATATTAGATGTCCATAATACAAGTGACTGTGAGAGTTATTACAATTATATTTCAATCATAGTTTGTGATCATAGTTGTGATTCAATCATAGTTAACTGATGTTTGCTAGACTAAAGATATTTACTGGTGACTGTTGAATTATACTTAATCTGCTTTGTACATGTGCTGCATCATTCTAGATCTCTTTTCATAAATAAAATTAAGATTTGCCATTGTATTTTTGTATTTGCCAATACAATGCAGTATCCCCTTTGAACAGAATTTTTTTCCACATAAATAATGTTGCTATGAATTCACTATTGTAATATACTGTATTAAATGTTAAGACAATCACAACATAGATGAATAGTTGCCTCTATTTATTTCTCTTTGTTGGGTTTTAAAAAAATTCAATTCATTTTTTTTCTTGAAATTGAATTGTCGATCAGTAAAGCTTGAATACTTCACCACAAGCTCAATTAATTCCTCTAAAGCCATTAAATTGGAAATACAATACAATCAAATAATTTTATTGTTAGCTTTTTCATCCACTTGCCTCATTAATAGCTATGGCTGCCGTGTTTACCTACGCTACACTTCATAATAAAATCCTGTGAAGCTCACTGACAAATCACGAAGGCATGATAAGGCAGTATTATCAAAATGCAACAATTATTATAACTACTTGCGTTTATATAATGCCCTTTACATTGGTGGCATATCAGAGCGCTTATTGTAAGCATACTGTAAACTTATAACTCAAGCCTAAAATGAATGAGCATCTTTAGGAAAGCAGGGACAGAAAGAGGTATCGGTGGTAGCATTCTCACCTCTGAATTAGAAAATTGTGGGTTCAAGCCTGACTTTGAGGCGACAGTCTAGACGAGCACTGCGGTGCTGGGGTGAAGGTGTTGTCCTTTGGACACAATGTTAACCTGTGGCTCCATCTGTTTGTTCAGGTGGATGTGAAACTTTTTGGAAAGAGAAGGCAGCTTCTACAGGTGTGGCCGACATTCCCCCGATCAAACTTGTTTCACGGTGGTTTATGGGACATTGGTGTGCGCACATGGCTGCCACATTCGTTTACAAACACACAGTCACTACACTTCATAATAAATGCTGTGAAGCGCTTTGGGACGTCCTCCAGACGTGAAAGGCGCTATGACCAAACGTAAGGATTTTCTTTACTAAAGTGTGCTTCCGCGTCCCGCCGCAGGTGGCGCTGTTGGCAGCGCGAGCGTTTTGTGTGTCACAGCGCCCCCTGTGGCGGGTCTGGGTAAGGTTGTGCGGGGAGGAGGACTCGGAGCCGCTGGTCCTCCCGACTACCCATCATGCTGTTCGCAGCCGCGGTCCTCCGGCTTCCCGTGGTTCAGTGGGAAGGTGAAGCGGGCGGACAGGGGATCAGGCCATGGCGGCGTACCTGACTCACCAGCAGAAAGTCCTCCGCCTTTACAAGAGGGCGCTGCGGCACCTGGAGTCCTGGTGCATTTACAGGTGACCTTCCGCTCTCTGTGGCCGTGTCGGGGGGAGGGGGTTGTTGGGGAGGGGGGGAATGTGCTGCTGTCATTTTGTGTTTTAAATGTCTTTGAATGTTATTGAATGTTATTGGATGTCATTGATAGTTGTACATGTGTGTAACCCCCCAGGTGTCAGCCTGGCTCAGGGGGTCACAGAATACAGAGAGAATCAGCTGAGCTCAGGCACTGGGGATCTCAAACTGCCTTCACCAACAACATTTCTCAAGTAACCGTCTCGGCATCTTTCTATGTCTGATACTTGTGCCACTGGGCACCTCTCCCCCCCCACAGCCCTCTTGTCCCCCGCCCCCGCTCTGGTGCAAACCCTTTACTGTCCAGTGCCTTGGGGTGTGTTCCCAACTTAATTGAGTGACCAATTTATTATTATTATTATTACTTTTGAAGCAATTATCCCTCGGAAACGCGATCAGCCAATCGACTAACAATCGGGTTCCTACTTACTGCTGGTAAACAGGTATGCGGAGTAAGGAAACTTGCCCAACATTTTGCCCTCCCGGGAATCAAACCCAGGTCTCCCGCTTGCAAGGTGAGTGCTGTAACCACAGAGCTACAGCACACCACAGGTCCAGCCCACCTCTGACGCTCCAGTGCAGTGCTGGGAGAGCGCTGCTTTATCTGAAGTATCGCCCTATGGATGAGACATTAAACGGAGGTCCCATCTGCCTGTTCAGGTGGATGTTAATAATAATAATAATCCTTGCATTTAATAAAATGCCTTATCGCATTTCAAGACGTCTCAAAGCACTTCACAGAATATACTGTAAAGTGAATTGACTGTATATTTTGTGGGCGAAAAGCAGCAGCTAATTGCGCACACACCATATCCCACAAACAGCCAAGTGAGCATGGGGGTGTCAGGCTCATGGAGAGGACATAAGGTTCAGAGTTCTGGATAGTCTGCATCCTGTATAGGGAAGAGCTGGAGAGTCCTGTAATACTGCAGAATTGTGGCACATTCTTGAATAGGAAGCAGCTTTTCTGCATTGGTTAAAAGTAACTGGTTTCCAAGTGAAGATTGAATTGAAGAATTTTCCTCATATCTGAGCTAGCTTAAATTTTAAGTCAAAAAGACTATGTGGAATTTCAAGCCTCAGATGTCAGCTTTGCTCAGTTGGTTCAGAAGATTGTGTGGGTTCAAACTCCATCGAGGTTGACACTCCAGTGCAGTGCTGGGAGGAGCACTGCATTGTTGGAGGTGCCGTCCTAGGGATACGATTCTCTCTTCCTACGCACATTAAAGATCCCATGGCATTGTTCAAAAAGGGAAGAGTTTCTCCTGGTATTCTGGCCAACTGTTCCCCAAATGAAATTGGTCCAGGCAGTTTTCTTGTTGGCAGCTATTATGGAAATCACAGCACAGAAAGAGATCATTTGGCTCACCATTTGTTGTTGTTAGTGACGCCTCCTCCACCAGATTTGCCGGCTGATCCATTTCCCATGCTAATTTCCTCAAATATTTGGCCAATTCCCTTTCAAATTCTATTATGCTTGCTTTAGAGACCTCGGATACCACTTCACAGTCAATTTTGTGGATTCAGGCATGTGTCATATTTTACATGAAAATGCCCGTACCTTTTTCTGGTTCAATTTAAAGTTCTGAAGATGCTGTTCCTACAGTTGCTCTTTTACTTTTTGTCAGATATTAAGGAAATAGTGTCTGTCATGACTGGTTCAGTAAGAGTTCCTAGTCTGGATTCTTTAGGTGGGGAAATATTTGATGATATTAACGGTACTTTATTTGGAGAACTACTAGACCAACTGTGGAAAATCAGCTTCACCAGACCATCATGCCTGTGCTGGCTCTTTGGAAGAGCTACCCAATCAGTCCCACTCCCCCTCTCTTTCCACATGTGCTTGCAAATTTTTCCACTATTCAATTCTCTTTTGAAAGTTGTTATTGAATCTGTTTCCACCATCCCTTTCAGGCAGTGCATTCCAATGGGTAACAACTCTCTGTGAATATATTTTAAAAATTCTCCTCGTCTCCCCTTTGGTTCTTTTGCCAATTATCTTGAATCTATGTCCCCTGGTTACCGATCCACCTGCCAGTGGAAACAGTTTCTGCCTATCTACTCTATCAAAACCCCTCATAATTTTGAACACGTCTATTCAATCTCTCCAATATATTCAACGAGCTGTACCTGTGCAGCTACGTTTGCAACCAAAGGATCCAATATGGAATGTAGATTGACCACACAGACAGAAAATTCATCTTTATATTCATCTGGGAGGGGACTCATTGAGGATTTGGCGCTTTAAAAATGTAAGTTTGTGTTGCCGCAGCTTAGCTTCGTCTGTGTTTATTTTGTTCCTGTCGCTTGGCTACGTACGTGCTCTGTGACACAGGATGCCACACCAGGTGTAACTGCAGTATATGCATACATACATAGTTGCTCTGTGATGCACAATACACCTGTGCCACTTTGACTCGGCGACCACCAGGTGTAACTGCAGCGAAAAACGCAAAACTGAAAATAACTCCTGAACAATAGAAGGTACCTGAAAACAAATATGCTCGTGTCACTCCCAGGTGCAAGATCTTTCTGATGAGGTATAAATCTTGTTTCTACGTCAATCGGTTATTGAGATCCTTCTTGAAGCACAGAGACATTGTCATTTTATTATTATAATTATATATAACATATGCATATATCAATAGAAGAAGATAGATAGAAGAAGATAGATAGATTATGTTTTCCCACTGCCTTTTTCAATTTAAGGTTCTGATAATGCTGCTTATGTAGTTGATGCGAACTGTGAATAAGTAATTTTTTTATTAAAGTTATGACTTTTACATTCTTTTACATTTTATGATAATTGGAACATTTTCTCCTAATTAGAGACAAATACCGTTTTTACGCCTGCCTGCTGCGATCAAGGTTTGACGAAAACAAAGATGAAAAGAACATGGTGAAGGCCACCAAGCTGTTAAAAGCTGGTGAGGAGGAATTCTGGACTAACCAACATCCTCAGCCCTACATTTTTCCTGAGGCCCCTGGAGGCACATCCTATGAGAGATATGAATGCTATAAGGTGACCAGTGAAATTCATTGCTAGCGAGAATTAATATTTCAAATTTAATGTATGAAGGTGTATGGATTTTGAAGGAGGTGTGATTATGTAATTAACATTCATTTTGTGGTTTATGCAATATGCCTCTGTTTTTAACATTTTTAAAAGTAATCCGCCTTTTTTATTTTGTGAACAGTTTTTCCAAAACATGTATATAAAAAACTGTTCTTATACTGGAATGCCATAATTGCATGGGCAAGTAATACAGTATACAGTATTGAGGTTATTCATTAATGAAAATGATCATTATGCTTTGAATATTTTTTCTCTATTTTAGTTTTATGAGTAAATACAATGAAGGTAGGAGAAATCTCAAAACACAAAATACTGCGGATGCTGGAAATCTGAAAACAGAAACAGAAAAACCTTTTCAGATTTCCAGCATCTACAGTATTTTGTGTAGTGTTCCCAGTGACTTCTGTTTTTGTTAGGAGAAATCTCAGCCTGTGATCCAGAAATATATTAGTACATCTGAGAGATAAATTCCTACCTGTTACAATTCCTACCTGTAGGGTTTGATTTCCAATCAATGTGTACATTGCATTGCATTTAACATGCCAGATGTATCTAATTAATGTGTGCCAAAACATTGAATATGGCTCAATGTATAATAGACTTATGTTTCTGTCTTTTTTTAAAAAAAGTTTAATTAATATTTTCAATTGTGGATAGGTTCCTGAGGCATATCTGGATTACTGGCATCCATCTGAGAAGGCGATGTATCCCGATTACTTTGCCAAGCGAGAGCAGTGGAAACAGTTGCGTCTCCAGAGCTGGGACAGAGAGGTACAGACGCACTTATTGCATTGTTCTATGTATGACTTCTATGTTACGGTGTCACAAAGTGATTGACCTAGTTACATGAAGTACTTTTCTATTAATTTGCAGAATTTATTAAAAAATGGTCTTCAGACATTACATGTTGGCACATTGAGCACCAAAATCCAATGCATTGCTAACCTCAAAGACTGCAGTAGTTTCATGTAATTCTACCAGCACTTAAGTTCATGTAAATAAACATCCACAACTTATACATGTTATTCAGGGATAGCTTTTAAAATCTGCTTTGTGACTTTTTTGTTTCACTTAAGCTAATACTTGCCACATATCCTGCCCCTTTTAAATAAACATTTTTGACGATGCTTTCGTACCTGATGTACCTTTACCAACAGCAAAATTTCTGTTTCTTTGATTGCCTGATTTTGATGTGATGCAGTGTCCCTCAGGGCTCTGTCCTCGATCCCCTCCTCTTCACCCTCTATATGCTCCCCCTTGGTGACATCATCCGCAGACATGGAGTTAACTTCCACATGTATGCGGATGATACCCAACTCTACCTTTCCTCTTCTACTCTCAACTCCACGACCACCGATGTCCTGACAGCTGCCTGTCCGACATCGAGTCCTGGACGAAAGACAACTTTCTTCAGCTCAATGTGCGTAAAACTGAGGCCCTCCTGATTGGCTCTCGTCAGCACCTCCGCACCTCAGGCGCTGACAGCATCAGCATCCAAGGCTGCACTCTCCACCTCTCAAAGCCAGTCAGGAACCTCGGCGTTTTGTTCGACCCTGAGCTGTCCTTTCTCCCTCACATCCGCACCACAACTGGCACCGCCTTCCATCACCTCCGGAACATCGCCAGACTACGGCACTACCTCACCCCTCACGCTGCTGAAACTCTGGTCCACGCTTTTATCACCTCAAGGCTGGACTATGGGAACTCTCTCCTCGCCGGCCTTCCCGCCACCTCCCTCCACAAGCTGCAGGTCATTCAGAACTCTGCAGCTCGTGTACTGTCCCGCACCAGGCTTCGGGACCACATCACTCCCACCCTCGCTCGCCTCCACTGGCTCCCCATCCCCAGAGGATCGAATTCAAGATCCTCATCCTCACCTACAAGGCCATTCACGGCCTTGCTCCCTCCTACCTCTCTGATCTACTATCCCCCTACCTACCTGCCCGTACCCTCTGTTCCTCTGGCTCCGGTCTGCTGCACATCCCCCGCCCCAACCGCCCTACCATCGGCGGCCGGGCCTTCAGCCTCTTAGCCCCGAGGCTCTGGAACTCTATCCCCCAGTGCCTTCGCCGCTTCCTCCCTCTCCTCCTTCAAGGCCGGTCTCAAGACCTTTCTCTTTGACCGAACCTTCAGCTCCCCTCTCAACTCTCTAACCCCTCCTCGACCCCTCCCTTCCCTCCCTTCACCCTGACCATTTCCCCCCTGCTCGGGTCCTGACCCAACCGTCCAGCGCTTTGGGACATCCTCCCGACGTGAAAGGCGCTCTATAAATGGAATCTTGTTGTTGTTGTTGTGGTAGTACATTCTGATCACACTGCAGTGTGAGCTATTTGATCACAGTAAAGCAACATCCAATTTTTGCTGTCTCTCAAATACTTGGGCATTGCTACTGAAATCTGATAAGAGTGTTTTCAGGACTGCTGTTTTCTCCACCAGGTCAGAGACCTGTGTCCACCTTATTTCCGGACTGTCACCAGTGCCTTCTTAGCGAGCTGCTAGAAGGTGCACTGGAGTCGAAGAATCGAGTTCTCCCCATTCAGAAATGTTCTCCCTGGTGTGCACAGTGTGAGGGATTAGACTGTGTTACTCTGGTATATGGCACAATACATCTATGAATGTCTCTCATTTCAGAGGCTATTTTGATTGGGGTAAAATCTGTGTTTGTGTGCATGTATATTTGTGTTTGTGGTCTAAAGTAGAATGTCTTTTTATGGGGTCTGGTTATTGGATATCTGGAACTTTTGATTAATTTCCTCTGTTGTATAGGTGTTGCAGCTCCAAAAAGAGATAGCCGATAACCCAAAGAGTGAGGCCCTACCCCCAGCTCGGAGGGAAGAGGATCTGCCCCCATTGTGGTGGAACATTGTCACTCGACCCCGTGAAAATCCGACATGAAGACTCACACCAGTACAGGTGGAAGGAAACGGGGAGACAGCATTGCCAACTGTAAACTATTTATCTGTAGAGTCCTTATCTGGCTCTGGTTTCCTTGATAAGTGGAAGAACTGAACCCTCTCTGAAGCATTTCTCTAAATTCAATAAACATCAAAAATTAAATTGTTTCAATCTTCTTTATACTGGACAACAAAGAACTGCTATAGACTGGATGCAACCAATTTGGCAAGAAATGGAACGCTAGTTTTATGACCAAATTAACCAGTCATTCACCTCATAGCTGCTTGCGACTTTGTGTGCAAAAAGATTGCCACGCAGGTTGGGGATTCTCAAAGGATAAGATTGTCTAAGAATTCTTCATCCAAACCTCGTTTGATAATTATATAAAAATAATTCTGTAATTTGAAGTAGCACCTGTCACATTGGAAGGTTGTATTTTGTAGATGAACTCGCTGCCAATTTGTTCACAGCAATCAGCCATGGAGTGAGTGACCAATTTTGTTTGGGTTGGACACAGGGAGAAACTCCCTTCTCTTTTTGAATAGTGCCATGGGATCTTTAATGTGTCCACCTGAACAGGCAGATTGTACCTCGGTTTAACATCTCATCTGAAGGATGCACCTCAGTCAATATAACTTACCCCCAGCACCTCATTGGAATGTCAGTTTAGACTATGTCAGTTCAAGCTCCTTATGGGGCCCACAACCTTCTGACTTGGAGGTGAGAGTGCTACCAACTGAGTCAGGCTGATGAACTATGATTGGTATATTAGTGTTGTAATTCATGTCATGTAAGTACAGAAGGGACTTGTGTCTATTGCACCCAGGTTTAAACTGCTCAAATGTAATTTAGCTTGGGATCCTCTGCAGTACTTTGATATTCAATTCTCTTGGTTACATTCTGAACCAAGATCTTGGGAGATGAAATGGCTTCCAGTTTGCTGCAGCACATTTGTTCATGCATTTAACGTTTTGAATTTAGAGAGCTGAATTGATTTTTCAGAGGCTTTCTTTTCTCAAATATTCTTTGAAATTGTAATAGACAAGGAGGAAGTCCATTGTAGAGGTGTTTATAAACATTGTCCACTGTGTTGGAAGTTGGCAGTGGCAGATTCTATTCTCATCTATTGCCAGCTTCTAATAAATCCCTTTTCATTTCTGGATATATTGACACAATTGAGCTCAATCACTTAGTTGTTTTAAAGTGGTGTTTTCACCAATAATATACTTACAATCCATAAAGGGATTCTCAAATATAATACTAATATGCCACTGTATGACATTTGGGCACACTCAGTAACGCACCACAATTACTTTATAAAGGGAGCTGTAACCCATAAATAACATGCAGCTAAGATTATCTTTAAAGATTCAAAGCAAGTGTGGGAATGAGTCTCAAGATTTTCAGCAGTAAGATTGGTTATATTAAAGCAACATTTTATATATGTATGTTTACATACCGTAATACATAAGTAGAATATGGTAATGTTTTAAGTCCTGATTCCAAATTGATATAGGTATACTCCACACGCCTAATAATAATCCCTCCAAAAATGAAACAATAATAAATTGGTCATTTTCAATCCACTACTGTTTGTGGGACACTGCTGTGCGCAACTGGCTGCCGTGTTTCGCCCACAAATATACGGTCAATTCACTTTACAGTCTATTCTGTGAAGCGCTTTGAGACGTCGAGAAGAGGTGAAAAGCGCTATATCAAATGCAAGGATTATTATTATTTTATTATAGCTACCGACAAACAGTTGGGGGAGTGCAAATCGAACATTTTTTTTAACAGAATGCCCAGGGAAAGTCTGAATAACAAATCCCTGACAGTTAGTGATTTTAATCGTAGTTCAGAGCTCCGTCTACAGCAAAATGAATAATAATGTGCAGTCCAGTTATAGTTAATGAGAACCTGAGGAAGTGTGGGAATGAGTTCAAAAGCTCAAGTGATATTCCAGGATTGTTCACATAACGCAATGGATTTGCAAAACCATTGTATGGCCCGATACTGCAACTGCCGTATAATACAATTGCATGTAGGCAAATCGAAACCCGCTCATTCTCTCCCTCTAATTCAAGGCCTATCCCACCACTTAACCTTGTTGACTCCGCTTTTGCTTATCATTCCCCTCACAGACCTTTCAGCTTCCATCAGCTTGGATGTCCAGCCAGCAATGTCAGAGACTTTAAGACAAATTCCCAAAGTGAAATGCACAGTATAAGTTTAAATTGTATTGCTGTCTGTTGTGCTGAAATAGCCTTCTGTGCCACAAACTAATCACCTTCAGATATTTACTAATTTAAAGAGGGAGTCTATCAGAACCACCTTTAAAATATGAATTAACAGTGGCCTTTAACATTTTTGTTATAAAAATGATGCTGAAACACACATCGAGGAATAGCTTGGAGGAACAAATGAATCTTATGGTTTGAAGGAATTGATTTAAAATATATAAAACTGGAGTGTCAAAGATTAATGAAAGCAGGTATAAAATGAATCTTATTTATGACATACATAAACTGAATATAAATGTATATCAATAGTGTTGATTACAGAGGTACTTTGGAATAGGCTCTGCAATGTCCTAAGAGCTGCAATATCCGCCCGACCTGCCCTACCATTGGTGGCCGGGCTTCAGCCTCTCTGCCCCCACACTCGAACTCCATCCCATGGCCCCTTCACCTCGCTTCCTCCCTCGCATCCTTCAAGTTCGGTCTCAAGACCCTTCTCTTCGACCGTGCCTTTGGTCTCCCTCCCACCTCTCTGCCTTCCCTCACCCCTACACCACCCCTCCCCCATGCTCGGGCCCCGACACCTAACTGTCCAGCGCTTTGGAATGTCCTCTTGATGTGAAAGGCGCTCTATAAATGTAATTTTGTGGTTGTTGTGGCTGTTCATTCTGTGGAATGTGCTAAATTTATAGCATCCATTATTGGTAGATTAGCAGTCCCAGTGCTTACTACCCTTCAAAGTAGACCAGTATTTTTGCTCTGACATTTTTAATGTAAGAAACTACTGGATCAATTGCATTTATAATTATTTTATTATACACAGATCCAGTTACAGGAACCTGGCTGAGAATGATAAAACTGAACACCAGGTGGCAGATTTGACTGGCAGATACCTTGAGATTCAGAATTTGCAGTCAGTGGTTTGCAAACAGGTACTCAGGTTGATAACACAGTATCTACAATCTATTTTCGGGACATTCTACAGTAGTCTCACATCAGTGTATCAGCTTTCGTCATTTACTATATTGCTAGATTATATAATGAACTTCAGAATGCGCAACTCATAAAAGGATAGACATCACAGAGTTTTGATTGAGTCAATAAGGAGAAATTATTTCCACTGATCAGTGAGTTAGTGACTGAAAGGATTCAATTTAAGAGTTAGCAAATCAACGAATCGGGAGATTAGGAGGTTTTTTTTCATGCACAGAAAAGTTAACAGACAGAATCCATTTTAGCTTTCAAAGGGGGCGAGATAGATACCCAAAAGGAGTAAGGGTATGAGAGGGGAAAGGGCAGGTAAATGGAACTGAAATGATTGCTCTTAAAAGGGCGAGCACAGACACGATGGGCCAAATGACTGACTTCCATGGAGTTCTGTAGCTCAGTGGTCCTCAAGCGAGAGGAGCTGAGTTTGATTCCCAGCAGGACAAAATGTTTTTAAGAAACCTCAATTTTAAAATTAATGCAAACTGTATGAATGCATTTTCCAATATTACATTCTTGATAAAAAGGGGAAAATTAAGTCCTTGTGGGAATAAAATAACTTGTTCATAAACACCCTTAAATATGACCCCATTTACAGAGAGCTGACAAGCCTTAGGAGGTGCAAATTGAAGTCTGCATCTGTCTGCAGATAGACAGTCCCTAAACACTACAGATAAAACTCTGTGATACACTTTGAGAAGTTTTGACATGATAAAGCACTGTACCAAATCCAAGAATTACTACCTTACCTTAGTGGACCACAAACATATCAGATTGTACATGACTGTACATAAATAGTGTTTATTCCTCAGTACTGATATCCCTTACTTTCATGCATAAAGATGAAACATGGAGTTACATTCTGACATTTCATAATTTCATATCCTCCATATTATGAAGTCCTGTAGCTCAGTGGTTAGAGCACTTGCCTCACAAGCGAGAGACCTGGGTTCGATTCCCAGCAGGGTGAAACCTTGGGCAAGTTTCCTTATTCCACACACCTCTGTGTACCTAGCGGTAAGTAGGAACCCGGTTAATAATAATAATAATAATCCTTGCATTTGATATAGGGCTTTTCCACGTCGGGAGGACGTCCCAAAGCGCTTCACAGAACACACTGTAAAGTGAATTGACTGTATTTGTGGGCGAACGCGGCAGCCAATTGCGCACAGCAATGTCCCACAAATAGTCGTCGATTGAAAATGACCAATTTATTATTGTTTTGGGGTTTTGGAGGGATTATTATTAGGCTCTGTGTGGAGTAAGGAAACTTGCCCAAGGTTTCGCCCTCTGCCTGGAATTGAACTCAGGTCTCTCACTTGCAAAGCGAGTGCTCTAACCACTGAGCTACAGGACTCGGTTGTTAAATCGACTAGCGGATCACTTAAAATAAATAATAATAATTTGGTCACTCAATCCACAACTGTTTATGGGACATTGGCTGTGGCATTTCACCCACAAAATATACAGTACATTCATTTTACAGTATATTCTGTGAAGCGCTTTGAGGCATCTCAAAGGCGTGATAAAGTGCTATATCAAGTGCAAGGATTATTATTATTAAATCTCTATGGATTCTATAAGAGCACCATACAGCTTTCCTCAGTTAGCACTTAGAACTGTTATCGGTTCTACATGTTGTATAATGCAATATAAAGGTAGTTACTGGGAACTTCAGTTGCAGTTCTAATTTTAGTCACAACAGGTCGCAAACCCAACAAAGCTTTCGTTCATTTACTAAATCACTTTTTCTGATATTTACATATGCTTTCCTCTATTTGATGAAATAGTCTCCAATTATCGATATGTACTGCGTCAATTAATGTTCAATTCCTAGAGGTAATTGCACTGTCTTTTGTAATTTTTTCAGTTTTTCATCTGAATAGCAAAGCTGGACTTTCTTTTGGATACATGACTCAATGGGATAATTGCAAGGGGCGGCGGGGTTGGGGGGGGTGGGTTGGGAGGAGGAGAAAAATCTTAGTGCACATGTCAATTTTCAGTAAGCAAAATATTGCCTAGATTTGCAATGTCCCTGAAAGTAGAGATTGGCATTACATTTCCTTGTAGTTAATTGCTATATATTTAAGGTAGTTAATTGGCTGCCGCGTTTTGCCCATAAAATATGCAGTCAATACACTTTACAGTATATTCTGTGAAGCACTTTGAGATGTCTTAATGAAATGATAAGGCCCTATATCAAATGCAAGATTTTTTTATTATTATTACGTAAACTAAGCATCACCAAAGAGAGAGACTTAATAACATAGACCACATGATATAAAAGTCCTTTTTCTATTGGCTGCATCACAACAGAAGGAGCTAGAAATCTAAAGCAATACATCATGTACTGACAATTTCAAGGGCAAACTCTTTCTCCCACAGAATACCAACACTGGAGAATTGACCTACAAAATGCTCAGTTATTCGAAACATCCAGAAACCTTAAGTGGAAAGAAATCTTGTGCAGATGAGACTGGGCTAACGTTTTATTTTAAAACGTTAAAATAAAAACAAAAATGACTAAAGCAAAAGCAGGTTTTATGTCAAGAACAAACTAGTTCGGATATTAAGAATCTATTGCTAGAATTTGCTGACTGGTGATGCCCCAATGTGAGCATCAATTAATGGTGCTCAGGAAGGTGTTTATCGGTTGATACTGTATTTAGCCATCTGAAAGACTTTAGGGAAGTATGATATGCTATCCTAGGTAGTGTGGCGTGGGAAGATCAATAAGTCTTGATGTAATGTGCTTCCTAAATTCAGTCTCCCTAGTTACACATCACAGGAATCAAATGAAGCCCAGGTCCCATTTGATCTCATCCTTCTTCAGAATACCCACGTATCGTCCTTCCATTGCAGCATTGAGTGGTTTCTTAAATGAGTCCAGGGTCTTTTAGTACAATAGCCTGTTCTTCAGCCTGTTGCTGGATTTCATTTGCCAGTGTAAAATTCATTTGCAGTTTTTCTAAATCAGCCAGTCATTAACGCTGAAATTCTTTCTCTGAAAGTGAATAATAATGCTTGCATTTGATATAGCACCTATAATATCACAATGTCTCAAGGCAGAGGTCATTGTGGAGCAAACACAGCATCTAATTTGGAGACTGTAATCAGTAATTAAGTAAGTGGCCAATTTATCTGGGGAATTGTTGGCCAGGACATCAGGAGAGACTCCCTTCTCTCTTTTTGAATAATGCCATGGTCCTTTATTGTCCACCCATACAGGCAGACAGGACCTCAGTTTAATGTCTCATCTGAAGGATGGCAATTCTGACAATGCAGTGCTCCCCAATATTGTATCAGAGAGTCAGCCTCAAACACAAACTGCTCATTTGCTAATGTTCTCATACTTCTACTCTAGGAGAACAGAGCAACAAATAATGTGATAATGAAAAGCCAGCTTCCTTAACCAACAAATTCAGATAGAAATTGCTGCTGCTTAGAGCCCGGTCTTCTTCTACAGTATTATAATAGATTTATTTTGTCTTTCTATTTCTCTGAGAAAATCCAGACAGCAGTGCACTCAGAACACAGTTGGAAGCAGAGCCACTTTGGATAATTTGTAGGAACATCATCAATTTCAAACTGCAATTCTGGAATTGAATATTTCAAAACGTTCTAAACATGTTGTTTCAAAAAGCCTTTTGCTATCAGTCGTGGCAATTTACACCAATTCTCACATATTGTATTTTTTTTTAATTTACTTTCATCTATGTTATATAAATCTAGATCCATTTTCATTGCTTTTGCCCATCACTAATACAATACCATTTTCCGAAAGAGATGGAGCTATTGATAGCCGACACTATATCATACTGTAATGGTCAAATTGTTAGACCAGGAGGTATTGAAGAAAGGCTTTCATAACAATAATAAGCCCTTGAGACGTTGATAGAATTTTGTAAAATGCAGAAAATAATGAAACTAACATGAGAAGGCGTTTCGGCTAAATAAACCCAAAAGGGTATTAGGCAACTACTCCAATCCCAATTCTCTATGTTCTCCCTGCAGGTTTTTGAATTCAGCTTCAATGTTTGTCTAATTTTGCTTTAGAATGTTATGGTCTCAGCCTCATCAGTTTAGAGAAAATCTTGCATTCTGATTTTTTTTTGTTTCACCATTCCCAATATTTTTTTTACAAAAATCAGATGTTTATTTTTAAAATGACACGTTGTTTCACATTTCAATCATGTTTTCTTAAGAAATATTTTTTCCAATTGATAACCTTTATCTAATGTCCACAATTTATTTCCTGAATTAAGCAACACTCACCTCTGAATGCTTCTCTACAAATTCAAAAGATTTGAGCCTGCTGCAATTATCTGTTACAAAGTATTGTTGCACGTACAATTAATGAAGCAGGATTTTATTTTGACAATGGGGAAGGGGACAATCAAAGCTGTTCAACAAAAATATATGGAGGACTCGTGTCATTTGACTGTGAACTGAGACAACTTGCATTTTTATACATGGTGTCCTTTGTGTCGGATAATGTCTGAGTCTCGTTTAAGACAGACCAGAAACTGAGCAATGGAGAAAGGACAGGGAGAAGTGGAAGGCAACAATAAATATAGTAGAGGTAGGTTTTTAGGGTGAATGAAACTGAAATGGTTTAATTGACTCTACCATGCACATATATTTTGCATATTTACATTTGATAAACAGCTTTGATATGTCCTATTATAGCTGTGTGAAAGCATAAGAGCTGAAAACCTGCCACTTTGATTGATGTATGCCTTTGCTACCATAGCACGCAGAGAATGCAGTCTACTTGTTTATCATCTACAAGCTATGTTTGCAACCAAAAATCCAATGTGGAATGCAGATTGACACGCAGACACAAACAGACATTTCATCTTTATCTATACTCATCTGGGAGGACTCATTTTGGCCATGCTGTTCTTTGAGTGGGCAACTCATTTTGGCGTGCTGTGCAGTCGTTTCAGCGTTGAAGTACAGCCGTGCTGTTGTTCTTCAGTTTCATTTAATTGGCCTTCTCTTTTGTTTAGCATTTTCACTTATTCTTCAAAGGTTTGATTTTCATTTAGGCATCTTTATAATGATACATCTAAATGTATAACTTATAATCACTGGGATGTCCTCCAGATGTGAAAGGCGCTTTAAAAATTTAATGTTGTTGTTGTTGCCGCGGCTTAGCTTCGTTCTTTATTTTGTTCCTGCCTCTTGGCTACGTGCGTGTTCTGTGACACAGGATGCCACAGCGCCACGGTCAGCTGGCGCAGCCACCAGGTGTAACTGCAAAATGCCATGGCACCACTTAGATTCGGCGATCGCCAGGTGTAACTGCAGCGAAAAACGCAAAACTGAAATACATTTTAGTTCATAACTCATAAATGATAGGAGATACCCAAAAACAAATATGCCCATGTCACTCCCATGTTCAAGACCCGTGTGATGATGTATAAATCATCTCTCTATAAGATCCTTCTTGAAGCGCACAGACAGACAGCCATTGTTGGTTTATTAGTATATATAAGATTACTTCCAAAGATACAGCAGGTCACAGCCAATCATAACAATTCATCTGAATTAATGTGTTGCACTGTTAATGTGTGAAACTAGAAAAATGGTCTCAGGATTAATTAAGTAAACACAAAATATTTTTGAACTTCTTAGGAGGTTGGCATTGTACGATGGCAATGCTGGTTCTTGGGCAAGAACTAACGCAAACTAAATTTAATTTCTCAAAGCAGAAATGTCTCAGTCATTGCTACTTGTACAGGTCCAACCGGTACAACACTTTCCATTGGGGCTTTGACTTGCATTTTCTTTGGTCAGCTGGGTGTCTGACATATGCAGAAACCCATCACCATGTTTAAAAGCATCCAAACCAAGCTGAGATTTCCATGCATATTTCCACCTACACATGAAAATCCGTGAGATCAAGGATAAGTGTGTCCTGCATTACGGTCAACCGACCTTATCATACACAAATATGTGTATACTCCATCACAAAACAATAAAACAAGACTGATTTTTCACATTTCTTTAATATAGGCTGAAGCAATCATAACACAGAGGAGGGAGACACAAAAATTACAGATTGTTATATTTACACCCGGCAAACAAAAAACTGCACAGGAGAGGTCAACTCTCATTACAAACCAGGAACAAAACCACAATAAGTTACCATTAGAAACAATCCTAGGTTCAGTGTGATAACCTGCTTTTACAATATGCAAAACACATCAAGTTTTTACTATTTCAAAAACAATTCGGTCAGTTTACACATTCTTTAATAAAATTTTGGCAACATTCTTTAATTTTTTAACTTCTTAAGAGATGCAAGGATATGTAATGTTGAATCTGGACTTTAACATACTACCTTTTATTGAAACGATTTCCTATATTTGTATATATGGTATTGAATGATTACAATTGTGGGGCTTATGGTTTCAGAGTTTTTTTTATATAAAAGAGCTAATAGGTAACTAACCACCATTTGCGTCATCTGCAAACTGCATCAGCTGGAGGTAACCTAAAAGCTAATTTTGTCTGACTTGTGGTCAGCACAGATTTCCTCTGTGTTGTGTTTAATACTGGGATCACCACAGGCACCACAAAGATAATACTATTTTTCTAGCCAGGGACTTGTTATCAAACTTTTTGCAGCTGTGAAACTAACTGCTGGCTCACCGAGCTTTATGTACACAAAAAAAGTACCCATAAAACAGCTTCCCACTACTTTGGGTGAACAGAGCGTTTACGTTTTGCACTTTAAGAAAGCTGTTCTACTTTAAACACTTGAAAGATCTCCTGAGGTGCTAAAGGTTGTGTAAAGTACCTGCAAGTCTGGAAAAAAAAACTTGCATTTTCCACACAACTAGCCATTAATATTCCTTGTATTTGATGTAGCGCCTATAATAATGTCAAAAGACCTCAAAGCGCTTCACAGGAAATTACTGTTAAGTGTTGTGACTGTGTACTCTATAGGGGAACATGGCATCCGATTTGCGCACAGCAATGTCCCATAGCCAGCCATGAAGTCAATGACCAATTTTATCCAGAGAATTGATAAACAGGACAACAACTAAACATTTAAAAGGATTTCAAAGGATAGTTACTCTCTGTCCCTTCATTCTGCACCAAACAGATTGAGGAAAATGGGAATAGAGGAGAAGACAGCAGCAGGAAATTAGTGAGAACTTATATGGTCTGCAACAGCCATCGCTAGTTATGGTCATGAATAAAATACAAAGCTGTCAATATAAAGCCTCAAGTTAATCACAAGCTCCAATACATTAAAGTTCAGATATGTTTTTAGGAGCAGATAACCACGCAATGCTCAAACATTATTATTCACCATTTAGTGGGTTGCCGCATTCAATAGGGGTTAGTTACAAACAGACCTGCAATATGGAACAAGCAAGCCCCTGAATGTATATTTATTGGAGCATATATCTGCAGAAGGGATAAGACCTGAGCTGTAATTCTAAGGCTACTGCTCTGTCATAAAATGAAGGTTTGATCATTTCTTCAAATTTCCACTACATGGGTCTATTTACCCAGCCTGCTGGGCCTGTCTTTTTTAAAAAAAACAAGAAAAAGCATCTTTAACTCTAGATCTCCCTGCTACCTTTTGTGTCTTTAAGGTTTAACTGCTATATTTGACACACTTTTTTTTCTCCATTGCTTTAGCATAAAGTCATATTTAAAAGTATAGAATGGGTGTTGGGAGGAGAGGGAAGCAAGCATAAAAACCAATGAGGGCACCGATAACAAAAAACTAATGTAGGCTGCATGCATACGATTAAAGCAGTTTCAGTGGTTACGTTAAATGAAAGCAAAGTCTGTACAGCGTATGAAAACTTATAAGCTCTAGTCAGATATGGCTCATTTCAATAGGATCAACATTAAGCACTAGAAAATAACTACAGTATGCTTAACTATCACAGAAACAGCATCCCATTTGTTCGTAAGTACTGTTACTGTCATGGCACTGTTAGCTTACGACTAAACATCAAATCCACGCTTACTCATCATGCCTTATTTGCGCTGTATTGCTTAAAATAGGTTAGCTGGTAATCTGCTATAATTCTTTCTATTTTACTGATTGTACAGTAACTAAGTGTAATACTGAGTGACGGTGCTTATCGCTCCACCCTATAGAAATAAATCTTTTAAAAACCCACAAATCCAATAAATTAAAACTTTTGTTTCCTCTGTGCACTATTAATTAAGCACACTCCTCACCAGCAGAAACCACATTAAATCAATCCCCTTTGCAAAAATCCCGTCGCAAAATTTTAGAAAAAGAAATGTTTTTTCTGTCGCCGACAATGAAGATTTCAACTGGTTGTGCTCTGAAGGTCAAACTATAAGGAGTCAGAGAACATCAGGTATGATTTGGCACGGTTTGGTTCGGTGGGGTGGTGGGTGGGTGGGGGAGGGGGTGAGAGGGAGAGAAGCGGGAAAGTAATAGGTAAAGCTAAAAGTTAACTACAAGAGAAATACACTTTCATATTTACAGGCCATAAAATTCAAAAGAATGCAACTAGTGACATGTTCCTCATTGCTGTTCTTTTTTTTCTCCCCACCAGTCAGTCTTTCCTTTCTTATGAATTTCCCCAGATAAAATTCATTGAAATAACACGGTGAGATTTCAAGAGAATCATTCTTCTTTTCAAATATACACTGGAATGAAGTAATCTAAGTCGGAGACTTCCTTCTTAACCTCTGCAAAGCATTTTATATCAAGTTTATTTATGAAAACCTTGGGGCAGAGCGATCATTGGTGATAGTTTTTCTCAGTTTTACACCGCGCCGGATGGCACTCAACATGTCTTCACCCTGAGGGGTTTCTGCAGCATCCAGAGCAGGCAGCTCGACTGCTGCCTCCGGCTTCTGAAGGCTCAAAGCTGTACCAGTGCAAGATTGATCCCCGTCTGTAGCTGCCACTGTGGTGCCTACGATGGACCCTCCGTTTTCCGTTATCTGTTGGCTCATCACAGATGATCTCTCCTCTTCTGTGGGGCTTATGGTTTGAGATGGCACTGGAGGGATGACGATTACCTGTGTGGCTGAATTCCAGCTGGGCAAAGGCATACCTCCTCTCTTTGGAGACACCGGCTGGTTTTCTGCAGCTTCAGAAACCTGATCAGGAGACTCATCGGGCCCAGATTGTGCTCCTGACAAGCTGCCAACATCAGGCACAGTTGGTGTTTTAACAGGGATCATTGGTGTCTTAATTGGGATGGGCCCTCCTCCCACAGTTCCTCTTCGTACTGATGGTTTAGTTGACGGAGTCCGTCTGATAGTTGCTACTCCTGGCGTGACCATCACGGGGCCCGTGTTTGTGGGCAAGCCTGCAGTGGAAGCTGGGCGCTTCGCTTGAAACATCCTGCGATAGGATTGGCTCAGGTCGCTGTTTCGTGGAATGGTGGAGGACTTGTCAAACTCGGGCTGTTCAATGTCTTGGTCACCACTGACTGAGAAGTAATCATAATCTGAAACTAAATTACAACAACAAAAAAGGCTCTGTTGATTTTAGGAAACTTATCAGTTGTAACTGAACATGAATTAATTTAGCAAATATAATGGTACATCACCTAACAGGTAGGTATTCAAATTGGCAAATACCATATTAAAATCTGCTACAGTTCTAATACTAAATAAAAGAAACGCCACAGTGTACCCAGTGTCCAATCTCAGCCCTACAGACCAAGTCTAAGGTTTAGTATCTGGTTTGTGCTTTAGCTGACGTCAGCTGGGACTGCGAAGGGCCACAGTTGCACTCATTACCCCTCAGGTGGGGAAGATGGAGGGGGATGGTAAGGAGAAATCAAAAACTAAACACCCAGTGTTCAAACTCTTGATTGCTACCAGTGATATGCGTGGATATTTTGCGAGAACAACGTTGAACTGAGCAGCAATCCTCCCTTGGTAACACTCATTGTCAAGATTCACACATAAATGTTAATAGCTTTGGGCAAAATATACTTTAGGGCAACTAGCACATGTGTAAGCAATGACTGAACCTTTGTCCTTCTGGTGCGGGTGACTTGGTGCTGAACCACACACACAGAGCATTTACACACTTGACCATGAGAGGAATTTTACAAAGACATAGATCATGAGGTTCAGAGGAAGATAACATTTGGCTTATTTGAGCTCTTTCCAGAATTCCCAGTTTACTGACTTCCCATTTCAGCTGTGTTTCATTCTTTCTTCTTCCAGATCTTAGTGGATAAATATGTTTCTTTTGAACAAGGGGTGGGGATGGAGGGCAAAAGTGTTTTTATAAACCTCCAACAAACAGACATGGTCAGTTACCTTGAGAAGGAATGGTGTCCTCAGAACAACAAGGTGTGGTAGTCTGGGTGCTGTATCCACTGGAACACTGCAATGAATCTCTGCTACTTCTCTGAGTATCCAACTGAAGCCCTCGACTCAAGGCCAATGCCAATTCATCCCGAGCTTCCAGCTCTTCCACCTGTTAATAGACAAAATAAACCGCCACAGTTTTTGCTGATATTCTTCTGATCCAAAACATATCTAGAACCCAATTACCCGAGCATCTTCGGGCTCAGCTCTGGCTGAGCTGAGAAAAACTCAATTATTCTGAAATTTATAATTCTGCAAGGCCATTCCTCAAAGATTTACAAACTATACGAAAACCAAATGCATCAGGCACTGCATATCGGAAATCAGTTACACCACAGCATGAAAGTAAACAATGCTTTCAATAGTGGACTGCAGACACATAACTCAATTGTTAGCTTAAAAACATCGAGCAAGATACAGAATTGAATGAGATATAAACCGAGACGGATAGATACATGGGAAAGAAGGTTATTAATAGAAAACAAATGGCAGTGAAATGAAATTAGAAGTCAAAATCTATTAACATGGCAGAAAATGATGAATGACTTACCTCGGTTCCTATATGAACAATACCTGGCCCACAATCTACAGGAGATCCCTATTATAACACCTTTGTTATATCACTTTTACAAAACTGGGTTACGGACCTGACATTCGGCAATTTAACTACCAATATGACAATAGTTTGTCCAGCTTCAATATTCAGATTAGTATTGGGGACGGGGGTGGGAGAAAGATCCACATTTGGCTCACGTGATGTGAAAAATACCACATGGAATGCAAATTTAAGTGCCCTCCACCCTCCCCAATAACAACAAGATTACATTTATATAACGGCTTTCATGTCGGGAGGACGTCCCAAGGCGCTCCCAAACCCCCAGCTCGGGTCCAAATCCCTGACTGTCCAACGCTTTGGGACGTCCTTCCAACGTGAAAGGCGTTATACAAATGTAATTTGGTATCGTACTTTTATCACTCACTACAAGGGAGTTTCTCCGGTTGTTCTGGCCAACAATCCTCCAAATACAATTGGTCTGTCGCTCCATGATTTGTTGTGGATCAATGCTGTGCGCAAATTGGCTGCCACATTTGCCCAAAAAGTACACAGTCACACTACTTTAGAGTATATTTTGTGACGTGCTTTGAGACGTCTTGATGACATTAAATACGCTATATCAAATACAAGGATTATTATACATTTAATATCACTTTTAACCATTTAAAAGGAAGCTATCTGGAAGATTGAATATACCTCAACAATGAGCATCAAGTTTATTTCACTAACATTAAGGTTGCTCTAGCTTAATCTAGTACATGGAATACAGTCATTACCCTCGCTGGAGTTGTGGTGGTTATACTTCTAGGTCTCTGAGCCTCTTCCGATTGCACGCTCTGGATAGCCGTTGCTGCAGCCTTGGCATCAGCATCTCGTCTCTGCTCTGAGTCTTTACGCCTTTGCAAGGTATTGACCCCAGTCTGATCATAAGGACCTGGCCTTGCCCAGTCCTAATTGAAACACATCAAAGTATTTTAAAATCTCAGCTGACTTGTTTCCACAAGCAATAAAATACGGCAGTTTAACCACAGAATTCCCCTGATTCCTGATCTTCGCTGCTCAAGGTAAATTCCGAGTGCAAACCATTCACTTTCCCCCTGGACGTATATATGTGCATAAATAAAACACAAGAGAGAGAGTCACTCAAGGACCACAGTTACCTCTTTTGTTAGACTAAACTGTGCTTTGGCAGATCCATCAGGTTCCCTAACTGGCTTCATCAGCAAGGAATGATCCTAGCATAGTTGTGGTTTACAGGGAGAAAAGATGAAATAAATAAGGGAATAAACTAAATATTAACAACACACAATTAGAATAAAAAGCAAGTACAAAGAGAATGATCTTCACCAATTTCTTGTTTGGTATATGTTAGTGGGAACGCTTTCTCATCCAATCATGCTGTTTTCATTTTCACTCAAGAACAAAGATTATCTGGGCTTAACAATCAATGGCTCTGCAGTCAGGCCCCCACTTAATGCACTGGAGCTGGCCAATGTTGGGTGCAAGAGAGCAATTCTGAGACAATCCCGACATCCATTTGGTCCCTCCCCAAACAGACGCAGTTGACAGACATTGGATATTTGCAATGAGAGGGAGTGAACGTGCATTACATCACTTCAACGTTCCATTTGGTGTATGTGTTGCGCCGCTAGTAAAGACTAGTGTTGTTAACGAAAACATTTTTTTTGATGAAGATTGAAAATCAATCAAAGTTCAAAGGAATATTAGGGCTTTGCACTTGCAGGATTAAGGACCTAAACACCTCCAAGTACCAATGTCAAGCAGGACAGACTGGCCAAGCAATAACAATGTGTTGGATTGGATTAATGCAGATCTGAAAGGCTTCACCAGCCACATCATCCCCAGATGTCAGTTCAAATCCAAGCAGGCCCCTTCCCCTCCTTAGCCCGAGGATATTTTCAATTAGACACAATACTAATTTCTTCAAGCTTGAAAGGCAGAAGGGCTGAGCAAACCCTATGATGATTCAAACCAGAAACGTTTGAGCTAAGCTTCCTAAGATGCTCAAACTAAAAGAATGAAACAATAATCATGCAAAAAAAAGGCAATATTAAAACTCGTTTGCACTGTTCAGTGAGAACCTCAATTTAAATGGTTATTTATCCTTTATAATTGGGAAAAGCACCAAACAGACAATGATCAAAAGTCAGGTAGTTTGTGAATCGAGCTATTGCATTGAACTTTTTTCCCAATTTAATGTTAGGCAGCTGCCAACAGGTAGTTTTAGTTCAATCAAACAGCAGTACCATTCATCCTTTTCAACTCGCTTAATTCTGACAAACATCACAAAATTAATGCAAAATCAAGCAGTGATATATCTGCAAACCACATAGTTTGTGCAACAAATATATAAGTTTAAAAATGATTTGTTACACACCAACAATTATACTAACTCTGCAGAGATTTGGACCACTCTGGGCAGTTTGGTTCAGTGCATTACTATACACTGTAGTTACCCATTGAGTAAACTTACATGCAAACATACTGTAAATTCATTATATACTGAATAGTCTGCCTTTAAAGGTTTATTGTAATTTATTTGACATTTGTTGAGATTCTTTTAGACAAAAGAAGGCTTTTCTGTAATAAAATTTCAGATTAAAAACGTCACATATTTTCAAATACTGCTGAAAAATAATAAAAAAACACAAACCTTCCAGCTAGGAACCCTTGATGAAGGAAACATGCCAGGACCAATGGTATAATAATGAGGATAATCTGGGAGAACAGCTGAATTAGGTCTGGAATAGGGTCGGGAGGAGGACTGAAAATGTGGGAGAAAACGAGTACCAACTGAAGCAAGGAATGGTTCGCTAGATGAACTGAAGTGATCGAACCCATTGGTCAACTGCAAATCAAAAAGCAAAACAAAAACACAAATGGAGAAATTAATAAAATGATGATGATGGCGGTGAAGAATGTCACGGCAACAACTAGACAAAAAAAAGGTTTAGGAACAGTTATCTACTGAGCTGGAAAAGTCTTCACAACCTGCAATAAATGTGCAGTCTGAAGTCAAATGTACCAGATGCCGCGCTTCAATATTAGACATTTCCTTTATAAAGAAAGTTTGCATGCGTCTTATTAATCTGAAAGCAATGCTGTCACTCAAAGCTAAGTAACACCAACTTGCAGTCTTCCCTTCAATGCTAAGAATGAACCACGCAATACAAGAAAATGGGGACAACAACAAGAAGATTACATTTGTATAGCGCCTTTCACGTCGGGAGGAATGGGGACATTTCTGTAATTAATTTGATCGTAGTGTCAATGAATCTGTGTTATACCAAGTTCCCTTCAATTGCTTCTCCCATTATTTATTTCAAAGACTCACAGGAGGCAAAGCTGCAGTACCCTACAAGTATACAATTTTCATTCTTCCCCCAGCTAAACGCAGTCTGCCACCTTGAAGTCATTAATTATGTATTGTGCATTTTTATTAGAAGTTTTGGTTAAAGCAAGCAACTGTTTTTTTCCTTCCTGCCCAATTTTTCTGCTCCTCTCTTCAGAGCAGTAAATTGCCAAGGTGTCAGTTCCACAGAGACCAGCAATCCTCATCTCCCCTCCCCCCCATTCTTTAATATGTGAGCATTGAACAGCCCTCCCTCCCCATTACCAATGGGCCTCAGCAATCTTGCTTTCTCTCAACATTTCTGCACTACAGGTAGTTGATCAAGCTGGCTTCCAATATTGTTCCTTCTCCTTTTCTTCCTCTCCAGCAGAAAGTAGTGATTAGAATCCAGGTTTAACCCAGTGTCAATAAACTGAAGAGCCCAATAGGTTTACTCTTTCTCCCTGGGCTTTGCGACAACTGCTTTTGAGAATGAATGAAATCAGAACTTCACTGCTTAGCAAATTAACACATGAAACCACCGCAAAGGACAGCCTACTGCAGCATTCCACATCAATGGTTGGAGTTACAGCTCTGGACATAAAGCTGAGGTACCCTGACCAATGCAGAAAAGTGTCACCAAGCTATTTATTTGACCCTAATTTTTAGGAGGAGGCAAGGAGGCAAAAAAGAATATATACAAGGTATATCTGGTTGTCACTCAAAGCTCACATATCTGGAGTTTCCAGTACAGAACATTGATATTTTTATGATCAGAAACTGAATCAAACAGCAGAAAATGGCCCAGAAGCCCATCAATATAACTCCTGAAACAATTCATTCTCCCCTCCATTTGGAGTGGGAACTAAGGCTACCTCACGCCCCTCTTTCTTTTTCTCTGTAACCTAAGAGGTGCTGAGGCTAAGACACTGATTGCCACTCTGAGAGAAGCTAACTCCACATAGTTGAGTACCATATGATATATTCACCCACTAAACTCTGTATTTTCTCACTGAGCCTCTGGAGGAGCTGGCAGGCAATGTTCTTTCTGATCTTAACTTCAAAGGATTGCAGAATGCTCCGATTCCCAATTTTACATACGGGGGGGTGGGGGGAGATAGAAGAGAAGGGAGAAAAACAGTCCTTGAAAATCACAAGGTTACTTTAAAAACCCAAATACAGATTCAGTGAAGACGAACATTTGAAAAGTTGAAACTAGCTCGAGTAACAATAATCTGCATATATCCTGTGATCCAGGTTTTGAAGCTTCACAGGCAAGGAGACGGACAAGGCGAGCAAAATGATCACCTTTTCTGTTGATGCCCAGGCCCCCATGGTAGACCCTGAGCTTACTGAAGTGGGGGAACTGCACTCGCTCACTGACTGGCATGTCTCAGACGCTTCAGAAGAGGCAGAGCTCGATGAATTCTGCAGCACACCAATATTTTGTGGAAGGTTGTTTAGGGAGGGGGAAGGGGAGGAAGAAAAGAGAGAAAAGCAAAAAGCAGGAAGGAGGGGGGAAAGAAGAAGCACAGGATTAGGGCCATTATAACAACGTGCTTTAAAAAGCAGCTAACACCAACAAATCACTTCAAGGATAAAAAGGCAGGAAAGAACTGAACTGCGCTAATGCACAACATGGAATGGCTTGGGACACAACCAATGTAATATTCTGATGAGAAATCTGATTTAATGAAAGCAAAACAATGAATGCAGTGAGAGCCTGGTTAATGGGGGGAAAACAACAGCATATTTGTTAGTTATTAACCATCATTGATGCACTGATTAAACTTGGCATTCCTGCTTCTGCTTCCACCCAAGCCAGTGACAGCATAGAAAATGAATAAACATGTCTACGCTGTAAAGAAGATGCACAATAGAAGCTAAATGTGAGATTAAAGTTTATACTTCACAATTTTTTTTATTTAAATGAATAATCGGCTAATGCTGGAGTAAACCATTTAAGATTTTTTTCCCACACAGTACAATATTTGAAATACTTCCCCTGCATAGGTCGAAACATTTCTAATGTTATTCTAAATGAATTGCCATACAATTTTTTTCTGTCTCGTGAAGGCATTTGTTGTACCGAGGCATAGTTAAGTACGCACTGACATCCATTCCTCATTTGAATCTAGATTTGGGGCAGTGACTAGTAAACACAACTTTTTTTTATAAAAAAATGAAATTTCAAATACTATTTTCAAATACTGACAATGGGGACAACTACAAAATTAGCAAAATGTAATTTCAAACAAGACAATGATGTGCAGAACTGCTACTCCTGGATCCCTCAGATCTGCTTCAATCTTCATATTCAATCGTCGACCAAGATCTCTTTCCTCCAATCTCCACAATGTGACCAGTTGATGTCCCCATCAACCACCCAACTTCAAAACGTCATCAATACTTTCACCAATGAGACTAAATTACTCAAAAGCTCCCCGAGCCAACTTCCCAAGCTCAGTCCTTCATAACCTCCAACTCAAGGCTTTGCAACTCGTATCCCCTCCCACTCCAGGCTCCACATGCACTGTCCTCAACTGGCTCCCAGAACTCCATAGATCAACATCAAGATGCTTGTGCTGACTTTCAATTCCCTTCATGATCATGCGCCATTGTACCTCTGCAATCACTTCAAACCATACAAGACAAGTAAGGAACTCTCTCCCAAAATCCCTTTGCTTCGAGCCTTCTCACCCCAGTCTTAAAATCCTCTTAAAAACAGATCTCTACATTCGTCCCTTTGGTCAAAACCTTGAAACTCCCCTAATTCCCTCCCTTGATATGCTTTAAGACACTTATCTATATGAAACCTACTATACAAGTACAAATTACTGTTGCAGTTTTATGTTATCACTGTTCCTTTAGGAGGAAAGTTGTCAACTTTGAGAAATTATACATTCAAATTATCCAATTTGCCGAATTGTTTTAAATGATTACCAGCTAAACACTACATTTACTGTACTAAATTAAGCATGCAGCACCATACTCTTTTGTTTTAATCAATTTTCTATCGTACTACAAAAACATTTCACATCTTTCCCATTGATGAAACTGGTTTTCAAAACTGAAACAGTTTCCTCTTTCAAGTCAAATTCATCTGTATCTATCAACTCTCTTAAAAATCCAAGACTGTCCAATGTTTAATATTCCTGTGATTGGGGAAGCCCTTCCAGCATTTCTCTTGGTCAGGGAAGAAAGAAAATAATAATATAATAATAATCCTTGCATTTGATATAGCGCTTTTCACGTCGGGAGGACGTCCCAAAGCGCTTCACAGAACACACTGTAAAGTGAATTGACTGTATATTTGTGGGCGAACGCAGCAGCCAATTGCGCACAGCAATGTCCCACAAACAGTCGTAGATTGAAAATGACCAATTTATTATTGTTTTTGGTTTTGGAGGGATTATTATTAGGCTCTGTGTGGAGTAAAGAAACTTGCCCAAGGTTTCGCCCTCTGCCTGGAATTGAACTCAGGTCTCTCACTTGCAAAGCGAGTGCTCTAACCACTGAGCTACAGGACTCCAAGAAGAAAAAGCAAGTTCCTGGGCACTCAATGTTTAGCAAGCCAGCTATTTATATCATCCTTTACAGCATTCTTTTACAAAGCCGCTGGTAGCTTAAACCTAGAGTTGATCCTTCTTTACTTCTGGCTTCCCGTCTCTGAGCTGATCTCGCTCACCTGTCTCCACTTTAAATTGACACTAACTACCATGGTCATTGCCATTTCTGACTCGTTCCTTCCAAAATTTCAAAACTCGTACCTAATTTCCTTTACTCCTCCTTTTGGTGAAATCAAGGTTCGCGAAACCATCCTGTGACTAACTCATTCTTCTGTTGGACTTCAAGATGATAGAACTCCTTACTTTCTCAAGATTTCCTGTCTTCCAATAAACTAAGAACTTTTAAATCCCCAAGATTTACATCACCTAACCATTATTAGATTAAACACTTGCAATTCTCAGTGCGAAAAAGAGTCACGATAGTAATAATTCTAGTTTCAGCACACTAAAATAGTGACTTGACTGAGTGTGCAATTTCACATACCTGATTAGTTCCTTCTGGTGGCATCGGCGATGGAGATTTTGACTGGAACGCATCCTGAGATATGAAGCCCGAGTCGTGCGAGGATACACTGGAAAGCCTCACAGGAACCTGTTGGGGCTGGTTGGAGCTGCGATAGCGATAGTGTGAAGTAGGTGAGTGAGAGTGGGATCCACTGGATCTTGAGTCACTACTGTTAACGCTGTTCAGACTGCTAAGAGAGACAAAAGGGAGGACAGGAAGGGGAAGACCAAGTACAATTAACACTCAGGCTCTACATATTAAAAGCAACAGCCACTCACTGTCAAGCCACAAAAAAAATCACAAATAAAATTTAAAAGAATAGAATTGGTACAGAAAGAAAAAAGCAAGTTCCTGGGCATTCAATATTTAGCATGCCAGCTGTTTACTTCAGCCTTTACAGTATTCTTTTACAAAGCTGGTGGTAGCTTAAACTGGAAAAGTGTGTGCAATAAATTAACAGCAACGCACTTAGTAAACTTTTTTTCTTTCTTAGCAAAAGAAAAAAAGTGAATATGACAGTGAATACAAACACATCATGCCAACTACTATGCATTACAGGGAATGGGAGCTTTTCTTAACAATAACAGAACCAGACACAGAACAGGAAGGTGGACTATCACATTGGGAAACAGCTTTTCCTGGTATTAATTATATAAAGCACTTACTGGATTAACCCATGGATTAGTACAACAGCATTTCGGTACAAACAAATTGCAAGATTACCAAGTTTCTAAACGTTGTAGTTTTACAATTTACTCGTTTTACTATTTTATTACATTCAGCAATAGTCATTTGCAGAATAAAGGGTAGAAGACAAACAAACTGAGAATCTGAAAACTGGCATGAGACATTTAATTCTCAAAAGGTTCAATTGAAACCAACTGGAAAAATAAAGCTGACATGAACGAAATACTTTCTGTAACATGCGTACACAGGTATCTTTCCTTACTGAACCTCGCATCACTAAGTTTACCATAACACATGAATTTAAGGATGTAACTATACATCTTTGCTGCTACAGGTAGGTGACACCGAGAAACTTTCTACAGTAGACGCTACAGTAGAACATTGCCACAAGCTGCCCCCTTATAAGCCGGCCCCAATGGTTTTAGTGCATGGACCTAGAGTTTTAAAAAAAAATTCCATGAATAAGAACAAATATAAAATTTAAATCTGTAACTGTACAGTTAGCCCTCAAACTCAGCTAACTATGAAACTATTCCTCAATCTGTGCTATAGAAACAGTGTATGTTGAATGTGTGCACAGTGGGTTATATAGTTTGCACCTTCACATACCTGCAGACACTGGACTTCCTGGACATAGTGGTGCTGGGAGAAGATGGAGGAGTTTGGTATGTCCAGTTATAGTCAGAGCCTTTTAGATCAATGATTACCTAGAGTGAAAAATACAATTAATTACAAATAAAAACAATACATTGCAGGGTGAAATGGGCCAGGAATTGGGCAAATTACAACATATGTTTTTGGATTCATGTTCCTTGTCAGGATATAGATAATTTTAAAAAACTTTAATGCATCAAGTTGCAAAAAACAAAACAAGAAAAGCAGAATTATAAATAGTTACAGGAAAGTATTGAATCATCCAAGTCACTACTTATCAATGGAAACACCAAGCAGTACCGATAAGTTGCTTACGCTCGAGAGAAGATTTAAAAAGTTACATTGAGGATTGACTGACCTGCTCACTGGCTGAAGGCAGCTTGTGAGGATCCACAGTCAGATTAGTCAGGTCATCTGCAATGGTTTGGAGGTGGGTTACTTCTCCCAGCATCGACATTTCTTCTTCCTGAGGCAGGAATAGAAGTTTAATAAGAACAACCTGATATATAGAACAGCGCCCAGGTAGGGTCCCAGAGCACTCCACAGTGACTCCAAGCCAGGGGAAGGGGGAGGTGACCGTAAGCACGATCAAAAATATACCTCTTTAACAGTAGTGATCAAGAAGTGCTGTTTGTGCCAGTACTGAGCTGAGTGATTACTTGACCCTGACTTCTCGGATGGCTCTATGGATAAAGTGGAGTCCTGTAGCTCAGTGGTTAGAGCACTCGCTTTGCAAGCGAGAGACCTGAGTTCAATTCCAGGCAGAGGGCGAAACCTTGGGCAAGTTTCCTTACTCCACACAGAGCCTAATAATAATCCCTCCAAAACCCAAAACAATAATAAATTGGTCATTTTCAATCCATGACTGTTTGTGGGACATTGCTGTGCGCAATTGGCTGCCGCGTTCGCCCACAAATATACAGTCAATTCACTTTACAGTTGTTCTGTGAAGCGCTTTGGGACGTCTTCCCGACGTGAAAAGCGCTATATCAAATGCAAGGATTATTATTATTATTAAGTCACTATCCAATGTAGGACTGAGCCAGCAGGTCGCAGGTTCCATTGCTAGTCTGTGCTGATTCAGCAGGACCATTAATGAAGTGAGAAAAGCTCGGGTTCAGCTGCAATGCTCTCTCTTCGGTCAAACAATCTGCTGCTACTCGGTCTGTCTAGACTTGCTCATGAAAAAGAAGCCACTGCCAACGTGTGGAATTTTAGCCCAGTAAGAGCCAACACTTTAGAGGAGTCATCTCCCAACTAATCTGTTCGGGATTAACTTCAACCACTTGTCACAGTTTGGGTTGATGTGATAACTGCAAGTCGTCACTTTTATTTCCAGTCAATTTATCAGTAAAACTTGACAGAAATCTGTATGCTTGTAAACTTGTAACCGTGCCCTGAAGAAGGCAATACTTTTTGGTTCCATGGCAACATGCACCAACAATTACTTTTTCTGAGACGACATTACTTGGCAACATCTAAGATGTACCTACAACAACATCCTCTCGGCAATCTGAATTTCCAGCTAAATAAAAAGATTTTTTTAAAATTAAAAGTCCACCATTTCTGGCCTCTGTGGGACCATTTACCCTAGCCTGTTAAGTGTAATTTAATAAACTTACAACAACAGGTCGCAGCATGGACACAAAACTACAGAAGCGACTGCGTTCTTCAATGAGAGCCCTACGGACGGCTTGCTTTTCAGTTTCTTCCAGCAGAAGGTACTTATCATTGACATCTTGTAAAGCACTGTCCAACTGAGGCTGAATATCCCCCTTTCCTGAAAACAGAAGAAGAATTATGCATTTCAAATAAAAATAATCATTCTGCAGTTTTTTTTTAAATAGAAAAAAATCCTTCCCCTACCCCCTCAAAAAAGACGAATTATTTCCAATAATCTACAGGAAAAAATAATGAATGTAAGACTTTTAAAGGAATTAGTTTCTCATGTGATACTTAGCTTAATGGACTACTGGTATTCATGACCATTCTCCAGGGCAGGTTTGTCATACATTTAGCTTATGGTTAGCAACCTTCACCATCATCAATGCCCAAAGAGGCAGAAGCTTCTTTTTAGTTATTCTTGAAGTAAACTAAAAGAAACTTGACTTTGCCACAAACCTTGTTTTGCCTGTAATTTTTCAGTCCAAATATTTCTAAATAAATCTTGCAGAAGGGGTTTGTAGATGTCAAAAAAGGTGAATATAAATAAGCACTCATATCTACTCGGAGTTCACAACCATTATTATCAGACTCATCATATTCCCTCATCATATTACTTCTGATAACTATATTATGGTTGAGTGTTCATTTTAAAAAGGGGCAGATTACCTGTGTTTTTTTTAAAAAGTACCTCACCAACAAAGTTGTAAGATAAATTCTTTCCTTTGGAGTTTTCAGTTACCAAAGTCTCATAAAAAAAAATTTCAACAAAAAGCAGTCAAATTTAGACTACAAGAAGTTACATAAAAAGCATGAAATTCAGATGCTCCATTTATGAATGTATAATGGCGTAGTCAATTTTTCTAAACTTCAAAAAGTTTCAGAGTCAATTATCGCTCATATTGGAGAGCAACATCTGCTGGAACAGCTGGTAGTAATATTTGATGGCTACATTTTGTCATCATTTTGCAAACTCAATTTGTTTCTATATTATATAGTCACATGTTCATACCTCATCATTCCCTTCAAAATTCAAATAGAATCGCAATGTCTAAATAGATTTCTCTAATTTTACCCAGTTAACAATTATTAACATATAAACCCTGTGCCGCAAATATGTAGTTTTTCACTGGACATTGAAGCAACTGATGACTAAAAATGCAATCGAAATAGCTCTTTGCTTCATAACTAGAGCATATCAGGAAAAACTAAACACTGCTATTTCTGTCAACGTGCAAACCAGAAAAGGGGAAAAACATCTTAACCCCTTACATTCAAAAGGTCCGACAACACATTCAACAAAAAAAAAACTCTGTGACATGAACAAGCAGATTTCTTATATCTATCTTAAGAAACAAAACACATTCCATTCAGGCTTTATCGCTTTTAAAAATACAACCTTGAACTCCCTTCCATACCCCAGAGACTCACAAAACACCAAAAGCACACTAAATTGGTTGCAAGGAAACGCATAGTGAGACACTGAAACAAAACGTCATTGACATGCTTTGATTGGGGTTGCTAAAATATGGTGCTCCTAATACTTAAATCACCAGGAATTCTTTGGTGCACAAACCACTCACAGAACAATGAAGTAATGCGGCAGGAACAAGAAACCACAAACAAGGCTACTACATAGAGGGAACGATGTCAACTGCAGATATGGAGTTGTTTCAGCTCCCTTTGCCTCCTGGAACTAACATAAGTAGATATGGGCTCAAAGGGATCCTGGTTGACTAAATCAAAACAGTAAAGGTCTGTACCAGAGAGTAAGCATGTGATGAAGATCAATTGCTGTTGAATTAATGGAGCTAAGTGGGTATTAGTCCTGTTGTGTACATTTCATTGCAAAGTGGAATTGGATCGTCATTTAAAGAGGATAAGAGATTTTATTCATTGTCATGTTCTCACAGCAACTGAGAAGTTTAGTGCTATATGAGAACTTCATGAAAATCAAACATTCCTTCTAATTCCACGCATAATAAACTTTATTGTTTTAAATGGTCTTAAATGTTATCTCTTCGTTTGTAAATTTTGTTTTAAAAAAGCATTTACAAGAAATAATTATCAGGGGAAGAAGTGCAATATCAGGTTGTGTCTCACCTCCGCTAATAAATCGTTAAATATTTTGGGAAGATCATTAGAAGCTGCAAATTAGATTCCAATGTCGTTGTTTCTTTACTCGTCATTACAGCAAAATATTTGATATTTGGGGATTTATTTTTCTCTTGAGTTACATTTTTACTGTACTGCTATACTTTTCTGCAAATGTAAAAGATGTTTAACATGATGGATAGTAAATATAATCCATGCCACAGATTTTGCTGGCAGCATAGTAAAATCTGTCAAAAATATGCAGTTTGCTGTTCACGCCATAAAATCTAAAACTCTATCCCTTTGGGTTACTTCCACATACGCACTGCACTGTAAACTCAACCCACATTTCCCTTCTGTCCAAGTCTGAAGGATTACTCCAAACCCACATGAGGCAGTCACCTCAATGAATATTTTGTATTTCATGGAGATGACATTGGAACTTGCAATTGAATCTGCACTTTGCACACGTAGGAAGCATCAACAGTGGCAAATACCAGAACCTTTATGCAATCCTCATATTGATTTAATTCCTATTCAAAAATTACGTTGAATCCATCTTAATTACTTCCTTAAATTGAAGTGCATGATGAGAAGCCACAGGATACTAGTTCACACTTAACCCTACTTGGAAATTAAGGCTAGATCAATGCACTTATTTGAAATAAAACTATATCCCTTAGTCTTGTTTATTTTTCATTTCATTTTATATTAAAAAAATAAACTTCACTGGGGAACTAAACCATAGAAATGTGGAGAATAAGACTTCCCACAACCTGAACAGTCCCTACAATTAACATACATAAAGACTCCACGTTTTAAATGAGTAAAATCTTTCCCCACATTCCTCATACATTTCAGCTGGCAGGAAATAGTGGAGGATACCCAACGGTAAAAGACTGATAATGATCTTTCCAAAAAACAATTAATGTCAGTAAGTGCAATTCCTTTTGTACTGCACACTTTCAGAGATGGAATGAATTTGTGCTCAATAGTGAACAACAGAGGGACTTCACATGAATTAAAACCAATTGTAACCTCGTTCTGCATTAGGTTTAGATTACCGTTATGTTAGGCTTGAGATATTACTAAGCGTTCCTCCAATTTCACCCAATGTATTCACAAAAAAACAAGAGGAAGCAAACATACATTTTAAGGCAACCAAGAACTTGGAACTGGCTACAGATTACACGGATTGGCAATTTCATTTACGTGTTTACATTACAGAACCATTTAAACTAAAATAATCAGAAAAATGTCCTTGGCTGCCAATTGTTTAGAATGCATCCATTTGCATCATGGAGCAGTTTCCACACCATCGTTGGTGACAGACATGCTCATGGCTTGGAATTTGCGACACACTCTGGCTTCTGAACCTTCCTTGATCTCTGGGGAAAGTCTGTAAAGGCCAGCAATGCAAAATACACCAATCATCCAATTCAAAGGATCACTGAGCTTGAGCTTTTTTTTGAGGGAGGGAATGGGGGAAGAAAGAAGAGGCAAAGGGAAGAAACAGACTGGCAGTTAGTGGTGACGACTATTCATACACATCTAGCCCACAAAATAGGTTCAATCACCAGCGAGCAGGGTAGAGTGTAGCTCAACTTACCAAAAACATCAGCTAGCAGGAAGAAGATATGGCACAGCAAAATTTGATACAAAGAGGGAAAGAAAATAAGTCAAACTAATCTTCAAGGTGTCGTGCACAAACACATGCACGCACGCACACTCTCACACACACCTATGATTTTTTCCAAAATTGTACATGCATACACAAACCCACACTTTGTTTCAACAAAACAAGGTAAAATGAACCCGATCTACATATTTGCACTTGGTTACAATTTTCCCACCAGGTTAAAAATTACTTGCATAAAAATATTTGCAATATTACTGGGCCATTAACTGTAAACCATCTTATTAAGAACGTCAATCATATGATCACATTTTGGCACCGATGAGCCCACTCACTGAAGTTCTGCAAGTGTGTCATAAAGAGGCTAAACAATTGGATGATGCATAATTTTAAATAGTGGGCGAGAGTGTAGGAGAATTAATATGTAGAGATTTTTCAATAAGAAGTGAAAGATGATGGGTGATCATGACATTTAACTCTCATAACTATTTATAGAAAGCTTCAGTTGCTACTAAACTATATTGTCCGCCTATTTTAAATCAGCAAAGCAATTTGGTTTCAAGGAGACATTGAGAAGCTTATCTGAAGTTCCAGAATTACAGTATTATGTAAAAGTACTGATTAAATGAAGCTAATAATTGACTTTACTTTGTCTACACCTCTGTAGTAGCTGATCTGTTCATTTATAATATTTAATAACTTCTGGAAGGCAGCAATGCATTGCAATAGTCTATATACAATTGACAGAAATGAATCTGAATAAAATGTTTTAATAGCCTTCTTGTAGAAGGAAGGATGCAGTCAGCTTACTCATTTCTCACTACTTTCACAAAGACTTAATTCACGAAGATCAACATTTTGCACACTTTACAAATAAAGGCTAACACAAGGTTACATTTTCTTTAACCTTATACCAATACTTAGAAAACTGCAACAATTAGTTTAAAAAAATGCCTGTGTTTTCCTAAATAGATTGGGAAGTACAGTATAAACATGTAGAAATGAAAGGCAAGACACATCAGATCACAATTTCTCCCTATTTTAAGTAGTACATCAATCATACACCAACCTGGAAGAATGTATATAAAAATGATGCTCATTAATGTTCTCCATTTATCCACCAGACCACAATATAGCTTTATGTTATTGTGCCACGCAGAGACATAGATAAACCTGCCATCAACTTATTTTCCATATTGTGTCTTAGCCTAGTCTCTGTTCTCCAGAAATAGTGCTGCTCCCACATTAAGAAGCTCAGGAAGCCATCCAGGGGTCTCTCCTCCTCCCTCATTCTGAACACAATCTACTCTTTACAATGACAGACTGGCAGATCTTGGTGGTACATGGCAGCCCAGTCAGGGACTCAGATTGATGAGCAAAACAGGAATCAAGCAAATGGCTTTAGCCCAATTTGTAACAAAAGGTGTACGAAAATATGCATCGGAAATTGACTTTTTTTAAAAAAAAGCAACTGTTTTAAATAAAGCACTACATGATGAGTCAAGCAGTTCAAATTTATCAACAACATTGCAAACCTAGAAAACTGCTGACTGCTTACATGTAAGAATGCCCTTCCATTTTGACCCTCATCGTTAAAAAGCTAATGAAATCAATTTCTTAATAAAACTATTGCTCACAGACAAAGCATGTTGCTGACTAAGTTGCTGGAGAGTTTATTCACAATTTCCCTGCATAATATGCTCGTGATCTTCCCCTATTCCATTCTGATAAAAGGCTGAATAAAATTGAGGCTGGAGGCTTGAAATTTCAATTTCCCTGCAACAAAAAGACTTGCTGTCCAAGCACCTGTTATTCAAATAATCTTTGGTATATAGCTCAAGAACAGCATTGGAACAATCCTGGTTAAAGCAACTAACGACATTCTGTCCATCTGCTACCAGGGGTCTCTCTGCCTCCTTGATCTCTCTGCTGCCACCACCTCTCTTCTCAGCTCCACCTTCATGAACCTGCCCTTGCCTGGTTCAAATACTACCTCTCCCACCATCTCCACCAACGGCTTCTCCTTCAGCCCCCGCACCGTCAACTGTGGCGTCCTCAGGGCTCTGTCCTTGGTCCTCTCCTTTTCAACATGTACATGCTCCCTCTTGGTGGCATCATCCGCAGACATGGGGTCAACTTCCACATGTATGTAGATGACACCCAACTCTCTCTCTGCCTCCACCCTTGACTCCAGGACCACTGCTATCCTCACAGACTACTGTCAGACATGGTCCTGGATGGGGGTTAACCTTCTTCAGTTGAATGTCAACAAGACCGAGGCTCTCCTGATTGGCTGCAGTCAGCTCCTCAATTACCTCGGGCGCTGACAGCATCACCGTTCATGGATGCACTCTGCACCTCATGAGCCACTTGGACTAACAGCTGTTTGGCGTGACTTAAAGGTTGAAAAAAATAAGGGGAAGATAGAAAATGGGATCTACAAAGAGAAGTAAGAAAGAGAAGAGACTAGCAATTCCATTTTCATTGAGAGTGCTGAGATCCATTGAAACATCAGAAAAAATATGTGGGTTTGAAGTCCTGATCTCAAGTATTCTGAACAAAGGTGCCACCTTTGGAAAGTCTTCCGCTGGCTTCTGTTGTGTGATCCTGGAGACCTGGTTCATAATTGTGTAAGTGGAACGAGGGATTACCTAAGCCCAAATACTGTAAGGAAACAAAGGGATGGGAGAGACAAATAACTGAATAAAAAGAGAACAGTGAACCAATTACACTCTGTTTTATTTCCAGTATTACATAATGCTCGTTTTGTCTTCTTCATTTCAGATCTGTTCATTCATTTGTAGTTATACTACATACTGGACTAAGAAGGCAGGCAAATAACCTACTCTCTTTTCTCTGTCACTGTCATAGAAATAGCACTAATAATCGTTGCGTTTGATATAGCAGCTTATTAGGTCTTTGAGACGTCTCAAAGCGCTTCACAGGATATACTGTAAAGTATAGTGACTGTATGTTTTGTTGGCGAAATGTTGACTGAGGTTGGTCTAAGTCATGGCAGCAGTTCCAGAGGAATGTCTGCTGGTGAAGCAGGATTAAACAACTAGTTCCACGTAGTGTAGACGCCAACCTGCAGCAAATGAAAGTATAAGATTTAAAACTTACACAGTCTTTGAGAAAAAGTCTGAAGCCACAGTTCTGACATCCAGCCAGATGAAACCAGATTGATTAATCATAAACGCCTGCAAATCACTAACTTGTAGCTAAAATTAAAAGTCACCACAGAGTGGTTTTCCAAGTTTGAAACTTCAAATTACAATAAACTAGTGATTTGAGGAGCAGGTCCTTAGATGTGGGCATCCATGATGAGCTCTCGAATATTGGTTGCTTGAAGCTAGGCTATAAATCTTCCCAACTGATTATGGGAGTTTTCCTAAACGAAGTCTCCTTCAGAAGACAGCCGACCCAAAGGTTCAGTAAATTGATGACCCCACTCAGCATGGAATTGAACAATAAAGAACGTACGGTCTGAGGTGATCTGGAGGTAGAGGAACTCAGCAACCAAGACTCCAGTAGAGCTCTACTTTCCAAGTCTCCTGCTCAATATGGCTACTGCTGGAAAGTGCACATTTGTAGATATAATCAATATCTGGCTTAATTGCCACATTTTCCCTCAGTCAAATAGCTTCCAAAGTTCAGCTTTTATTTGAAAAAGGAACAGCAAGAGGAATGACAACAAGTTCAAGGGCAGAACTGGCAGCTCTTTGCATTACTTAGCAAAAAACATAGGCTTCTTGCATTAGGACTGTGGAATCAGATAAGGAAGCATCCGACAAACCAAGATATGAATTCCATCATCTTAAAAACTGGGCAGGTGGCAGCTACCATGTGCCGTAATGACCTTTTACCAAATCCAGCTAAACCAAAGCTTCATTTTCATGCATTCATTATCCTTATTTATTGTTTCTACCCAATTTCCTTATGTAACACAGCTCTTATGATTCTAATTTGCTCTATTCTGGTGATGCATATGGTTCTATTCCCACATTCGGGTCATTAATATATTAAGAAAGCAAGGAAAATGTAGTTCCTTTCTTAATAATGTGTGAAGGACAGCCTCGATGGTGCAATGGATGGAACTGCAGCTTACAGACCAATTACTTGCTTGTTCGGATCCTGGTCCATGCTGAGCTCACTGGTCTCAGCCGGGGTTGGAATGGGAGACTAAATTAGTCCTGGTCTTCTCAGGATTGGAGAGGGGAAAACCAGCCAGCATTTCCGTCCTGGTCCTTCTACAGCACCTTTTACTGGCTGTGCACATGTATGGTGGGGAGAAGTCAGGCTCGGCTGCGATACTCATTGTAGTCGAGTTTCCTGACGACACTCAGTGCAAAGGCTTACATATGAATAATGGCCACTTGGGCAGGAGGGAAACCAGTATTCGTGGAACCATATCCCAGCAAGATGGAGGGAGCGGGTGGCGGAGTAGGGGGTAAGCTGATCAGATAGGTAGCGAGGTGCGAGGGCATGAAGGGATTTGAAAATGAGTGAGAGGATCTTGAAATTGATCTGTTTGGTAACCGGGAGCCAATGGAGCCTGGCAAGGGCTGGTGTGATGGGGGTACGGAGTTTTGTGCGGGTGAGTATCTGGGCAGCAGAGTTGTGGATTAATGGAATTTTGTGTAAGGTGGAGCTGGGAAGACAACAACAACAACAAAATTACATTTGTGTAGCGCCTTTCACATTGGGAGAACGTTCCAGGGAGCTGGACAGTCAGTGTTTTAGACCCGAGCTGGGGGGCGGGATCGGGGATGGTTGAGGGCAGGGGGGGAAGGAGGGTGATCAAAAGCACGGTCGAAGAGGAGGGTGTTGAGATGGATCTTGAAGGAGGCAAGGGAGGGGGTGAGCCGGAGGAACTGCGGGATGGAGTTCCAGAGAGTGGGGGCAGAGTGGCAGAAGACCAGCGAGGAGGGCATTGGAATAGTTCAGCCCGGAAGTGACGAAGATGTGGAAGAGGGTTTTGGCTTTGTTGGTTATGAGGTATGGATGGAGGGGGGCAATGTGACGGCAGACAAAACATAAATCAGAGTGAATTTAACTTATACACCACCAACCACGAAAAGATGTGCTATTCTTATTGCATTTATTTTATTGGAGTCTTGTCGATTTATAACAGATTTTAAAGTTTAGAATTAAATAATTACCAAAAAGAAACAAATCAACTCTACTGAAAACACATTTATTAAGTTGTCCGAGTAAAGGTCTGAGATTTATGAACTGGATAGGTTTCTGGTTGGTGCTATTAAAAGTTGCACAAAGCTACTTCATCATTCTCAAATCTAGGCTTCACTATCAATGGATCGCTGAAAGCTAAACTTGTTACAATTTTTCTTAATTTCCTAGTAAACTGACAGAAAGCCTAATTAACAACTGTAGTTTTCCTCCAGCAAGGGAGGACTCGGTAATACTCAACGTTCATTGGGCTTGGATAAAGTTAATAGGAATTCTGAATCACATCACCAGAAATGATGCAGCAGCAAACTACCCACAGATGTGCATGTGTCAATGAATGAGGTTTCTGACGGTACTCTAACTCAGGACAAGTGGAGATCTACAGTGTTGAAGAGTATTGCTACGTTTGGAATGGAGGGCCTTATTTAGACGTGCCCTACCCGAATGCCACAGTTAATGGCTTGACACACTAATCACCCCTCAGCTAAGTACATACACTAAATGTATGAATCTATTGCTGTTTTCCCATGGAACGTGATGATTATTACAACTAATTGTCAGCAGGAAAAAAACTTAACTTGTGCAAAAATATTCACATCTCCCCCACTCTACCCTATTATGAAAGTGAGCTGCTGGAAAGCCTTTCTAGTTTTCCACCCGAGCTGTTATGTTTTGCTCTGCGGCTTCATAATGCCGTCTTTAAATCCTGTCTAAAAACCTAGCTGTTCATCCGAGACTACAAGTTACCTTCCCACCCCCGCTTGATGTCCGACAGGATCTCTGTAAAGCGTTCCAAAATGTTAGCATACGTGAACAGCATTTTTTAGATGCAAGCTGCAATGTATATTTAAAATTCCACCTGAATCCTGACATTCTCAAATCTCGACTAACCCAAGCTTCAGTCAAGGCTACATTCCAAAGCTGCTGTTCCTCTATAAATTGAGTTTGGCCAGGTTTAGGGCACAGGTTATCATAAACACAAAATTTGTAATGAAATCATTTGAGCCCTCACTCACAAGGAGGACAAATCTGCAGAGGTTGTGGCTTTGCATTGAATTAAACCCTGGTTTAAATAGAAACTATTTCAGCAGTTTGTATAATGTGCTGAACAAGTAAAGCTGCACCATGGTATGGGCACCTCTTTCTCCTAATGCTAAACTCTACAACTATCTCAATTTATTTATAGGGTATTGCAGATTTAGGTTGTTTTAGACACGCCGACTAGAACTTAAATGCATTTTCTGCATGCACCTGAAGTAGTCCCCTCATATCGTTCATACAACAGTGTAGGTCCAATGGAAACTGGGATAGTCTAAATATACCAGTCTAAAAATATAGTACAATATATTAAAAACATTAAAATTAGCCAAGATGTGGGGCAGCTAACATTGATACAAATATTATTCTAGAGCATTAGTATCTGGTGTAGATCTCAATGGTGCTCACTTCAGAAATCAGTACAGAATGTGACAACGGCAGCAACCTCAAAATCCGAAACCAGACATTTTAGCACAAACATACACAGGTAGCGAGTAAGTGAATGGAACCACAATGTACCTGGTGTATAAAACAACTATTCCTCTAAGATCTCCACATTTGGTAAAATGAATGCAAAATAGGTTAACTTCAAAAGTATTTTAAGAAAGGGTATGAAGCCAAAGAGGAATATTGTTCATAAATATTTATGAAAGGCTCCAAAGAATTTTAAAAAGGGAATGAGAATTTGGGGGGAGGGGGTTGTCACCTTTGTAAGATTAAAATAATATGATTTATGCAATACTGTGACATGGCAGGTGGATCCATGCTACAAATGCCTGAACATCTTCAGTCTGCAAATATTGTCTTTCAGCAAAACAATAGCATTACTAGTGGTGCCTGACCCCCTGAAAAGGTACCTTGTGGTGCAACCTGATTCTGCAGCAAGGAACACCTATTCACATCATGATACTCTGACCATCAATTTGCAATGATCCAAATTTCCCCAAAAAGGACCAGCTAACATCAGTTTTAAATGAATGATCATTGCAAACTACGTGTAAAGTGGATGGTCAGCATAGTAGCCTCTTCACTGAGATTATTGACGTGAAAGGCGCTATACAAATGTAATAATAATAATAATAGTAATCTTTTGTTGTTGTATTGCCTACTTTTTGCATCACTGTGAGCAGACATCCTTTGTTTACAAATGCCATTTGATTGATTTTCCTTGCACGGATTTAAAACAGCTATATTTAAAACAATGTATAGGAATAACCTAGTCATTATTCACTTAATATTTTGGGCTTATTTAGTCAGTAGTTTACTCTGACTAACTAACAGCAATGCCATCAAAATGGAACAATATCTGAAGCAGAAAATTAAATAATCATTATAAAATTAGTTCTATTGGTAAATTATCTTTACAAAACTGAAATCCTGTAAATGTACAATATACGTTTTTACAGAGAATTAATACAAAACTGAAATTATTTACTCTTCATGTAGCAACTATTTCTAATGTTGGTGCATTTTATAATCATTGAAAGATTTTACCCTAAGAACCAGTTACTGCACGATGAACGATTTTGAGTAACATGGCAACCCTGGGATCATTTTTACCAGGAAACCGGTCTACAATGACAATCAGCAGGCAGGTGAAATTCCTGTTAAACCAGGAGATTAACTTCAAATGTAATGGGTTTCGACATGTGTCAGACACTCGGCTGACCAAAAAATATACATCAATGTAAAAAGTCACACATTAACTCTCATGTGTAAAGTGTCACGGCCAAAATGTTAATCCATCGTTCTCCTTTAGATCTGCAGTTTTACTGTTTTATCTCTGGACTTTCAGTTTATTACCCTGCTTGTTATTCCCACTTTTTCGGGACAGTATTTGGGGGCTAGAACTTGTCAAAGCTCCAAATCTACTGTGTTGTCCTTCATTGGAGGCTTTTCCCTGGTTCACAGGATTCAAGCAAGAAACAGCATGGACTGTGTACTGTTCACTGGACTGACAATAACTGCATTGATTTTGGAAGGCCTTAAATAGGACATATTGCCAATGACCAGCACAAAGGACAAATTTTAGTCTGTGCAAAATGGGCGGAAGGATTTCTATTTCAAAAAACAAAGATCAATTCAGTACAACAAATTCAAATACTGACTGTCCTTTTTGTGGTTACAACAATGAACTGCTAGGTTACATAGTAACCACAAATGCAATGAAGTCAAAAAGAACTTCTGTAATCCTTGAGTCAATAGTTTATATTTACAGCCTCAAAACTTTCAGTCAATAATGTATTGTCTGCTTGAACACACTTTTGCTGTGTAGAGACTAAATTCAACTTGATACCATTGGATCAGAACAATTACATAGAAGATTAAGTACAACTGCAGATAACCATGTAAATCTGGTGGCAAAGTGTGTTATGCTATGAATAAATCAGAGAAAATAATCAAATGTCCATTTTAAAATAACGTACCTTTCCTCGCCTTCTTTTGAAGTTTCAATGTGTCAGACGATTTCTTTTTGATTTCTTGTCGAGCTTTCTTATATTCTTTAAAGCAAGAGCAGAAGACTCTCTGGTCAAGTTCTTTATTGACTAATGTTTTCACGTTACATCCTGCATTATAGTACAAGTGGCTTGAAAAGATAAGCTATGCCCTCAGTGCATATTATTATATAATGAGTTTAAAAAGTAGCTTTATTTTGTAACTTGGTATAATTGGTGGTACAGTTGCTATCAATCTATCCAACATGCAAGTATCTGAATACATTAAATTTGAAGCAACAATACTGGAACCTCAGCAAAACAGCTATTTTGCATGCAAATTGGTTAAACAGGCTACAGCTAAACAATGCATTGGCTATCTACATAGATGTTCGCATTTTTCCAGGCAGCAGATGGTACAGAGGGACTTCCTATCAAGTTCCCCACTTCAGTTGGCTTGGAGATAGGAATGGCTTGTAAAGGGGTCTAATTTTATTTAAATGTTGAAAATACAACTCTCAAGTTTGAGACAACGAATGTGTATTGTTTGGAAATGGGAAGGGAAAGAAGAGAATCGCAGCTTTTTTAAGACACAATTTGAAGATATGCATTAGCAAACATTTGAAAGAATTAACCCTTTATTGGGAGTACCTTTTGCATGGTCCTTGTCTAATTGGTTTGCCACTTTTTTCCATTCTTCCATTTGATCCTGAAGAGGATTTATCAGGCAATCAATCAAAGCGCTGAGTTAATAATAAGAAAAAAAAGTTAAAATTGAAATAAACATATCATTTTATTTTTAAAACACAAGCAAACAATTCTGCATATTGCTAGAGCGTTAAAACTTAAGCCATTTAATGCAAAAGCAAAAAGCATGGAGCTCCAATAGTTAATTAATATAAATTAATTTTCACCTAAGCTGGTGTAGATGGCCTTTTTAAAACAATGCATTACATTTAACTGGAGTGGAGAGTCAAATTACTTTCAAAACATTGAACATGCATATATGCACAAATCTATCTTGTTAAGATGCAGGAAAATGCATTAAAAATACAAATCCACAGAACTAAAAAGCTACCCATAAAACATGAGTGACCCAATTGAGTACTCAACCAGAACGTCAATATCAAAATTCAATGTCATTCAGCAGATTGGCAAGAAAACCATGGGAAAAATGAACTGTGACAGCTGAATTAAGCTGGTGAGTGCCCCAGGATGCAAAGTGTACGCAACTTCCAAATATTCACTAGAAAAACATTACTGCCAACTGCTTTCTGACTCAGCCAGATATTCTTATCCTTCTTAAAAAAAAGGGCTAGTTTGGAATGCTTAAATGAAAACTGACATTATCCATTAAAAGAGCAACTTACGCTGAAAACTGACGAAGTTTTGTTTCTATACTTCTGTGTCTCATACACATTCTGGTCAACGCTGAACCAATTTCTCTTGTCGCACCTATGAAGGAGGGGGAAAAAGGAAAAATAATTCAGTCAAATTTCTAGTTACCTTTTAATACAAATTCAAAGATGGACCAGCTACAGTCTGCCAGTGCCCAAGGAACCACATCCAATGCAAATACAAGCATTTATTATTAATTCAGGAGAGGAATGGTAAATTGGCAGGGATATAAGCATCTTTGTTCCACCATTGTCCATAGTGGAATTGCCCATACTTTGCCCGTTCCAGAAAGAACATTTAGAACATAAAAATGTGTGTGTTGGGAGGTATTTACAAAACAACCCAATAGTACCATATAAAATAATTGACAATTATAAGTTATTTCCTGGTCATTGTAAATGTATCCAATTGCTCTGGGTGGGAACAAAATGTATTTATACTTTTGATTTATATTTATAGTGAAAAACAAATGGTGACATGTGTAGAAAAAGTAGCTTCCAAGTTGTACAGAATTGCCATGACCAGTCAACCTGTAATGTTTTAAGGGCATTTATCTGTACTCTGTATCCGGTAGGCAGCACATGTACCAAATAATACTTGGGTTATGTTTTCATGCTGACCTAGTAGATGAAGGCTAGAGTTAACACTAAGGCATCTAAACCAGAAGGTTCCAGGTTTGTCTCCTCATCTTTATTACACTCGTGAATCAGTCTGGGTAGCAGATGAGGTGCTAGAAGTTGTCTAAGCTCCCGAGCTAGGGAGCATCAAGCAAAACAAAACCGGTCATCTGGGGTTCCTGTTTACAATCACTATCCAGTGAATAATGTAGGAAAAGTGTTGGACAGAAAAGGTCAGACTTCACCGTGTCCAACTGTACTTGAATAGCAACCTGCTAACACTCACCAACTAGGCTCAGATATTAAGAATGACCATTTGAGAACCTTTACGGAACCTTTAGTACAGTACATCATTCACTCTGGGATAAAACTACCATAGATGAAAGTACAGTGCATTAACCCAGCATAATCCACCCATAACATACAGAATATTACACTAATTTATTTTCACACCAACATCAAAAAGATAAGTTTCTGTTAAAAAAAATGTAAGCAAATTTCTTCAGGAAGCTCCACTCGCTACTTCCTTTGCAAAACACAAATTACAAAACTGACAGTCAGACTCAAGAGGCAAACTGGAGAACATCAACCATCACTGAAGTTGAACCTATGATCAGCCTTTACAGTATTGCTTCCACTGTAATATTACACATTTGTTTCACATCAATGTTTTTCTCATTGTGTTGGAAGATACACAATATTGACTTTTAGCCTGCCAACTCAAATAGCTTTGGACTTTAAAATCCAAGACGCCAAAATGCAAATACTCTCCTCCCAAAACTGCTGACCTTGCAAGAAAATTATTAATTATATACCGTCAGGTTGAGATAAGAGTCATATCTCAGTTATCATCTTGCATCAAATAGCGCAGAGAGTTATTTGCTGTAATAATATTATAATAATCTTTGCATTTGATATAGTGCCTCATCACGTCTTCGAGATGTCTCAAAGTGCTTCACAGAATATACTTTAAAGTGAATTGACTGTAAATTTTGTGGAAACATACACGTTTCCTGACATATAGATACAAGAAACTTTAATTTTGAAAATCCTGAACATCCTAAAGATGGCACTAAACACTGATACTGAAGTCAAATCCACGTCAACATTTTTCAGTCAATGGCCTTTGCCATCTGTAATTTTAATTCTACCTTACAATAGCATTAGATGGAATATAACGCACTTGCAACTTGTACACAGAAGATCAAATGAAACACATAGTGATGACCCCCACCTCGCCACCCCAGCTATTTCATTCTTTATAAGACACACACTTATTCCAGCCTGCCTCAACATTCATTTCTCTCCCATTTAGTAATGCAAGCAATAATTTTGCCAAAACTGGGTCAAATTTCTAAAAACACAAATTATCTGCCAAGACCTGGAAAAAATAAAGTCTGAACAGGCAAAGGATACTGTACGATGAGAGATCAGTCCTTCACCAGAACAAAGAAATCTATTCCAATCTTCCAAATCAGAAAACAGAAGCACACCATTTCAACACGTTAAGCCGGCTCTAGCAAGGTAGCTAGAAAGCTGCATCACTAAAATCACATAATAATAATAATTACCTAATATGCACAAATTAAGGTGTCACTCTTCTGTGTAAATTTCAAATGCTTTGGTCTGCCATCGACATATAGGAAACCGTATCATATCAAGTCAAATGCATAGAAATGTAGAGTTTTTATATTTTTAGATAAATTAGTGTAGAAGGGCAATATTAATAACACTAATTTAAGAGATTTACTTCAATTTGTCTGGCAGCCTGCATTGTAACGGAGTGCACATATCAAACTAACTTACAGGATAACGGTATATCAGCTCCTTGGGACGTCCTCCCGACATGAAAGGCACTCTATAAATGTAATTTTGTTACTGTTATTGTTGCATATTGCTTGAGGCATTGTAATGTCTCAGCTATTTTCTGAACATTACACCTCTAGGATGAAAGCTGACATGCACTGGAGGTGATCCAATTCCTAAAGTAAAGGTATCTGCATTATTAACAATGCAAAGCCATGCTAATTCAGCTTACTGATTTCCCAATACATTAATCCATTCCATCCTCCAACAGTACAACCAGACATGGAGAAACGTTACCTTTAACAATGACAAAGTGAGGTAGAGAGAAAGAGATAGAGATAAACCAGTGAAACAGAGAGAGACCAGCGAGAGAAAGACAAACCAGCACAAGAGACCAGATAGATATATAAAGACAGAGACAAAGAAAAAAGTAGTCAGTTTGTCAGAATGTTATCTCCACCTCGTAGATAAAAGGTCAACCTTGTGCTTGCCCACCACTTCTTCAGTTTTTTTCAGTCGCAGTAAGCGGTAAGCAAGGGCATTGCACTATTGCTCAACAGATTTATGCTAGAGAATGCAGATTTTTCCCATAATTATCCAAGTAAAGAAGCTCTGGACTTCTTGTAATCTCCATTGACCCGTCACTCCAAGGGAAAAGAGCTAAGTGACAAGTTATCCAGGGTGAGAAGTTAGAGATGGGTCCTCCCCGGCCACAAGGGGGAGCTGAGACACTTGCATGTTCAGATGTATCTCAGAGGTCTCTAGTCTATTGTAGGGCTGCACCGTGGCCTCCCTCCTGATCCTGTCATAGGACAGGGTGGGTGGGCCTCTGCGATGCAAGACGCCATCTTATAGGACGAGTTATCCGATCAATTTCACATTACAAGTACTTACAAGAATTTCTAAAATGTGACAAGTTACGTGTTGAGCGGAGTGACAAGTAAAGCAGAGACCCATAACATTTTGCTGTATATCCCAACATGTGACCAGCAGAGAGTGGGCAACTGTGGAGTCCTGTAGCTCAGTGGTTAGAGCACTCGCTTTGCAAGCGAGAGACCTGAGTTCAATTCCAGGCAGAGGGCGAAACCTTGGGCAAGTTTCCTTACTCCACACGCCTAATAATAATCCCTCCTAAACCAAAACAATAATAAATTGGTCATTTTCAATCTACGACTGTTTGTGGGACATTGCTGTGCGCAATTGGCTGCCGCGTTCGCCCACAAATATACAGTCAATTCACTTTACAGTGTGTTCTGTGAAGCGCTTTGGGACGTCCTCCCGACGTGAAAAGCGCTATATTAAATGCAAGGATTACTCATCCTCACCTACAAGGCCATTCACGGCCTCGCTCCCTCCTACCTCTCCGACCTACTATCCCCCTACCTACCTGCCCGTACCCTCCGTTCCTCTGGCTCCGGTCTGCTCCACGTCCCCTGCCCCAACCGCCCTACCATCGGTGGCCGGGCCTTCAGCCTCTCAGCCCCGAGGCTCTGGAACTCTATCCTCTAGTGCCTTCGCCTTGCCTCCTCCCTTTCCTCCTTCAAGGCCGGTCTCAAGACCTTTCTCTTTGACCGTGCCTTCAGCTCCCCTCACGACTCTCTACCCCCTCCTCGCTCCCTCCCTTCTCTCCCCTCAACCTGACCATTTCCCCCCTGCTCGGGCCCTGACCCAACTGTACAGCGCCTTGGGACGTCCTCCCGACGTGAAAGGCGCTCAATAAATGGAATCTTGTTGTTGTATTATTATTATAACTTCTCCAAAGTGACGTTGAGTGTGTGTGTGTACAATTTACATTTATATAGCACTATTCATATCGGAAGGACATCTCAAAGTGCTTTATACATAATCACTTTAACAGCCAGCTTTGTTGGGTGTCAGTCAGGTAGATACCCATCCGCTTCCTCCCCTGCCCCTAAAAAAATCCAATACGCCCAACAGCCTATGAATAGATTCACTTGACCAGAATCTAAAGTTGGCAAAAGTAGAGCATTTAGAAATAGCCCTAAATTCCAATTAAAATGAGAATGAGAAACAATAACGATAAGAGCAGAGAACGTCAAACCTATTTAGGAGACTCTTGTGTATTGTGTCTGTGTAAAAAAGGCAAACACAGAAATTCCCGGCATTGTAGTTGGGAGAATTAGTTCAGGAACCCAGTGAAATTCTCAGTCTCTTGTTTACTAATGAAAACTATTTCAACCAATAACCAATTAAAAACACCCCTACTGTGAAATACCTCCACAAAACATCATGTCCAGCTGTCTTGCCTACTGTGATTAGCTCTAACCCACTGAACCGGAATCGCAGAAACTTTTTAAACTTTTTTTAAACCATAAAATCAAATCATAAATAAAATCAAAAAATAAATAAAATCAAAGTGCTCAGTTACAATATTACTGTCCCAGGTATTGAGAAAACGTGCCGACGGCAAGCCACATTCAGTCAAAAACATATTTTAAAATTATGCGGGAGCACCATAATTCCCCATGTGGGGTTGGGATGGGGATACGAGAATTAAAAACCAAACCATGCTCACAGCTCATTCCATTTGGCTGGTAAGGCTCAGCACCATAAGAGGGATGACTGTTACAAGCTCATAAAGGGATCCCCATAAAGGCCTCCAACCTACC